TGCCCCCAGCCCCACTCGAGACTGAGAACCCGAGATCATTCAACATCCAAGCATCCAGCCAAAGACCCCAGAAGCGGAGGATGAAGGAGGAGGGAGAAGGGAGTAAAGGAGGGGAGTTAGAGAGTCAGCCATCTCTGGAAAATAAGTTTTTTGAGTCACTTTCCCCAGCTGAAACACGGCTCGATATGTCCCTCTCCCCCCCTCCCTTGAGAGAGAGATTGACTTTTGTTTGGAGTTTGTGAGAAGTGGGAATCAGAAGCGGGACAATGGGACTCCCCACGGTGAGAGGCTGAGAGGAGCCATCTCAAATCAGTCAGCCAGAGGACTGACTAATCCGGCCATTGTCCCTCCCCAGCCACCGGCCGCACATCAACACATTCGCCCCCCTCATTGCCCCCCTCCACCCCTCATGCAGCGGGATTTGCCTCTCCCCAACAGCCAATTTTGTCCACGGCAGTTCGAGCGGAAGTTTCTCACTGACAATTTGCCCCAAATAGATTTGTCAGAGCGTCCAACTGCTCCGCACCGACCTGTGGGTTTCTGGGTTTGGGTTCTGCCTCCGAGTTTGCTTTCTCCATAGTGAGGCGGCGGCGTGTGTGGAAATGTGGAGAAGCAGGGGAGATGGAGGGTGTGTGAGAGACTTGATGGGTGTGGAACTTACTGTATAATCAAGAGGGATCACTGTATCGACATTTGGGTTTTACAAGTTCACTGACAACAGCACTGCCTGAGTTAAACGTTAACTTGGTCCGCTGCAGTTGTGCACGAAATATCAACTTTTTTTTCCAAAGTATGCCTAAACCAAAATAACGTCCTTTAACTCTTTTATTCACCATCCAAAAAATGGGTGGATTTATGTTATCTGTTATGCTCTGTTGAAAAAAACTTGATTTTATTCTTGCATGAGATGAGGGTGGTGCTCATTTTCAGCCATATCATAAGAATCATTTCAGTATATGATTTTCATAATTGTGTTCAAATTCAATGGAAACTGGAGGAAAAAAACTGCCAAAAGTCATTCTTCTTTGTATTTAACAACTTTTGGACGGGTCGATTGACCAACAGCTAAATCGATCGAGTAGTTGATTGACTAATTGATATTCTAAATTGATCGACTAACTGACCAACTAATTGATCAAATAATTAAAGTCCAGTCAAAAGCTCAGTTGATTGACTTCATGATTAACTAATTCATGGCCTTACTGATACACTATATGAGAGCTTTATTGGTCGACTAACTGATCAACTTATCGATCAAATTATTGATCAAATAATTAAAGGTCTGGTTGAAAGCCTAGCTAATTGATTACACAATCAGCTAATTTGTGGGCTTAGTGATACACCAAGTGATTGACCTACTGCTTGTAAGGTGATCATCTCGGCCAGTGTCTAAAACAGATTTAGGATTAGTCGACTAAGCCTTAGCCTTACTGATTAACTTATTAATCGACTCCCATTATTTCAGCTGGGGCTATCATTTTAATCATAGAAAGCTGATTACGACGGACAAAACTTTTTGCAAGCTCTCCTTATGGCTTTATATCTTTAATAGTTGAATTTGTACCTCTTTTAAGTCAAATAATTGGATGGAAGAGAAAAGTACGCCACGCCTTTGAACCTAATGTTGCCATTCACTACATGAACTCCTAACAACTCCCTTCAAACAAAGGGTCCAAACTCTTGGGTTTTTTCTTGATTATTGAGCTATTTGATGTTTCTTTGATAAGTTAAAGGCTTTGTTGGTTTCGTGGAAGAACAGACGCAATACTAAGCTCTGATTGGACAAATATGGGCCTATTGCCGTGTGAGTCAGAACAGGTCAGACAACTTAGTCAGAATCAAAACGTACCCTGGAATAATGGACCAACACTTGAAATTTTCATAAAAACCCGAGATTATTACTTATTGGTGTATTTTGCACATGAAGATAAAGAGGCCCCCTTAAACAAGCACGCGGACAGGTAACCTGCATGTGTTTAGTAGTGCTGTCCATGGTGCTGAAACAAGTCTGAATTTTTCTCTTTTATTTCTTATAGTTTTCTCATAAATAAGTTAGTAGCGCATTAAAATGGTAGAAGAAATTTTTATTGTTTATTCGTTTTTATAAAACATTTTCAGACTGCCACGTGACCGATCACATTTAACCGTGGGTAGCCTGGGTGTCATTTAAAAGAGCTGACGGAGCTCTTTTGGGACAATCATCATCTCCCCATCTGAGCGCCGGGCAGCAGCAGTCTGAGATTTTCTCTCCTCACAGTCACTTTTTAAAGGATGCACGGCTGCCTGGCTCTTTACTCCTCATTATTTGCTCTCTGGAGCTTTGTGACTTCTCCCTAAAGCCAATTGGTTTCCGCCTGGACGGTTTGGGGGCCTGCACAGTGATAGCAGTGCGTAAAGAGGTGGTGCAACCATGGCCTCCCGTTGGCGGTTGAACACTGGGACCAAAAAAGCAGATAGGCTTGTACTTAAAATGATTAATGGAGTTACTGAAACGTTCAGTAGAGCCTATAACTGAAGACAAAATGGGCAGGTGTTAAAATGAGGTATAGAACATTGAAGATAATCACATTTTCATCTGATTTCTATTTTATAGTTTCACTCTAAACACGCAAATATGAGGCAAACTTCTAAAAGAGATCACCTGTACTTTCCAGAACATCATTTTCAGAGACTTCTTTCAACTCTCGCTCTTCTCTCGTTGTTTAAGTCTTTCCAACAGCATTCCTATGTCAAGTATCCGCATACTGATACTGAGCTCCATAAAAAACAGATACACAATTCAGTGGTCCTTTTGTTGGCGTCATTTCATTGACTGTTGGAGGAGAAGAGAGTCACTAATACAAAAAAAGTGAAAGAAGGCAACCCGGGCAACCATGATGTTGGTTATATTTGTGTAAAGGCTATCAGTGAATGACGAGGATTAGGACGAGTTAAGGAGATTATGTCACACATTCACAACCCAGCCACCCCGGCAGCCACCCACACACACGCACGTGCACACGCATTACACGCACGCACTTAGGAATAACTAAAATGTCATAGATCTGAGGGAAAACTGCTCCTCGTAGTTCTTTTCACTCCAGTCACCCTCAGATGTTGTTAAAGATGTTGTGATCTTTATTTAGAAAGCAGTCTGAAATGAATATGTACTGGTGCTTTTATTTTGAAGGCCATTTCCATGCGATGAAAAAAGAAAAAAAACATCAGTCTTCTTTTTTCCGGAGTCTCTGCAGGAAAATCAAAGTAATATTATGGAGATTTCTTACTCAGGCTTGTTAGTCTTTAGTCTCGGCTGTTCAGCTAAAGGGCAGGTTGAAAGACACAACAATAGCTGATTGCAATTAACTCCGCCCCCCGCCTCCACCCTGTCCGCTTAAGTCGACACTTTGTGAGTCCATATGGTCCGCAGTGTACCGTGGGAATGAACACAATTAAAGCAAAAAGACAGAATATGGATTTCTGGAGTTACAAGGAGAAAGCGCAGCAAGCTGTCAAGGTCAGGGTGTCAGTGTGCGGGGGCCCGAGAGCCTCCGGACAGCCGCGCCACAGCGGTGTGTACCCCCGGATGAGGGTATCGAGTCCCACTCATAACTGCAGGGCATCATGTAAGATGTGCAACATGAGAGATACTTTAAACAGGCTTACCTGGTAGATAAAGAGAGGGAGTTAATGAGTGTGTTTAATCCGTAAATGATCGATTTGTCATTGTAGTTGTTTTTAATGACTTGTACTGAATGGATGTCGCTTAACTGTATGAGTTATGAACTGTGTTCACCCTGACAGAAGAGAACTATGAGAGAGTGATGAAGAGTATCTGGTGGTGTCTACCATGTGAGCCTCTGGAAGATGCATAAATTAGGGAAATTTTGGTGAAAAAAAAAACATATTTATATAGATATTCTAATAAAGTAAAAAAAGTCAAACAATAAGCTTTAGCTGAATATTGAATCCAGCCTATATATTTTTTTTTTATTATGGCTTTACCTATTATATGTAAAATTCACCAAGAAAACTTATATTTACAGTTGTAATCACATATTATATGAAGTAAACTTTTTTTGTTGATTCATACATTTTTATTGGTTGATTATTGTGATGCACTTATACTGCAAAAAAAAGTCATGGTTTTCAGTTTTCATATCTTTTAAAAATTTTCTTCTGCAGCTGTAAATTTTTTGTATATGCCCGTTTTACCTTAAAGCACATTTTATATTACTCTTTATTATAAAGCCAAGCTTTATATCCAGATAACCAACACTTTTTATAGGTAGGCCGATAAATAACAACTTCGTTAAAACAGCTGTTATAATCCGTTTGAAAATAATGTCTTTCAGGGTGACTTTACTGTGATTAAATCATACTCTAAAGACAGATAATTCATAATCAACTATCTAAAAGGTGTGAACAATGAATAGAGTCTTTATTCAATTGACCAGTTTTGGGCATAAAACAGTATATATCAAATTACATCAATTGCACATGTACATCGACAGCCAGTAAACACTGGTTCCACATTTGAACAGTAGGACTTACATTTGTGTGTGCACACCTTCGTGTTCATCTTTACAGCTGTCCTGATCGACATCAACGTCATGGCCTGAATTCAGCAGTGAAGAGCTCGTGGTAAACTTTCTAATATTTGCACATTTTTAAATATTTTTGAGAGACTGTAGACTAAAGTTATCATATTATTTCAGAAGTCCTTTTTTGTTGCTTGGTATAGAAAAGTAGTTCATGCAGGTCGGTCTTTAGAGCTAAGTTTCGTAGTAAATGAATATTGCCGAAAGAATCGCATGCAACATGTGTTTGGTTTGCCTCTTGATCTATGAGCAAGGCACTTCACACGCATTCACACTATCATTCATTTACTCTCTCTCTCTCTCTCTCTCTCTCTCTCTCTCTCTCTCTCTCTCTCTCTCTCTCTCTCTCTCTCTCCCTCACACGCCGGTGACGTCAGGCTGGAGTTTGGAGTAGAAAGCCAAGTGGATGAAGGAAGTGGAGATCTCCACCCTCCAGCCTCCCCCCTGACACTTCTCATAAATATTACCGAGGCTTATTTGAACAACTCGCAGCACAAAGTCACATCGTGTCCTGGTTCTTACACGCTTTCACCTGTCAGAACACACGAAAGTTGATTTTTTTTTTTACACCTCTTTCTCTCTGCGCTCCAGGCAACAGTTCACCAAATCCAACTTTATGCACCGGTTCCCGTGCCGAGAGCTGGACCGCTGCTGTGGCCGCAAACAGGTCGCTGCCCCGGGGCGACAAAGTGACTCTCTTCCCACAAAGTGACCCACACATCGGAGGAAAAGACTGTCTGCTGCCATGTACAGGCAGGCGTATTAATCACAGCTCAAGGACTGGAGATCTGTCAAGTTTGGCAACTCGGGACTTTGCTTCGTCGATTTGTTTTCTGCGGGTGAAGACGCGAAGGGGAGTGCGGCTCTTTCGCAAAAGTTGATGTTATTTGTGAGCAAAAGAAGAAAAGAAAAAGGACTTTTTTTCTTCCTGAACTTTATAATCAAGTCAAGTTTCCATGATGAGCAAACCTGCCGGCTCAACAAGTGGCTGTCTGGATATTCTGAATGTCAAATCAAGTAAGTGTGGCTTTTTCTGTCCTTACGCGCACTGCAGCTCGAAGGAGAGGTGACGGGCCTCCCTGTAGTTACAGCTGCACTAAACCAACAGTAGTCCTCAACTTATATGTTTAGTACTACTGTGGTTTTCTCATGTTATAACAGCTTTACTGTCAAAACTTCGCCTGTTCAATCCTCGAGGTCATATCTGAGCAGTGATCCGCGAGGGGATAGCTGTCGCCCGGGTGCGTAAAATTGAGTCAAAAATTGTTTGGACCAGCTTTTCTTATAAATTCATGTATTTGTTGAAATGTAAGAGAAAGAAACTAAAACCCGAAGATTCAAACTCTCTCGTCTGTAATGATGCCACTTGTTGCCTTTAATTTAACATTTAGTAAAAGAGTAAACTAAACGAGATGAGAAGTGATTGAAATTGTAATTTCAAGCGTGTATAACGGATCCGTCTTTGGCCGCCCTGCTGGTTTATTTACTCATATTAAATAAATAGGTGCGTGGACATGTGCGTGTTTGTGCATCTCTGTAAAATGTTACGGTAATGTATTTGATCGTGGATATATTCAGTGTATTTTAAGTGAGTTATTTGAGTGACTTTCGCTCGTAGAAGTTGAAAATGAGTTAATGTATTTTTTCTTTTATTTTTTGTACTGAGGCCTCGCACTTATCTAAATTCAAGCAGCTCATATTAAAGGCCTTATGCAGGCTGTTGTTCTGTTTTAAATGACGGCCAACTTTATGTTTAATTCATATTATATTTGTGTCTTTAAATCAGCCGTTTCCAAACAGGTGCTCTTAATGTTACTCTGCTACCCTCATGGTGTATCCTCATGTACACATGCAGGTGGCCATTTCATTTAGTTCTAAATCAAACAGCTCAAATCAGAGCTTCTGTCTGTCTGTCTCCACATTATGGGTGGTCAGCAGAAATATTTCCTGCTCTTGGTAAAACTTGATTTCACTTCTTTTAACAGCTTTTGGCCCTGATGGTGATTACCTTAATAGAAGATGCCATATATCTTCAAGCAATTACTGCACACAATGGGGCGAATTGGACCCCCACAGCGGGAAGTTAAATACATTTCCCCCCTTCCACAATAAAAGTTGTCATTTTATTAAATTGGCACTCGAAAATATACACAATTATTATTATTAATTTGGACGCAATTTAATGACATGTTGTTTATTTTTTGTTTTATCTCTACAAGTGTGCGTCAAACTTTTATTTTGGTAGTGCGCAAGTGAACTTGACTCGCTGAGCTTTGATTTAATACAGATCTGTTAATTAAAAAGGGTGCCTAAAGAGTGCGCAAATAATCAATTGCATGGTCTACAAGGAGAGTAGACAAAAAATAGGTTCCTTCATTTTTTTTTTTTTTTTTACACTGCAGATCGATTTTTTGAATTTACGCGTGTGATACAAGTCTCCCTCCAGAAGGCCAACTGTTGCTTCAGCTCTGAGCAGACATGAAACTCTGCAGAAAAAGAGAGCTCTCTCCGTCTGATGTCAATTACACGGCTGTGACCATCACTTAAATAGTCCATCCACGGCCCTCTGATTCCTCATAATCTGCCAATTTGAGCTCCATAACTTTCTCTTGGAGTCATTGTTTTTGCTGCTCGCTGGTTATTCCCATGCTACCCTTTTTGCCGGGTCACTGGTGAATCAAAGAGCAGGTGGCAAAACGTCAGTGTAATTACATAGACGGCGTTTCCCTCCAGAAGAAAAAAGCCCTCCCTCATATGCATACAAATATACTTCTATAGATTTCCATACAGAATCCAAAGAGGGAAAAAATCAAATTTTTTCATCTCCACCGGGTCGATTTACATACACTTCATTTGAGTTGGTGAAACGAGTTGGTGCGCATTATTCTCATGGTGCAGTGTCACTCCCTAATCCCGGGGCCTATAGACCTGTGGGATAAAGCAGCTGTCGAGTCCCATTATGAAGGGGAGTTGGCAGCTTGTCGAGATCCAGGCAGTCAGACGAGGTTCAATGGGGGAAAATCATTAAGTTAACACTTTCCCCTAATGTCTCCATTGTGCGCCCTCGGCCCATTGTCTTAGAGAGCTCAGATATGACGCTTCCCACCGGACTTTATTCTGGAAATGTGCGGCGCGAATTCCCATGGTGGGACGAGGTGTGGGGCGATGTCCAGTATGTGTGTGCGTGTGAGTGTGTGTGTATGGGGGTTTGTCTGATAAAAACAAGTGATTTGTTGGGCGATTTGTAGGTGTAAAGATACCCTTAATGAGTCCGTTTTTGGCCTTTACTGTACATTCCCATCGCTGATTTCAACTCAGTTTATTGGATAATAAAAGAAAAGATTGTTCAACTGAGAAAAGAAAAGAAAACACAGATTTTCTTCGATTTTGAGTCAACTTTTGAGAATGAATGCTGTCATGAATTTGATACTCAATTTTTTCAGTTCGTCTTTCACTAAATCGTCCTCTATATGAAATATCTTCACTTAGGTCGCATCTTGGACATTCCCTGCAAAGTGTGCGGAGACCGCAGCTCAGGGAAACACTACGGTGTTTACGCCTGTGACGGCTGCTCGGGATTCTTCAAGAGGAGCATCCGCAGGAACAGAACCTACGTCTGTAAATCTGGCTCTCAGGTGAGGCCTCCTCCTCCTCCTCCTCCTCCTGGCTTTTTTGTTGATACTTCTATCCTTTTTCCACCAAGATTTAAACAGACGGTGTCAACAGTCGTTATAAGTTAGTGCATATTTGATTGTGTCACTTTTGTTCGACTTCGTGGATAAACCAGCAATTTGGTAGTGATCTGACGAGAGTTGTGAATACATAATAATCTACGTCTATTTTCTGTGCAGTTAACTTTATGATCTCACAAGAAAATGTACTACTAGGCCTACTGGGCATGTTCCAAAAGAGATTTGTATTTTAAGCGATACCTGAAGAATGATTTGAGTGGTTAAAACATCGCTCATCCTCATTTAGACGACAATTGCATCTTTACGCACGGTATGCCCACTTTACGCGCAAGTTCTGTGGACTTTTCTCTCCTGGTGCTGTGTGAAGTCTTCCTTGATGAGCCTAATTGCGTCATACCTCCACCATTAAGCAATGGTCTAAACACCTCGCTACTGTAATATAGCAGTGTAATCCAATCTAAGTGATGAGTCTGAGGCGAGGATTTAGGCAGCAGAGGGCGAGATGGAGTGCTTCTCCTCCGGGAAGAGGCCGCTGCGGAGCGGCAGGGGAGCAGGTCGATAACTGCGCGATAATAGCGCGAGCTTTCACCTGGAGAGTGGCCTCCCGGGAAGATAATAACAGGAGGCATTTTATTGTGAAAGCTGGGAAATTATCAGGCTGTAACTCCCTCTGTTTGTGTGCATGTGTGTATGTGTGTGTACAGGGTGGCTGTCCCGTGGACAAAACTCACAGAAACCAGTGCAGAGCGTGCCGTTTGAAGAAGTGTCTGGAAGTGAACATGAATAAAGACGGTAAATGGGTTTAATTGAATTATCACTTCGGCCATACACACGCTATGGGCTGGCGTTTGGGTCGAAGGTGAGGGCCTCGGAAGGGAAAGCGTGTCAAGATTGTTAACGGAGCTTATAAGAAGCTTCTGCTTGATTTTTGCTCTTTATGGCGTATTTTGTTAAATTTTTAATCTACAGGAGCTGTAATTCTCTTCAGCTCCAATTATTTTATATTTTTCTCAAACTACTTGGCCCTCATATTTTGGTAACTTCGAAGATAAATGTAAAAAAAATGGATCTAAGAAAATGCGTTCAAAAAATAAGATAAATCCACGTCTTCATGCCTTCACTCTGTGTCCACTCCTGTCCCGTTTTTCAGCCGTTCAACACGAAAGGGGCCCCCGAACGTCCACAATCCGCAAACAGGTCGCCCTATATTTCCGGGGCCACAAAGAGGTGAACGGATCATCGACCCATTTCCCGGGAGCCTCTCTGCCCGGCCCTCCCTTCTTCACCACGGTCACGCAACTGGAGCCTCACAACCTGGAGATGAGTGCAGTGGCCACCACACCGGAGAGACAGGCCATCGTGGGTCTGGCGCAGCCCACACCTAAGGTATATATTTTTTTCTAAATTTGATCTTTCTGTCCTATGATTTCATGATGTTTTTTGGCTCATTGTAAGTGTTTTAGCCTGTGCTTTCTTTCGACTTTGTATAGTATTTGGTGGTTTTCTTCAAAAGTTATCCCAATATTTCACTTCATATTAAGGATATTCTTTAGACATTTGTATTTTTGCCTTCCCTAATGTTATTAACGGATTACAGCTTTTTTTTCGCAAGGGTGAGAAGTTGAAATTCTTGTCCTGATTTAGCAGCTACAAATCCGCCTATTAGATTTCTCACTGTAATCCTCCACAACCAACACTAATAATTATAAAACCAGGTGCTGGGACTTGGAATTTGACCTTTTTGTTCACGGGTCTCTGCACCATGTTTCAGTACAGTTTGAAAAGAAAACTGATTTACGTTGTTGTGATCTATTTCTCCTCTTACAGTATCCACACGAAGTCAGCGGCACCCCGATGTACCTCTACGAGGTGGCCACAGAGTCTGTATGCGAGTCTGCGGCGCGCCTCCTTTTTATGAGCATCAAGTGGGCCAAGAGTGTTCCCGCATTCTCCACCCTGCCTTTATCCGACCAGGTACACTTTGGATCGAGGGGCAGAGGAAGGACTTTGGGGTCTTAGTATAATCCTAAACGTTATAGGGAAACTGTAAAGAGCTAATTTGGTTTGTAATTGATGGTTCTGAAAAGTTACATCTGGTAGATTTGGGCGTTGGATGCTGGGACTCTCACATTTATCAGAACTTTAGCAGCTTAAATGCTTAAAAAAATAAATTATTAGGTTATATGTTACAGCCTACATTATTTCTAACACTGAACTCTTATCTTTCAGCTGATTCTTTTGGAGGATGCGTGGAGGGAGTTATTTGTTCTGGGCATTGCGCAGTGGGCTATTCCTGTAGACTCCACCACTCTTCTCGCTGTTTCTGGTGAGTATGAGGCACGAGAGGGCTTATGGGCCTCTCAGAGGCCTCACGAGCCGCAGACGTAAAAGTGTTTAATACAGTAGGTCATTGCGGCTGTATTATTATCCTACAAAATGACATTTTACTCTCCATGCATTGACAGGAATGAACACTGAAAACACAGAGTCTCAGCGGATGAATAAGATCATGTCTGAGATTCAGGCGCTTCAAGAGGTGGTCACCAGGTTCAGACAGATGCGCCTCGACGCCACAGAGTTCGCCTGTTTGAAATGTATTGTGACATTTAAAGCAGGTTTGTACTTTCACCTCGCTTTATGGAACGGTACCATCAAACTGAAAGCGCTGGTAGAAGTGATCTCATCGTCTCATAATTCCTGTCTTCAACAGTTCCCACGCATGGCAGCACCGAGATAAGAAGTTTCAGAAACGCCAGCGCCATTGCTGCACTACAAGACGAGGCCCAGCTCACCCTCAACAGCTACATTCACACCAGGTAAGAGCAGACCCAATCAGTGTGTTTCAGCGTCCCCTTCAGCTGAATTCTTTATTAAGTTAATGAGGCAATGAGCCTCTGCACTCCTCTGCCCTAATTGTGCGCACGTGCAACAGTTGCGCCTCGTCGTTAATTAGCAGCTATTTGACACAGGTGTGCGTTAATTGGCTCCCGGTCGCACCAGACGGTTTGTACCTAAAGCTGGAGGAAGGGCTGTATCTGACCCTTAGTGTTATCTTACAGGTATCCGACTCAGCCCTGCCGCTTCGGAAAGCTGCTCCTGCTCCTGCCGGCGCTCCGCTCGGTCGGCCCGTCCACCATAGAGGAGGTTTTCTTCAAGAAGACCATAGGCAACGTGCCCATCACCAGGCTCCTCTCCGACATGTACAAGTCTAGCGATATATGAGCACGAGCCATCCGTCTATTTCAATGGAAAAGACTTCAGCAGAGGGCCCACGGGGCCAGGAAGCTGCCCACAGTGTCAATCATAGCAGGTTTTAAGACACCCTGTTTGGGCCTTAAGGCTCAGATGAAACAAAGACTGCCACACAGCCAGATTTCACCGAGTTAGCCTGTTAACAGTCAGCCTAGTTGAGGATTAGTGTTTAACTTTCATTATAGTGACTGAAGCTGAAAACCTGCCATCTCTGCTTTGGGCACGACAGCCAGCAATGCATCAAATCTCACCTGAAGACTCGAGAGAGCATATTTCAGGTATGTCCGGAAAAAGAAATATATATTCAAAAGTTTTCCGAGCCTCGGACACCAATGAGCTTGACGACCAATCCAGTGTTTTACTGCTGTGTTCAATCCATATGGAGGAAACCAAATAAAATGGCGCATGCGTAATGGGGGCGTGAATCGCTGTCCTCTGGATCCGGTGCTGAAACCAAACGCGCATGGTAACGAAGAAGAAAAACAGTTGAACCAAGAAAATGAAGGAGAGGACTTCTCCTCCTGCTGGCACTGCCTCCTGACTGTAAAACTACATGCATCTGAAGACGGTGTTTGTACTTAAGTGGTGACTGTCTTGTTTGTGTCGGTGTGTCTTGTTTGAGGCGCAGCATTCAAAACGTGTAGGTCAACTTTGTGAAGTTAGACACTAACACTGGATATAAAATTATATTCAGCACTTGGAAATGTTCTTTTGTGGCCTGTGATGTTTTTATTCTGTTGTAAATATTTGGAGTTATAACTATTTAGAGTTGTAACTGAGAGAATAAAAGACACTGAATTAAACTGTTTTCATATAATAGAAATATAAAATACCACCTGCTGTTTGGAAACTTATTTTCACTTCACATCACTGTCAAGAATGAAAATGTTTTTATAGCAAAGGTGCAAAACATATGCCAAAGTCATGTTTGTGCCGCCCCAAATCATGTGAAGTCTATGACTGAGTTTGTGATTTGCAGATCATAAATTAATTTTGAAATCACTGTCATATTTATCAGGCTTTTCTATCTGTACTGGTTGTTGAGAATAGAGTTGAATGTTACTAAATGACCCATCAGTCCTTATTTGGTCAAATTTACATGCTTTGGAGTTTTCAATGCATCTATGACGGACAGAAGAATAAAAAACAGCACCAGGAAGATCAGTAATAATAGTGTGACTGCACAAAAGTGTTCAACATCACTATGTACAAAGCACAGTTAAATCCTTTTGGAATACTAGTCAATGTATTTTCAAATAATTTAGGTATAATTAGGCAGTTCTTTCATACTCAGATTCTTGGTACTATTTGCTGTGTATCTCTGAGCCTCATTCTCAGTAGTGACAGTAATTCAAATAAAAAACCCAGGTTCATTTTAAAACGCTCTCTGATTCTGCTCTAAATTTCTTAAATGGAGATTATGTTTTGAGTAGTTCACAGCTTCATGTGTGAATCAGGTCAAGAGTCCAAATCAACAGATGTGATTATGCATGGAGACATTTCACCTATTTTATTGGAAAATCTTCAAAATAAACAAAAATGGCACAGCAGTATACAAATCTCAAAATGCATATAGCCAGTAGAAATACTGCAGTTCCCTCTGTGTAAATTACGCCTTTCTTGCTAGAAAATCATTGTGATAACTGGGCAGGTGCTGGTTGATACACACACACATGCTTCCTTTTTTAAAGTGTGATTTGAAAGTCACGGCCCATCAAATACATGTGCGCATGTGTGTGATAAGTTGCTAGTTATGGTGAGCAACATGCCAGTATTAGGACATACATATTTATATACTGTATATATAAACAAGGGGAAATGCTTTGTGTCTTTACAAGAGCTTTGCGTACATAGAACACTTGTTCAGTGTTTCTGAATAAACGAATATATTCAAGACATAGAGCTAAATGATAAATACATAATATATTCATGTTAGTGGCATTTCCAGACATAAAGTGAAATTACTATAAATTACTTTCAACCACACTGATGTGTCGAACATTCTTGACTCCAATTAGAAAGTGAAAACAAACACCGATCAGGATCACTAATTCAACTAAAAGAGGCAGTGAACGATATTATTTTGGTGGGGCGCAGGGAGGGGAAGTTGTCATTGAAATGTTGTTTTTTTTTTTCTTTTTCTTTTTGTCTGAGAGAAACCTGGAGCAGTGAAGAGAGCTTTGGGTTGTTGGGGCCAGGCCAGGCCGGGCCAAGCGAAGCCATCTTTTTTTTTTTTTTCAGGCTTGTCTGATTTTGGACGGGGTGTAGCTCTTGTCCACAGACTCGTCCTGTAGAAACATGTGCAGGCAGCGTTCGTTCTGAGCTAGAGGGTGACCCGCAACTCTGAAACATACAAGAGGGAAAGTTAAGTATGAGACAGAGGTTAGAGATTGTAAATAACATGATTGTACAAACCAGGGTTAAGAGGGTCGATAGAGGGAATATTTGTCTAATTTTAAGATCAGTTACAGTGCTCAGAATAAATGAGTACACCCCTTCAGAGTTGCAAAACAATCCTGTGTCCTTTCAAAATCAACATTTTCTATGTCAAACTATACAACAAAATACTCCCCCGAATGTAGGCCATTGATTGCAAACACGATTTTTTAAGTTGCATACAAAAAAAGTTTATATATATTTTTTCTAGTTTAAAATCAGGATGAAAAAATTAGTACACCCCCATCAAAGTTCTAGGAGCAAAACTAAATGTTAGTTACCGTATCACCCTCATCTTCATTTTACGGTAAATAAAATGTTTTGTTAAACTCAGCTTTGTCAAAACTTTGAAAATTGTACTTTTGCTCATCTGGATATTAATAACACATTACTTTTGATAGGGGATGTACTGACTTATGCTGGGCACTGTATATGAGCAAAGTTTGCGCTGTTGAACTGTTAACATGCGTGGCTTTGTGCCTCCATAAGCAATTCAGGAATATTGTAGCAGCATTAAACATGAGTGACACACAGACTCAACAAAATATCTTCTTATTGTACCAACATTTGACTCACTTTCAAGCTGCACGATTGAACAACAATTTCAAACTTTGTCCGGTGTTTTACTCCAACATGACACTACAAACACATCGAACATGTTGAACTGACGCAGTCCCTTAATTATACTCATTGTCAGCCTTTCTTGTCGAGCAAAAACAAAACATGAAAAAGAAGTAGATGCGATCCTTTGCCTCTGTTGCATGCGGTGTCGCAATTCCACTCAACATTAAAACGCAACCTGTTCCTCACAGTGGGCTCTTTTCACTTTTTGAGTTATTAGACAACGGACACACTTGAAGTGTTTAATAAAAAGTAATGAGATAGTGCTGCTGCTAGACATCGATAAAAAATGTTACTTTTAATTTGTATATTTTTGATTCTTGATCTTTATTATTTAAGGTTTTCAATTGATTTCTTTCACTCCAACAACATGGGGGATTTGGCCTTTGTAGGACCATGAAATGTTGGGGTCCTCACTTTTACTCCAACTTACTTCAGTTTTACCAGGACAGACATAACAAATGGGAAACTTGCTTCAAGAAGTTAAAAATCAGAAGAAATGTTGGGGGAGAGATGCGCTAAAACTGTCAATAAATGATGGCAAATTCAGAGATTTTAAAGGCTGAGATGATATCTGACTGAGACACAGTTGAAGATATTTAGTTATCAGCAGAGAGGCTTATTTTAATTTGAAACTTTTATACGCCGTGAGGAGCAGAAAAGGGTGTATACTACAAATACAGTTAAGACTTTCATTTATATTAGTAATTAAAGTGACTTTCATACTACTTGAAGTCACACTGGTTTAGTAAGGTTTTCTTATTGTTGAGGTGTTGATTAAAGTTTAATTGGTAAAGAGATCCATCACCTGTGGAAAAAATAAAAAACACATTCAAAAGCCTCTTTGAGGAGCTTACACAACCAGTAAGATGGTATGTACTGCTCTACTTTCTCACAGGGGAACTTCATCCTCTAAAATGTCTTAACAGGGAGCAGGTAGGAAAGAGTGAAGTCAGGTTTGTAAGGGCTTTGTGTTTCATTATATCTGGGTATGATTCATGTGAAGGTAATCTATTACAGCTGTAAAATAGTCTACATGTTTGTGACTGTGCTTTTCACTGAGTCCCTTTGACATCAGATTTCCCTGACTTTCCGTCCAGATGACGCAGAGAGGCTTAATGAGAAAAGGCAGCACACCTGAGACCCCAAACATCTCATTTTTAAAGCTTCGTCTTTTAGACCAAATCGATCTGGTGACATCTTAACCTGTAACAGGAAATATTCTGGATAAATTTGAGAGCACAGGGGGGCGGTTGAAGGAGGAACCATTACCCAGGTAACCATTCTTAATAGGTTTTGGACTTGTTGACATTGAGGATGAGGTGCAGCAGAAGCATGTTAACATCTCAAGGTCTTGTTTGCTGTTTGAAGAGAGGATGTAGCCAATCACCTTGTCCTGAAGCTTGAAACAGATTTGCTACACTTATTATGAAAAAGTGATGGTAATCAACTCCTCCTTCGCACTTTTTTTTTTCTTCACAGCAATAATCATGTTTATCATTCTAACAGATTTCCTCTTCACAATGCTCTCAATCACGGAGACAACAATGCTGCCAGCCACAAGTCTGAACAATGACATGATCAACTGCAGCATTTCACAGAAAACAAGGAGGGGGGACTCTTAATTACCAAGACATTCTCATGCTGCGGAAAAAGAAAAACATTTATGGATTTATATTTTCTCAGCTTTTTTTATGCACTTAATATTCCAACAGGAAACATTGATGCATTTGCACATGAAACAAAGATAATGGCCAAGTCCGCAATCACAGCAAATAATTACAATCACACTGTAACTTTTATTGTTCGGCAGCTGAAAACGGGGACACACTGGATCAAAAATAAGCAGAGGTGCACACAGCATCGCGGGGAACCAGGCGCTGTAATTTGAGCAGCAATTATCATAAATTACACATCAACAATAAAACAAATGTGGGAAAAATTAAGTTGTGGGGGTGCACACTTAAGTCCTCTCCGGGTGCTCTTGCCCTTTGCGTGGTAATTACAGAAGAGAATTGAGAAGAAGACAAAGATATCGAAGCATGGGTTCAGTTTGTTAACAATATGAAGAGAAGTGAAAAAGTTGAATCTACTTTCTGCAGAAAGTGTTGCATTGAGCCGGAGTTTCTATAAAACCTCAGAGAGACAGCTGTGAGGACAACAGAGAAACTGTGAAGGATAAATTGTTTCACCGTCTTGGTTAAAAAAAAAGTGGAGAAGAGAAGATGTGGAGGGCTTACTTATTGAGAAACTGCTCCAAACCCTGCCTCCGCTCCTCGATGAAAGAGTCATCAAATATCCCATCATCCCCTCGAAATGGAAGCTGCCGGAAGAGAGCTTTTCCTGGGAGAGGTGGAACGACCACCTGAGATAAAATATTATTAATGGAGATTTTTGAGCTTGTTGGTCACAGAGGAAAGTTTCTTGTGAAAAAGATGGTTTATGAAAGCTATATTTGATGATGATTACACTCAGTATGATCAGGCTAAACAGTTCATTGCCACCAATGTGGCTAGCAAACGTAGGCTCAAAGTTTTCTAATCAACAGCAGGACAAAGAGCCCATGTTCTAACAAACCGCAAAAAGATCTGTCCTCCTTGTGCAACTAATAGCAGATGTTTTTGATGTTATTCACAGGTTTGATAAGCCAAGCACTCCAGAGCTTTTGTATAGAGTTCACCTCAGTGGCTCACCTTGCTCTCCCTCTCCAGCTCCGCTCTGAGCCACTCAAAGTCGCTGTACCGCCTCCGTACGCAGGACTCCTTCAACTTGAAGATGGGAAGGTTAGTCTGTAGAAGAAAAAAAAACACACACAAACTCACAAACATTAATGATGGACGCTTCTCTTAAATGGTACCCTGATCTATTGAGCAGCTTCTATAAACAGTTAAAACTATGATCAAGATTGAAGAGTAGTTTTTGAATAGGTGACAGAGGTTACTTTCATTACACTGATGGTTAACCAACCCACGACTTCCAACTTCAAATCGTTTGTTCTGACTGAGACAGTAGAAAAGCACAAAAACATGAAACTGAATTCAATCTTAAGAGGAGAAACAACATTACCCCATGTTCAAAACAGTTAAAGAAGACAATCTGTTTTAACCAGAAAATAAATCTAAAGTTTAAAAGTTCTGTCAACAACAGTTTGGGTGATAATTATTGTGTACAGCATAGATGAATTAGACAAATCAGCATAAGTTAACAAGCCACCATCACTGCAGTGGCTGTCGTACAAAGTGTATAATTTAGAAGAACCAGTAAGGAAAGCTGCATCATCAACCACGGCGGACAGAAATTTGAACTCTGCACAAAACACAAGAACTTCCTCAAGTAACCGTTCTGTTTTCAGTCAGCAGGCAGCAGCAGATGCTGAGTTACCACTGCTGTAACAGCACCACAAAAATTGTGAGTCTGATTTTCTCCACAGCTTGGGGTTTTTCCAGCCAAACTTAAATTCTTTAAGGACAGTTTTTCCAGTCATTTAATTGTCTTTGCAGCAAACAAGTCAGCATCTATCAACATTCCACTAGTCTTTGCTTGTTGAGTGAGTTTGTTGCTTTGGTTTTACACAGATGGCTGGGCTAAACAAGCAATTTGATGACATACAATTGGGCAAGATTATATTGACTAAACTTGTGTATTTATTTATCATTATATGCACTTACTTTTGTAAGAAATAATTGGATTGGTATTGAAAGAAGTTAGCCCTTGTTTCCTTTCCATCTTGAACCCAACTCCATTCTCTCCAGCATACAAGAACAAGACTAATGCATACTAAACAATACAGAGAGGGCGGCTGGAGGTCATATGATACAAGCTGCCCTTCAGTTGTACTCGGAAGTCAGGATTTCCGAGTCAGAAATTCATCTGGAATGCCCCCCTAAAGTCTGATTTCCGACTTGGAAAGTCGCACGATCCTCACCAACCCGACAGCGTCATAATCCAACATGGCAGCGCAGTGCATCAACAGTAGATAGTAACAGTAAAAGCTCTCATAATGTCTTATTTATTAGCACTTCTGTTTTGTTTTTGTAAAATTAAACAAGTAGTATATGTTGTACCGCCCAACGCCTAACTGTGAAACCAGCGCTATGGTGTTTGTAAGAGTAGAACAACAGTGTAAGAGACAACAACTAACAACAGCTGACAACTGCTAACAACAGCTGACAATTGTTAACAACAGCTAACAACAGCTAACAGTAGGCGTCCATCTTGGTTTTCCGACTTGTTTACTAGAACGCCGTAAACTCGGGTGTAACGTCATTCCCAGCTCCGACATCCGACTTCCGAGGTAACTGGAACGCAGCAACATACGGTGACGTTTTAGTAAGACTTAACTGGTCATATCTTGAATTGTTGCCTAGGTAACTAGTCTTGGAACACCATCAGCAAGATTTGAAACTATGTCAAGCAAATAAAAAGACAGAGTTCGATTATGTCATGAAGTAGCTTAGCTTCATGGGAGTTGTAGTCTCAAATAATTACTTCCCCGGTACCAACAAAAAAAAAACCTACATTACGCGACTCAATTTAAAAATCAAATCCAAGGCAAGAGAGTGCATTAAAAAATTCACAGTGCTTGTGGACATTGTTCTGTCATTTAACTCTATTATAGAGTTGCCATATAGCCAAAATATTTAATTTTATACAAGCTTAATAAAAGAGGAATGAGATCATTGCCAACTTTGATGACATGGCAACAAAGAACTAACTCAATTTTTTTTTTTTCGATCTGACCAAACACATAGTGACAGAAAAAAACACTGAACACAGACCAACAGCAGACACACTACATGAAGCAAATAAGGAAAATAAATAATATTTTCCCTTAAAATCTATACATCCATAAGGTGTTAAATCATGATGGCAGCAGCATTAACTGGAGCTACAGCCTAAGCTAAACTACAGCTCAGACACATTATATGACTAACATTTCAGGCCTGCAATCATAAAATGACAGCAGTCATTAACGCGTGATTCTGGGTGATACCGTTCAGTCAACTGTAATCGGCCATCCCTTTTCAGAACCAAGAGAAAACAAACTGTTACTGGGTAACATCACTGCCTCTCTTTCTTCTATTTACTGTCTGCAACAGGCATAAATGGAGAAAATGTGACCTCTTTAAATACTAAAAAAACTTGAAAACCTCAGCATTTGCTAATCTGAGATGTACAGATACGCTGATAAACGATTTAATTGCGATATTAAACGGCTGCGATGATGAAATTGTAAGGTACTGTAAAAATCGTTCCACAATTATGATTTTAAGACGAGTGGCAGCGTCATTCAACGGAGGTGAGCGAAGCAAAGTACTTCCCAACCTAACTTGCTTGTAGTCTTACCCACGGTGTCAAAGCCTCTGTAGCAAAATGTACAAACAAAGCACCACAAAAGTAGTCCCAAATCCAAAAAAACTCTCGAATTAAGTACATTAATGACAGGCTAGCAAAAATGGGAACATTTAAAGAGAAAATGAAGAAATTTTACAACAAAATGCGTGGCCACCCACAATGCATTGCGGCCACTCAAAGCACTGTAGGAGCGTGTCCACAATGCATCCCATCCGCTCATTAGCTTCTTAAAGTGGAGGAGATATGATCTGATATTTTAAAAACACAAGTATTGGATCATGACAACATGTCAAATGGAGCAGCAAACTTTTGTTCTGTTTTTATGTGTCCCAAAAATGCACATATAGAGATGTACTTGGGTACATAAACTGTACAGTAAGCTGTCGAGGTAGAGAGCATTACATTTTCGGGACAGCAGATATTCCGAATTAGAGGGCTATTGTTTTCGGCTTATCTGAATAGCCTGAATGAAATCATTATTAAAAGGCACACGCTTTTGAATCCACCCAATGGTAAGAAAAACATAGATGAACATCACCTTGTTATGTACTTTCAACTGCGCTCCCGTCAGGGGTGCATTCAACGGCAGGGGTGCATTCTACAGCATAAAACCGGACCAAGAACAGTCGGAGACTGAGAATGACGAAACGCCTTGGCTTTATCCTCCTATTAAAAAGGTTTCGTCGGCAGTATGGACGTTTAACGGCTTCACAGAACAGACAGAGCAGGTAAACCTGACACCAATCTGCAGGTTATGCCATAAGGAAGTTGCAGCGCCGTTGTCTAACACTTTAAACCTACATGCCCACCTCCGTGAACACCATCCAGCATCGTTCGCCCAAATCAAGGTAAAAACAATATGACCGCAACAAGTTTGGTCTACTCTACTGCTTATTATTGACAACGTTAGTGACATTTCTGCTAACTTTAGCTCCATAAAGCTAATGCTCCCAACGTCATGTTAGCTGCCTCTTGCTCATATTGTTTGTGCGTGTCATGCTGTGCACAGAGATGTGATTTTGCAGTTTTTTGCCATTTTTAATAACGTTAAAAGCAATGCGCTAATATCGTGATAATATCGTGAATTGTGATATTTTGGGCCACCAATATCGTGATATCAAATTTTTCATATTGGCACATGCCTACTGAGATGATAATGGCCAACAGTGTAGTGGACGTGACAGAGGGCAGAGCAAAGAGACACCCAGGCACACAGCCGGCAAGAAGGAGCGTGGAATCAGCAGCATTCAATCAAGCCCTGATAACCTTCCTCCATATTTGTATGGAGGCACAGATGTGTTTATGATCTGACATACGATTTTACTTTTGTTTCTTTTTTTTTTAACAGGATTTTCAAGTATAGATTTTTAACAGACGCTTCTCCTCATTGTTGCATAGTTAGACCTTTTTCTGCTATATATGCCATTCCCACGAGAAGTGCCAACTGCAGGAAAAAGGCAGAGTGACAAGTTTAATTGAATAGGTTTGGAGTTCAGCCTTGTGTTACCTACTCTGACTTTTTCAGGGGAAAAAAAGAAGCGAGAAAAACAAAACAAAGAAAGCACTCCTTCAATTTGAACCAAACTGAGCAAAAACGTTAAAACTGGCCTCCAGGCAAAAAAGAAAAAAAAAAAAAAAGTTCATCTGTATTTCGCTCACCAAGGTTGGTCAAGCTCAGGATGTTTTTACATTTTTGTTGTTCCTATGGCCTATATCTTTGCATAGATGTATGCCTTATTCTAAGTTGCTCTTGACAAGCACTTGAAAGTGGATTTCATATTAAAAAAAGCAGAAGAAGAAGATATTGCGACATTGACAAAGAACATTGAGCAAACAGCACATTACAGCACAATGCCAAACCTCTTCACCAGTCCTGACAGCACATGGCCATCCGGTGACAATGTACAAACAAGGAGGGAGTGAATGAGCATTTCATTGGTAGGCCACATTCGCAGAAGGTCAGAATTCATGGAAGGAGGAATCACAAGAGCAAAGCAATTGAGCAAGCGGGCGCAGCGTGAATACGATGAGAGCAGCAGACTGATCGATGAGCAGTCTGTGACTGAGCGCAGAGGAGGGGATGCAGAGTTAACTAGAAGGCTGAGTAAATGGCTGAACAAAAAAAGGGAAGAGGAGGGAGGGCGGTGAACGTGATCATAAAGGAAGAGCAGAGAAACTGGAGAGGTTGGGAGCTTCATCTGCTCTGTGTAGGACTAATTGAGTAGGAGGGAGAGCAGGAGTGGCCTTTTTGCTCTCATGGTCTCTCCCTTTCAGTCGTCTTCCTCTTTATTTCCCCCTGCTTTGCGATAATAAGTCAGATTTTCTGCCCTTGAGACTCTTCTTGTGGGATTTCAATAGGGGAAATGTGGGCATTCGTTTTCCCCTCTTTACTCTGCCCTCCTCTCTCCCCTCAGAATTACATATCCTGCTCAGACTTTGTGGGAAATAGGAAAAGCATGTGTGATAACTATTATTTGTGATAACAGTAAGCTTGTGTTCAACAAGTATGATTCTGATAGTACTATTTATTTCTTCATTTTAAAAGATTCATTTTCATTTTTTTTTTTTTTTGCTTTTATTTTGATGGAACCACCTGAGAGAGACAAGAAATACAGGGAGGGGAGGGGGAAGGGCATGCACCAAATAATGGCGGGACCAGTATTAAATTCTTTAGCCAACTCACCAAGGACTGTCCACTCTGTACATGGGGTGCCAATTCTACCAACTGCAACAAACCAGCATCCTGTACCATTGACTCTACAAGAATTGTTGCAAATCTGAGACAATACATGCGCCACAAGTATTCTGGGAGGAGGAATTCATCTTAAAAAAGTCACCTGAAAAGTTGACATAAAAACAACCAAAGATGCCTTCAAGGAAGGAGAAGCTGATTCAGCTACAGATAGCAACGGCACCCCAAAAAAATCAGGCATTTCTGATTGTGGTCTTATCTTTAAAGGATACAAACATGGAAAAATTTGGTCAAAACTACCTCCAAGAAAAGTACAGAAAGTACTCACACGCCTAACCACTAGGGATGGGAGAAAAAATCGATACAGGATAGTATCGCAATATTTTGTCTGGTGATACATCGTATCGTCTCATTTACCAAATATCGATTTTAAATGTGTTTTTCCAGTGAGGTTGGTAGAGGTGACATCATTAAGCAGGAGAAAGTTAGTACAACAAATATATATGTAAGGTTTACAAGTTGAGCTACATGAAAATAAAATACAGCATAAATAAAACAAACATGAAGAAAAGCCAATGCTAAATTGGCTCAACAGTTTTAAAAAATTGCACAAATCGCTAAATTGTATCGCAATGCTCACTGTGTTGCAAAATGTTAGAAATCGCAATATTATCGTATTGTGGCCCAAGTATTGTGATGATATCGTATCATGGGGCCACCAGAGATTCCCATCCCTACTAACCACAGTACTACAGTACAAGTATCCTTGGCAGAAAAGAGAGTCTATGAATTAAAAACCTGAAATACAAAAACAGAAAAAAACGGAAATTATAATTTCCCGATTCCTGAACCTTTTGCTGCATCTTTGATGTTTGACTATTTCTTCTAGTTGGGTTTAAAGTGGGATTTCACAGATTGTTATAGTAAAGTAACTTGAATATAACATTGGTCTAAGTTTCCCTTCGCTCTTGAGGTCTAAACTTCAGTGATAGTTTTAGAAATAAAAACTTCACTCTCACTTTAAGACACGAGTTTGTTTTCTCACAAGCATTAACTCTTTTTTAACTAACAAACAAACCCTTATTTTGTATTTATTTGTTTTCCGAGCCTTAGGCTACATTCAGATATTTTTAACAACTGTTTTTTTCCCCCATTTGCAAAAAAAAAAAAAAATTGTGTAAACCTTTTTTTCTCTACCGGACAACGCAGAATTGATCAGAAAGGCAAATTTAAGTATGCCAGACTAACAGGTGGCGGTAAACACCATGAGTTTGACATGCCAAACATCACAGAAGAACATCATGTGCATAATCACTAAGAGTCTTTAAGAGCGAAGGGCAATAGTCAACAGTGTTATTTACACAGTGTAGTGATGAATTAAAAACAGTTCAGTCTAATATTTATTCACCCCATAACTGGGTATAATGATGCAGTAAAGCTAGATCTCTGTCTAAACATACACTTTGTACTAAGCTCCTGTAAACAAACCAACAGCCTGTTACATAAAAGATTAGAAATGAATGGCACTTAAAAAAAAGGAACATGTCATGTCTGTTAACAGCCTCATTTATGTAGCTGCTGTTGAGCAACACCAACATCCCCTTAAATGAGAAGAGGTTCACTGACACAACATGGGATTCAACAGTAACTGATGAGCGTTTGACGTGAGTTAGAGATTTATGGAGATTAATACTTCCTCTTGCATAAACGTCATGTTCTGTCTTCTACAGCATAGCCCAATTTATTTATCTTCCATTTTATAAATTAATTCAAAATCCAGAGACATGTCTCCAGCTGAGATATCTGTAGATGTTAAATCCATTAAGTCATGTACATAGAATAATGGCTGTTATGATTGTTTAGGGCTGCAGCTATCAAATATTTTAGTAATCCAGTATTCTACCAAATGTTCCATCTATTAATTGAGTAATCGGATAAAACAATTTTTTTTTAGTTAAAATGCAATTTTCACGGAACAAGCGTGTGCGTTAGTGGATCGCAATGCTCTTAAGAAAGCTAATTATGATATTAGATTTCATCATGCCCCTAAAGACATGAGTGTCTGAGAGCTGAATAGCTCCTATGTTACCTGTTTTTGCTACTACACTGGCAATGTTAGGTTACAAGCTAGCGTAAAGACGAGAGCAGCGCTGTCTCCACTCACGACTCAGAGCTAAGTGCGAATGAGCTACTGGAGCTCTGCAGAAGAAAAGCCCCTCTCACCATTCATTTTTTCTGCTCCGCAAAACCAAAACTGCAAATACTCCTCCTTCTACTGTGGTGACGTAAGCGCATGTTACCTTGAAAATAATCTGTGGGAATCTGTGTGACGATTTGAGCTTATAAACGAATACTCAAGGCAGAGGAAATTCCTTGATTATTTTTTGTAATTGAGGTATTCGAGGAATCCTTTCAGCCCTATTTTTGTTAGATTATTATTCTTTCTAAAATGTCAAACGCAATGAAGTAATATCAGCATTATAGATCAACTGTTAGCTGGCCTGCTCTGTAAATATCAGTATTAGTATTTGCAGTTAGAAAACCCATATTGCTCCAACACTTTAAACAATAAGTGACACACACATGTTGCAATAATGACTTTAGCATTTTTCCAAAAACTCCATATTCACTGTCCACACTAATTCAGACATAGCAGGGTTTTCAAAATCTCCATCTTTGGAGGCCTTCACGAAAAATCTAGCTTTGCTGTGGGTTCAATTTTTTCTTTTGTGTCGTCAGGAGGTCAAAATGCAGAGAAAAAAAAACAACACTAACAAAAAATATCCACAGGGCCTCAGAGGTCCGTGCACAGACTGAAAACAAAACTAGAACCCAGACTTCGCTGTTGAAATACAGGGGGTAAACAGTAACCAGAAGACTAAATTACTCTAATTTTTTAAAGGTCACATTACCAGTGATTAAAAACTTAATCTGGTTGAATAACCTGAATGAAATAGTAGTCAGCATATTTATTCCTTTCAGTGTAATCAGATGGGCTCCCGTAAACATGCTTTCCCTTCCCTTTTCCTTGTTTTTTCTCCCCCATTTCAAGTTCTCTCCAGGTGAAGTTGTCAATGAGCCCCTCTCTCCCCCTCTTTCCCAGGATTATCTTAGCTTTATCACCCCAGTGCTCGGGCATTAACTCCACTTTCCCTTCGCCGCAGTTTGTCCCTGCTGCGTCATGTTACCTCACAGCATGGAGCACCGCAAAGTTAATCCCCTCCACAACAGATCACAGTTACAGGTAATCTGCCACCGCCGTGACTCTAATCCCATCATGTGCGCACGGAAAACACTTAACCACGCGTAAGCACACACTGACGTGCACCAAAGTAGGCTCGCACAGGTGTTAAGTGGAGGGCTTTGACCAGTCACACAGTTAACAATGTAAATATAATAGCCTGAAGCATTCGAGCCTGTTTGTACACACACAGTTGAACTATACACAATGAAGTAAGCATTGAGAGCGCAGGGAAAGAAAGTCACCTGGCCTTTCAATCCTCTCACCCCTTCACACCCTGTGATTAAGAGATCGGCTTGGCAGGACTAGAGGAGGGACGAAAGCGACAGAACTGAAAAATGAGAGGTCTCACTCACTCCTTCGCTCTGTGTCTCTAATGCACACAGAAAAAGAGGCGGTGCGTGAGAGCCATACAAGTCAAAGATCAGGTTTCTCTGGCCTCTGTTCTCTTTTCACGGCTGGTTAGAGGTTAGGGCCCCAAGTGTCTCAACTTACTGGCCTCTGCAGTGACTGGGACATGGGTCCAGCCCACGCCCAGAAACTTCTTAGCATCTTATTAAGTCTCTTAAAAAGCCACACTTCGCCGCTTTCTTTAAATATTGAGAACGAAACAAAAGATAAAAGACATGTGGATGAAATGAAGGAAAGAATGTTAGCAAAAAGGCAAATATTGAATTTAGAAAAAAGCTTTAGAATGCAATAAAACGCAAAATTAAGGAATTCTATAAAACCCATGCTTTTTCCCCACATGAGAAAAACCCAGGATTCTAAAAAGAAGGAGCAGAAAGCTAGATGTACCTCCTTCAAAGTAGACCTCTTGGCTTCACTTTCCATTATGAGTGCGCAAGGTGCAATCCAGGCTCCATAGGAAGAGCATGTGACTCATAATGTGTGGGACACAATACCTTAGGCTCATTGAAAACGGGTTGAAAAGAGGCAGAACCCTTAAAAACAGCTAGAAAGAGAAAAAAAAAGGAGAGAGTTGACAAAGATCACTCGTCTGCTGAGAGAATGGTTCAAGGCCACCATGCATTAGCTTTTAGCAGGATGGATTAAGTCAAGTTTGAGAGTGCGCATCCTAAACCTCCCCCATGCCCCCTTCTTCCCCCCTCCCGTGCTTCTCCTTTCAGAATAATAGCATAAAAAATAGCAACATAATACCATCTCATTGCATCATATTCCAGGATGGGGGGAGAAAAGGACTGGGAACAAAAGCACTGGGGCTATAGGTCTTTTGCTCTCGCCTCTCCATGTACTCTCACACTGGTTCTCTCGTTTGCCGGCCCCTGCGGCCTGACAGCCTACCCTCTCTCCGACTCGCCTAGCTGGCAAAAAGCTGCTTTGTTGCCATAGTATCAACTCCCACTTTTGATACTGTCATTTCAAGTAGGATATGGTAGCCTTGATACAATATGTTCCCTATTTCCATTAAAATAGTTGTCGAAGAGGATGCTGTAGACTTTGGATTACACTTGACTGTGCCTGACAAGCGCCCCCCCCCCCCCCCCAAACACACACACACACACACTAACATGCAACCCTACTCCCCATCTCTCCCCATTTTATTAATGACCAAAGGCCCCCGCCCCGATGCCCAAATGGAAAAAGAGAAAGAAAGAGAGAGAGGGAGAAGCTATGGGAGTAGAGAAGAGGAGGGGTAGAAGACTGAGAGAGAGTGAGCGACAGAGCTATAAGAGGCCTTTTATGTACTCCTATCCATAAACAAAGTGAGATCCCAAAGTTCTCTCCCCTCAATGTGCTCTCTGGATGAGATGGGAACCAACTAAAGACAAGAAATTTTGATAATACCCAACAGCCCCCCCCCCCCACCCCACCCCCTTCTCCTCTGTCATGAACACACACTGCAACTCCAACCCCCTGTTTGCTGAGGGTCCAAACAAATACACTCTGCTGCTGAAGGGGGTCCTCTTCAACCAGGAACAACCAAAAAAAGCATTAAGGCGATATGACAGGACTCGCTTGTCCATTAGGAACATGAAAAACATGTGAAGGGGCAAAAAAAAAAAAAAAAAAGGAAAACACCAAACTTCCTGTGGTCCATAAGCCATTTTCAGAACCTACACTTAAAAAACGAAGAGGTTCACATGGGAACAAAAATGCATTGTTTCATCACGACCTTGGACATTACAAGTCTGCTCAGGCGAAGTGAGATATCCGCCTCCTTTCAAAGTCTGAACGTCGTTTCCTCCTCCTGTAAAGACCTAACTGAAAGAAGCGGATTGATCCCATTGATTTTGAACACAAAATGTGGGTCCGGTTGTCAACAAGTGACTGCGTAACCTACCTCACAGTGACCACAACCTCCTCACATGACAAACAGATCTTTGTGCCATTCGTCAGGCCACTAAGTTAATGAACATTCAGACACTTCCAATGAGTCACATGACTCTTGAAACAGAGTACAGCTAATTTTACGATCACATAAACTATATCCGGTGAATCACATGTAGGGATTTCATTGACCCCACTTTGAACTAGGCGCCTGACTGCATACAGCTGGGACTGAGACGGGATAAACAGCAATGGGGTGAAGGCTGGTGAGAGGGTGGCTTTCTGCCCTCCCATGGGTGGGGGGAAAGGATAGGGAATAAGCGCTCCAGCTTCCCCCACACCCTGGCCTGTTTCATTCTTCTCGTCTCTCAATGAGGGGATTAGGCAGACTCTCTCAGTGCGGCCACAAGGGCTCTCTCCATTTCAGATGGATAGCAGGACAACGATGAGAACAGAAGCCAGGGAATGAGCCATAAACACAAACTGTAAAGCATAATTAGATCAAATTCAAGTATTCCTAAATATTAAAAGTAAGATAAAAAGAAAAAGAGTATCGCATAGGATATGCATTCCAGGCTGAGGCTTTGTAGCTAACGCTCTTAGCATGCTGGAGATGGAGCAAAATGCCTCTAAAGAAAGCTGAAGAAAGGAGAAGCAAAGCAAAGTTGACACCACGTTTGTTAAGAAGTGAGGGATGCGCCACTTATTCTGTGGTCTTATGCAAAGTAGGGTCACACGGGGCTATGAGGTGCACAATAATGCTGATTACACGCATATGCTAATTATTACACGCTAATCAAGTACAGTAGCCTTAAATTCAACGCTAATGCCTGGAGACGGCTTTTCTTCTCTCACTCATTTCTTGAAGGTAAAGGGAAACTATTAATACTTTAGGGCTGCTCAGCAATCTAAATGCTCCAGACCACTAACTACAGGGGTGTCAGTCAGCTGAAATGACAATTCAAAGATAAGAGATGAGGCAATTAGATCATCCTACTGACTGCCTGATAATTTCGGAGTCCCTGAGACAACCTGTGCAGAATACAAAATAGAATATGCTGCAAATGAAAATTGAAGGTATGTCTCCTCAAGAAAATTTGTTAAAATCCTTAAAACTGTCTACCTACAAGGAAAAATGTATGACTTCCTCAACTGTTTGCGTCACTTTCCTTTGTTTCCTTGTCTTGTATTGCCATTAAGCTCTAGAACAACTACTTAAATGTCGACTACACTAGTCTTTTTCAGTCTTCTAAACTACATAAAAAAACGCAACCCAATTCAGTCCTTTAACTAGCTTTTTGTGGTTCTGACTGTATCACACTGTAGTTTGCTGGGCTCTTTTTTCTTTGTCATAAACACTTGAATGATCTTAGATTATGTTGTCCTAGTTGTAACATTTAAGATACTTTCACAATGAATGGCACATACTGACTCATCTTGGCTTTTGAAAGTTGCTTTTGGAATAGCTGTGTGAGGGCGTTGAGATCTTGTGCCTTATAATGGTGTGAAAATCTTGTCTCGTGAACCCTATCTTGTCTTACATGTTGGGTATTTGTTATTCCTGGTACCCGATGTTGCTTATGGTGTCACTACGGTTGAGATTCTAGGTCAGCTAAGACGACGATCAAAGGTGGGGTTATAGCGTATCTCTTCTTTTTGTTGGGTATGAGCTGGCATACAGAACCCTCTGTCCAAACCCAAACAAAACTTTGCAGTACCACTGGAAACGCTGGGAGCAGTGCAGAGCATTTTAGCCATCGCTTCAATCCAGATCAACAAAACGTTGCAACTGTCCAAAGATAAAGATTAAACAAGTTGATTAGAAACAAGGGCTGGGCGATATGTCCTCAAAACAATATCTTGTTATATTAAGCAGTTCACCTCGATAATGATAAATGGAAAATATCTACTCCACAAGCTGCTCACCCCCTCCCACATTAACTTTGTCTTCTTCAGCCGCAACAACGTTTGAACTGTTCTCCATCTCCTCACCTGACTTTCCCTCTTTGTTACAGACTGGATGGGGTCACGTCTTAAAGGGACATGAGACTTCAGCCTACCTACACAGATCCAAAAACAACTTTTATTTATTTATTTTTGACACTGAATATACTAATAAGGGCAAAATGATGTTGGTTATTGTCGGAAAATTAAGTGTCAGTAAATTTTCGGTTTATCGCCCAGCCCTATTAGAAACTATGCACAAATTTTGTTACCTTGCCCAGTCGTGGTCACAGGAATAGACAACAACTCAACAAGATGAGCAGAGATGAAATGGGCAGTGAATTTTGGTTGGACGGTGGATATATATATATGTAGTACAGGCCAAAAGTTTGGACACACCTTCTCATTCAATGTCTTTTCTTTATTTTTTTATATGACTATTTACATTGTAGATTATCACTGAAGGCATCAAAACTATGAATGAACACATGTAGAATTTTGTGAAAAGTGTGAAATAACTGAAAACATGTTTTTATATTCTATTCTCTTAAAAATAGCCACCCTTTGCTCTTGATGACAGAAGTACTTTGTGACTGACTCTGTCAGTTGTGAAGTAACCCTGACAAGGCCCACCTGTGAAGTAAAAACCATCTCAGGTAACTACCTCATGAAGCTCATGAAGAAAACAGCAAAAGTTTGCAGTGCCATCAAAAAAGCAAAGGGTGGCTACTTTGAAGAATCTAAAATACAATACATGTTTTATAAGTAAAATTCTACGTGTTCATTCATAGTTTTGATGCCTTCAGTGAGAATCTACAATGTAAATAGTAATGAGAATAAAGAAAATGCATTGAATGAGAAGGTGTGTCCAAACTTTTGGCCTGTACTGTGTGTGTGTATAAAATATATATTCATACATAAGGAAAGGATAAATGAGCTGGCAAAACAAAGCAGACGAGATAAAGTCATCAGAAAAAATACTTTTTGCATTACAAATCCTATTCAAATGATCAATTTTTATTGTGTTTTAAGTGTTGAATCTTTATCAAGAACCCAAAGCAAGTCAATAAAATTAAAATCAAGTGCACTCTGGAAATGAGGCATTACAGTTTCCTGACAATAGAAGGAAAATTCATCTGCCCTTGGTCTGATGGAGAGCTTAAGGGAGCTTAAATTTTTATCATTTTTAAAGACCATTTGCAATATTTCCATTAACCACAGTACAGTTCGACTAATGAGGGTATTCAAAATTACTTTCAGCTGTTTCTGCCCTTGCCTTGAGGTTATGTGTCTGTATCAGAGAAAAAAACACATGACACAGGATGTGTATTTTGCAATACTCAGGACCTGACTAACTGTCGCTCTCAGCACAGATTGCTCAATCTTACAAAGTTTTGGACAGTGTTAGCAAATCAGCAAACATGTTAGGTTTCATAAGCACATATATGGCAATATTAGGCACTGCTTTAGATCTAAATTATGCTGATGTTTAAAAACATGTTGAGGAAAAACATCATTCAAAGAAAAACAATGTTTTCCTCTCCTGACAAGTTAGTCAGTAAAGTAGGAGGAAGGAAATAGGTCAGGGGTGGGAGGGGGTCTGGAGTGGATCAGGCAGCTTGCTGCATCCTGTCTACAGCTCCAAAGAAGCTGTCTCGCTGAGTTATGTTCCTCCTTAATCCAAGACTGGAGTTACTACTTTGAACGGCTGTTGAGAATGACTGATAAGTGAAGTCAAGGCAGTTTACTTTGTAAGCACGATGGTCTTAAACTAAACCATGACACCCACTAAGTTTGACGTGAGTGTGTGTGTCAGGTCAGGGCTAAGCTCTTGGTCACAAAGATCCACTCTGATGCAAGGATGGTTATTTGGTGTGAGCAGAGCTGTTATCTGTCCTCTCCTGACTGCAAACTGGGTGCGGCTGGAGTTGAACTCTGAAATGTTCAGGAAGGCTTTTACTTCTAAGGAAGACTTCCAAAAACTATTTGATCAGCTTCCAAAGAGGTTTTTGACTGTGAATTTGTTGTTGACACATGACCAAGACGGTGTTAGTGAAACAGATCAACAATCACACCCACAGAGAAAACAAACATAAACACACCAAACACTGACAGTCAGCTGCTTCCACTTACAGCGACATTAAAGTGACTCTGAATGTCAGTATTCGTCCATGTATTACTAGCTGATACAAAACACATCTCGAAATGACTCAAAATGATTAACTTGAGTGAACTCGTGAGTTCAATGTAAGCTAGCTGACGAGGGTTAGCTTGTTTTGACGAGCGTTGACGCGACTAGCATGGGAGCTCCCGTTGGCTTAAATGTTCCCAAAGTTATTTATTTGTCTCTAAAAGTCATTGACATATTAACATTTTTCCCTCACTCATTGTGACAAACCAGATGCCTATGACTCAACTTTATGCAACTGCAGTAAAAACGTTTAGCTAGCTTGGGAGCTAATGTCTTTAGCGTCTGTATGCTGCAAACTCACCTTCAGTCTGACTTCATACGTCGTATATCTTCCCCTACCGACCCCAATGGTCTCAGGGTTGCTCACATCAATCTCTAGAAAATTACTTGGGGGTCCATAAGCGTCATTTAAGTTCTGAGGCTTAGTGAAGAGCCTTCTTGTGTCAGCTATGGCTTCAGCCATTGCTCCCCTGTCCTTCTAGCAGCTGTGATAGTGTTAAGCTTGGCAAAATACTAATGGTACAATTCCTTTATTTGCTTTCAAAATAAAACATTTAGTCAAATGCTTGTCCAACGCTAGAAAAGAGATGTAGTAAGCGAAAACTTTGAAGTGTGAGTTATTTGTATCGACTAACATTTAGTCCAATCCCGCGCCTGTTTATTTCAGTTAGTAATTTTTGTACTCTAAAACGTGTGTTTTAACTTTTATGTTGAAGGAAGATCAGAATCACTTCCGGTAATACTCTCTCTGTAACGGCTGCGAGCTTGAGAGGTCAGCGCGGGATACTTCCGATCAGCTGAGGTTCAGCTGACGCCGCTCGGCCACCTGCAGCTACGTTTGTTTACAACCGGCCCGGAGCGTAATAACACTGTCAGCTGTTCAAATCGTATTCAACTTTTTCTAATCAGCCTTTTTATTGGTATCAATTTGACATTAAATCTTCAGGCGATAGCCTACTGTTAATGAAAAACGACAGGTGTCCGTTCTGGGATGCTGTGAAAGACCACATGATAAAATGCCCATGGGTTGATATTGTATTTTAAAAAGTTTATTGTGCTGTCGTTTGACTCTTTCATTTTAACTGGAAACACCTCTACGATCTGAGGATGAAACACGTCGATGTTCCTTTAATTTCTAACAGCGCTTTCCAATCGCATCTTAGATAATAATGCAGCATCATGATCTGATGAAGACAGTTATCGTTCCCGCAGACATTTGTTGAGGAGTTTTCCCCTTTGCGTTGATGCATAATGAAGCGTTACTGTTTTTGTTTCCATCTCAATAAAGTTTTTCCAGTTTGAAAGATCATGGCGGCGCACAGGGTTTCCACACCTCTCAGATGCGCACTGAAGTTTTTACTAACAAACTCTTTCCCGATCTCGAGAAACAGCTGCTGTCTGTCAGCCGTTTGCACGAGAAAAGGTGAGTGTTTTCTGTTATTTTGCGGTCAATCTGTTTCTTTTTTCGGAATTTCGAGAGTGTCATAGATTCTGTAGGTTATTATTCCTCAGAGGTTAACTGACTACGCCACCCAAACTGTGCCTTTGCGCCTTGTCTTTTGACGCACAATGAAATCATGTTTTGAGTTGCAGGTAACAGATCTATTTTCTGCATTGCTTCAAGGTTACAGTAGTCGGAGGAGCTGTAGTTCATCCTCATCATCCTGCTCCCCTGACTCTCCTGTAGCAGATGCTAAAAGACACTACGATCACCTTGTCCAATGTGGTGCACTGAGGGAAGATGCTCAGCAGAGATTTGTGACCGAGCGGCTGGCTCAGCTGCAGCAAACACTGAAGAGTTACAGCAATGGCATCTATTTGAACCCAGCTCCAGCGGGGGTAAACCAAAAAGATGACAAAAGGGAACATCAGAAAGGAAACAAAGAGGAAGAAGCCCGGACAAAGGTAAAGAAATCACTTCATTTACACAATGCTGTCAAGTAACACACCACGAAATGCAAATCAAGTCCCCAATGCTGCAGAATGTGTATTACAGAAGCATACTGGAGAGGTGTCTCACACTGTGGACATATGAATCTTTACTGTTTAATGTGACTTTTCAGAGTTTATAAGTCAGGTTTAGTTTTTAAGACAATGAAACCCTCTGATTGAAATGATTCTTCGTGATAATCAACATATCCCCTGCTTTCCACAAAAATAAAACTTACCACATAACCCCCCATCAACTTTCCCTGTAGAGTTTTCAAAATGCAGGTGCGGCTCAAAAAGTTGAATTGTCCTTGAAAACTTTTTTGTAACAATCTTGATAACAGCTTATAGTCCTCAAAAATAACCACCATCTAAAAACATTAGAATACAACAACACATCAATTCAAAAAAGGTGTATAACATGCAAATGTCAGACTTCTGGTAATTATGTTCATTAACATGCTCAGTACTTGTTTGGGCCTCCTTTCCCATTGCATCAATGTGATGTGGCATGAAGACAATGAGTCTGTGTCTCTGCTGGGGTGTTATTGAGGACCGGGTTACTGTATAATAACAATAATAATAACTTTGTTTATATAGCACCTTTAAAAACAGCTGTTTACAAAGTGCTTCAACAGAAGAAACAAACAAAGGAAAATTAACGGTTGGAAAATGATGGTTGACGGCATCACATCAGGAGCACAGAGGACGGATAAAAGAGAAAGAAAGAGAAATAAATAATAAAATAACATAAGGTAACATAAAAGTGATAATGAAAAGGGAGGGAGTATATTAAAACATGAGTAAGTGGTAAAAACAGGACTAAAAATTATAAGAAACCGTTGAGACTAGAGAAACAGCAGGAATAAAAATAGTTTAAATAGTTTAATTGTAAGATACGTATGCAGATAAAATAAAATAGTATGAATAACTAACAAGGTTAAACAAGAGGTACGAAGGCAAAACATAAACAAAAAAAAAAATCATGCATCATGTTAAAGCAAGTCTAAAAAAGTTAGTTTTAAGATGCGATTTAAAAGATGTCACTGATTCAGCCTGCCTTACCTCCTCAGGCAAGACGTTCCAAAGTCGAGGAGCCCTGACAGAAAAGGCTCTATCACCTTTTGTCTTACGCCTCAACTTTGGAACAGCCAGTAGGCCCCCGCCCGAGGATCTAAGGCCGCGGGCTGGCACATAGGCTGTCAATAGGTCAGATATGTAGGTTGGGGCAAGACCTGTAAGGGCTTTAAAAGTGATCAGTAAAATCTTATAATCAATTCGAAAACGGACAGGAAGCCAGTGGAGAGAAGCAAGGACAGGAGGGATGTGATGCTGTCTGCTAAAACTAGTTAGAAGCTTAGCTGCTGTGTTCTGGACCAGTTGGAGGCAGGAGAGTGATTTATTAGAGATACTGGACAGAAGGGAGTTACAGTAGTCGAACCTGGAGGGGCAAGAATGGATTTGATTATGGAAATGGACTTGATCTGAACGAAACATGATTGGACTGTTTTCTTGATGTGCTGTTCAAAGGTGAGGTTGGAGTCAGAAATTACGCCTCGCAGATGATGTGACATTGGCAGAGTGTGGACCAAGGATGTTTTTTATCTGGTTAATATTTGTGTTTGAGTAATGAAAGAGGATGATTTCTGACTTTGATTCAAACTTTGAGAGCTCCTTCAGCTCAACTGTTTTGTCGGTTCTCTGATCTATTTCTTGATGATACCCCAGAGTTTCTCTGTAGGGTCCAGATCAGGCCAGTTGGCTGGTCAATCAAGCACGGTAAAACAGTAAAACCATAGTCAGTATTAAAGTTTCTGGTCGTTCTCGACCTGTGGGCAGGTGCAGGTCCTGCTGGAAAAGGAAATCTGTAGCTCCATAAAGCTTCTCAGCAGATGGAAGTGTGATTTGCTCTAAAATCTCTCAGGAGGCTTAAGGCTGATTTGACTCTGAACTTGATGAAACACAGTAGTCCTGCATGTTTTGGATGTTTCCCTGCTCCAACACACCTGATTCAAATGATCAGCTCGTTATTAAGCCATTACAGAGCTTGATAACGAGCTGATCATTTGAATCAGGTGTGTTAGAGCAGGGAAACATCCAAAACATGCAGGACAGTGGGCCTCGAGGACTGGACTTGAGAAACACTGCAGTAGAGCAACACCAGCAGATGACACGGCAACCCACATCACCATAGACTGTGGAAACTTCATGTTGGACTTCAAACATGTTGGATTTTGTTTCTCTCTGATCTGTCACCAGACTCTGGGACCTTGAGCTTTATATAAGATGCAAATTTTACTTCCAGATTTAATTTACTATAGCTTTGATCAAGAAACCTAACTCTGATTTCCAGTCTCAGGTTTTATCTGAGCACTGCGATCTTCTTTGATAGTTTGGAGTTTGTCCTATTTCAATGGAGATGCATAATTTGATGTCTGCAATAAGTTGGTTTTATAACCCCAATTGATTAGAGTTGGGGACTGTGTGGCTCAGCGATAAAGAATTTGATGTTTGCAGATAATTTAAAGCCAATATTTAATTTAAAATAGCACAACATGTTGAACTGAAAAAAAAGAGTTTCATGAAAAATACTGCGTGTGTTTATTTTGGATTTGATGCCAGCAACAGGTTTCAAGGAAACCTGGAAAAATCTCTGTACAGCAAGGAGAAGGCTGAAAAATTGATACTGGGTGGCTGTGATCTCTGGGCCTTCATTAAAAGTAGACATGATTCTACAGTGAAAATCACTGCATGGGCTTAAAATTACATCTAAAACCCATTGCAGTTTGCTGCTGCATCCACATATTCAGGTTCAAATGTATCCTTATGTGATGGTGTGATGATGCATCAGTTTGTATGGCATTGGCATGACCAGTTTACACAAAAATGGAGGCACAGTTAATGCTGCATGATGCAAAATCCACTCAAAGCCTTCTCAAAAAAGACCTTGAAAAATACAGCAAGACGATGCTGGACTGTATTTAGCATGAACTAAAACAGCATGGCCTCGTGGTTGAAGAGTATGGATGCTGAACAAGCCTGCCTGCAGTCCTGACTTGTCATCTGCTGAAAACTTTCGATGCATCAAAGAAGACCCTAGACTGTTTAGTGGATGAAATCCTATACCAAGCAAGAGCTGGACATTTCGCTTTCAAAATGACAGAAAACTCTGTAAACATTTACAGAGATGAGGTGATTCAACAGGAAGGCAAACATGCCCTCGTCTCAACTGTTTTAAAAACATTCTGCTGGTATCAAATTTTGTTAAGGCATAGCATTTTTTCAGTTTCAAAATTTGTCCCTGCACTGTTTTAAGTTCAATATAGGGTCTAATAGGGTTAGGGTAACAACAGAAATGATAAAATTCCCTTTTTTCAATATTTATACACAGTGTCACAACTCTGATGGTCCCTGGGTCATGTCCTGTACATGATATCTTTGTAGCAAATAAACATGTATGTGTCCAATGAGCAAAGCCCACTCAGTATTGATTTATTCACGTTAAAAATTTCCCTAACACTCCCTCGGTGTCCTTAAAAAAAGGAATAGTCAGGTGAGACGTGAGACACCTAAAACCTCATCCGTTTGGCAAAGCAATTTTATCAAAGTTTGAACTTAAAACAAAATTTATCATAGAGACTAAAAGTGTTTATAAATTTGAGTGTTATTGTGCAGGAAAAATATGACTAGAAGTAGAAATCATGCTCACATTGTATGAAAAACTAATGTCCGGTTGTTTACGATCGACGTGGCAGCATGGCTTTGTTTACGGCCTTTCATAGCGTAGCATCTGGTCCCCCATTCTGCCGTAGAGCTCCACTGACATCTAACATATGGGGGGGACTTCAGAGTCCACTGGACTGTTCTCCAGTTGTAGCATCCATGGTGGCCATGAGGCTCAGGTCAAAGGGAGGGTAGGGGTCTGGGAAGCGTATTGTGCATGTGAGTTTTGCACAGACCAAATCTAGGGGGCTGTTGTTGTTTTTAGGTCAGGGGAGCTGACTGTCTACTATTTGGTGGTGGGAGTATTTTTTTTTTTTTTTTTTTGCTGGTTGGCTGGCACAGACACACAGAGTTAGGCAGAGATTTTGGAAGGCAGCAGGGCAGACCTCCCGCTGGGCTCGTCCCGGCACCCCTCTCACTCTCTCACCGTCCCCATGCAGTAATGAGGGGATCCCCATTGTCTGCCCCATTCTTGTCCTTTTTGCTTTTGATTTGGGACTCTGACAAACACTTTGGTGTTAGGCTATCAACACCACCAACCCCCCTCCCTCCTCGCTCCTTTTTGCACCTTATTTCTTGCACTCTCTCTCTCTCTCTCTCTCTCACACACACACACACACATACAAATACACACACATACACACTGACTGGAGTACTTATGCAATTATTCTGGTTTGAATCAGGTCATACCACTGTCCTTTCGGTGTCTGTTCTCTCTGTGAAAGTGCCGCCATTGTCCTCGCTAACTGACCAAGTCTGTGAGGAGAGTACACTTGACTTAATATTGACCCAATGTGGCGTGGTTTTGCGGATGGTCGGCTAACAATGGGCCATTGTTTGGCTGGAGCCATCCTCTTCAAGTCAGACCTGATCGGAGCCCTCCTGTACATTATGAGTCTCCATCAGGACTGTTGGACCAGTTGAATCTAACCCCGCAGCCCACAATCACTCTGTCAACCCAGCTAGTGCGAGACATGACACCTTGAGTTGTAGATAAACATGTTCAAAAGCAGTCGTTCCAAAGTCCAAGTGGCCCTGTCCTGCATGTGAACTTTCCACTCATGTGCCAGTCTACATCCTCCAAACGGGAGGGGAGACGAGGCCACAAAGCCCAGCGAGACAGAGTGGCTGAGGGACGGCCTTGTGCTTCTCCACTCTGCCGTGGCAGAATGGCTTCCAGCCACCACTGACAATTACCCCGCCATGCCAGAGGGCAGCCTGGGAAGTCAGGGAGAAGTCACACACTGTTTTGCTAGAGCAGACAGGAAAGGCTTGTTGCTCTTCCAGTGTTTCACTCCGGCTCAGGAGGATAGGACGGGCAGGGATGGAGGGATGAAGAGGAGGAGGGGGGCAAGGAGAGGGAGAGGGGATGGGTAACAAGTTTGTTTTTTCTTTTAGTTTTGAATTGGCCATTGTGTGCATTTAGCAGAGTCAAGTGCTCCTTCTGTGGTGGACACCAAGTGCAGGGGACACAGAGTACGGTGTCAGTTAAATAGTCGCTAAATTAAATTTTGAGAGTACAAACCTTTCTCTATTTAGTGCTGAGTTCATTCCAAAGCCATTTGGCGTTGCCCTGGTTACACAGATGGACCATCTTCAACAACAGTGATCTTAAACCGTACCTAAAAACACCAATCCAAAGTCCTCTTGTTTACTGATATATTACAAGTTATCATCTGCATACCAAGATTAAACTGATGATGAGCGTTTTCATGGTCCACTCCAGGCTCTCTCCAAACATATTTGGCATTACTCAATATTTCTCAGCCTGGTCACACAGAAGACGTTTTTTTTTAAGCAAAGACCTTTTGATGATAGGAGGCAGGCAGCACAATGACTTCCAGCAGCACCTCAATGAAACAGTACCGTATCACAATTAGCAGCGCTAAACAGGCTGCACAGACAAGTCCACTCCATCTCGTATGGAGCCTCATCCAGTCCTCTCCGTTTTGTCTGACAAATCCCCCCATTGTTCCTCTGATGATGCTTTTCTTTCGTGGGAACCCCGGCTTGTCTTGTTGATTAGATCCCCTTTGTCTTCCTCCCCTGCAGCGGGCCAGTCTGGAGAATGTGAAACCTCACACTGTAGTAGTGGCTTAATGCCTCAGCATACTGTGTTATTAAACCACGATTCAGTCTTATATGGTAATTAATATAACGAAGTTTATATAGGTCACCAGTTATATGGTTTTGTTATTGTAATAAGGAATTAATCTATGCGTTAAAAACGTAAAAACCCTTTTGATTCATGGGTTACTGTTGTGCATTGTTGTTTGCCTTAACAAGCAGCTCTGAAAGGGGTTGACATGAAACAAACAGACACAGTCATTTCCTTATTTCTTCTCTTTTCCAATAAAGGAGGAACCAGCACCACCTCCACCACCCAAAGGCTTCTACATCTATGGAGATGTTGGTAAGATGCATAACAAAAAAATTGAAATCACTGTGAGCTTCATTGGCTCAGCATGTGTGCACATACAAGTAATTTGACTTTGGGAAAATGTGCTTTTTCCGTACAACTTTAAACATTTAACAAATATGTACAGGGTTATAGAAGATAGTAGTGCAGAGCAAAGAAGTGTACTGGATGCTGAAAATATATATTTAATTATTTTATTATTTTAAAAGATGGGCTAATTTACATGAGAGATGGACTTATGCGTGTAAAATTATGCGTGTAAATGATTTTACACTATCAACACTAACAAGATTGTACATAGATACATGCAGTTGAGAGGACAATATTTACATGATAAAAACGTGTGATAGAGAATTACTTTCTAAAAAATGTAATAATTTAAAAAAAAATCAAGCAAAGGATTTTCTGTGGTGCTGACTATTTACGACAGTGACACCCAGAGGGTGGGACATTGCCTTATAGTGGGTCTTAGTGTTACAGCAACCGGGCCATGAGGTCATTTAAAGCTCCAGGGAGAAGTTATTAGCTGTCTATGAAAAAGACTAAAAATCAATACCGACGCCTCTATGCAAAAGAGACCATCAGCATACATGTTACCTCTTTCAATGTGATTATATTTAATTCTGGAACTTCTGCCATATGGTGTGGTTCACATACAGTGATTATTGAGACACTGTCTTTCAGTGTTTCTGTCAAATAGGTAATAAATGAGATTTAGACATAGAGTTTATCCACAGGGGGCGCCAAAGTCACCAAAAACCAAAGTTTCTCCGGTCAGTACAAAATTTTTATTGAATATTGAATTGCCCTTTGGGGTTATATAAAGTTCTTCTTCTTAAATTATCTAATCTTATCTTAAAACTCTTTATTCCTTCAACTTTTCAAAATAATTTTTTTAATTGTTTGATTAATATTTCTTTTGCTGCATTTTGCCCACCATACATGATATTTCCCTGTTTGTACAATAAAGACATGCTATTAAGGCCCCTAATGTTGGTTTCAGCTGTCGATCTGAGTTGTGTTATGGGCTTAGTTACTGGCTTATGATATTCCAGTCACTTGTATTTCATGCCCCACATCATTTCTAAGATGATGACAAAGTCAGGATGATTGCTTCTCCCCTAACTTTTCCCCTGTTCAGGCACAGGGAAGACTATGCTCATGGACATGTTTTACTCCCATGTGGAAAACCCTCACAAAAAGAGAGTCCACTTTAACGGCTTCATGTTGGACATCCACAAAAGTGAGTGTTCACTTTCCTCTTAACTACATGAACTACTTTAAAGTTGGTTTGTCTGACTTTTTTATGGAAGTGTCTGACCCCTGGTGCTTTTGAGATCCTATATTTATCTCTGTGTTTGTCCTCTGGCCATCCTGCTAATTGTCTACCATTATGCAAACAGAAGAAATTACAGCTTTATTCAGTATCGTGGTGCATTTGGGTTTGTGATGCAGGTGTGCTTTAAGATGTGTGTGACGTTTGTGTGCTGCTTAAAGGGATCCATCGGAGGAAACAAAGCCTGCCAAAACGAAGGCTAGGGAAAATGTTCACCTATGACCCCATATCACCGGTTGCCATGGAGATCAGTGGTGAAACCTGCCTCCTGTGTTTTGACGAGTTTCAGGTGAGGGAGTGCATTACAGACTGTGTGAGTGTGTGTGTGTTTTGCTGTGCATAGAGCCTCCTTGAACATTTGCTGGGAGTAGTTAACCAAACAATAAGACTTCTCAGACTACAGTGTTCAGATATTCTGTCTTTATATTAACTGTATAGATATGCTAAAAACCATGGTATCCCACACTAACCCCTCTGCATAGTATTTGCTATAAAGATAAATATAATGCTGGATGAGGGGTTCCCAAACTTTCCGCCCAGGTCCCTCAAAATAAAGGTGCCAGAGACTTGAGCCCCCACTGCCTTTAAAGGTGGTTAAACATTGATATCAGCAACAAGCAAGCTCTAACAACAGATGAGAGCACAACAGCTAAACAACCATGAACTGTTTTTACAGTAGTTTAGGAAATAAATAGTTTTTATATTTAGGCTGAAGCAGTGACAAGAATATTTAATAAGAAGATTCCTGTGTTTGTGAAATTTGTGCTTACTTAAAAATGCTAACGATGTTTGTGCAGAAAATTAGCTTAACAATGTTCACATGTTGCTGTGTTTCCGCACAGAGGGTCTGGAAACCCATTTTAGGAATCACTGTGCTGAATCTCTGTCAATTACACCACACTGACTCTGAGACATAAGTACACTTAAATTCTTTTAAATACTTTTGCAGTAGAAATATTAGAAATTAAAAATGAAAGCCTCTGGATATAAGAGTCTGATACACAGAAAAACTCATTGAAGAAAAGAAAACTGTGATATCTTTTCTGAGTTTCCTGTCCTAGTTCTATCTGCTTTGTAGTTGTTTCTTTACTTTTGTTGGAAGGGAAAAAATCTGATGATTTTCCTTCTTCCTCTTCTTCTTCTGAGTTCAGTGCTGAATGTTCATTTTGTGATCACTGTCAGTGTTCGCTCAAACTTGACACCTTTCCTATCTGAGCAACTGGATGATTCTGATACTTTAATCTTACAAAAATAGGACTGGGGACACCTAGTGGCCATTTTTGAACACAGCAGAACTTCCAGTAGCATTTCAAGCCTCCTCCTTTTACTAATCAGCAGAGTAATAATGTAGTAGTACTGCAATATTTGTACCTGTTTTCTGGTATGTTATAAGGTTGAATTTTTATTTGTCTGTACTTTGAAACTGCAGATCAGTCAGTCATCAGCTTCTGCTGCTTATTTATGTGCGCACACTTCGTTTCCTAAGAGATCATGCGTTGATTTTGTTTCAGGATGTAACCTGCTTGAAGACACCTTTAGCCCTTAGTGGCACAGAGCAGCTCATTATTTTACCCTCTGGTGTCAATGGAGAGATCCACTTGAGCAGCTCTCTGCCTTCTCTGTAAGGTAGTTAGTCATTCAATCCATAAAAAAAGACGTGCGCTTCTGTATTTATCATCAGCCAAACACATCTGTTAGCAGCACAATGATGCTCTTCTTACCGATATCATTACAGTTAATGCCAGCAGGTCAAAGGTCACAGAAGGTGCTCTTGCTCCCTCTAATCACTCTCTATGCATCTGTGAGGATCAAGAGCTGCTCCTTTCATCCGCTGCGTCTTTCACGTTTGAAACTGCGGCGCTGTTTGTGCCTTCTCATTGATTTGTTTTGTTTGCCGTCACCGGCTTATCTGTTTTCACTCGTCGACTGTTTCTACCGATGAATGGAGGGGGAAAACAAGCGGACATGTGCGCGGTGTTTGTGATGCATAAACAAGAGGTTGCAAGGTTGGAAGAAGAGAGTTGGGGGTGTATCAGTGTGTGTGTGTGTGTGTGTGTGTGTGCATGTGTGTGTGTGTGGAGGGGGGTCTATACCAATCAGCATCCTCCTCCACTCAGCCATGCAAATGAGGCTCTGGGTATCAGTCGCACTCTCCTGCTTCCTTAAGTGAGTGGAGCTAGAAAGCGACTTGCGGCGGCGGCGGCGGGTCAGATGGATCTTATCCTCTTAAATGCTAATGACATTTCTCCATTCTCTTCATTAGCGCCATGCCATTATCAGTAATTTGTAGCCCCCCTCCCTCCTTTTACAGCCCCCCTAATGAATCCTCAGCATTGAGAGGTCCAAGATGGAAAAGATGGGGAAGAGAGCAAGAGAAGGGAAGGAGAAGAGGAAGAGTGAGAAGAAAACGCTCAGCGTCATTGTCTCAGGGCCTCGGTGAATGTGCGGCCTCTGTGAAATTGCTCATAGGTTGTGTACATAAAGAGGTGTAACATCAAAAGAGGTTTAATTTGGCACCCGTGGGCCTCACAGCAAACTGACAGCAGCTTGAGTAATTGGATGCTCATTTAAATATCGGCATTGGCGGACAGAGATTGCACCATTATTTTTGTGCTCCACAAGTGCTACATCAGTCCCCCCTCCGCCTTTCTCATTCTGTGGGTACCCATTCTCTCTCTTTCCACCCTGTCTCATTCAGCAATCAATATTGCCCCTCATACTATGCCCATGTTGAGGGCACATGAATAAACAAATCCAGGTTGTATAAAAGGTCATTTTTAAATGATTCTTTTGAAATGAAAATAAAAAATCCTGCGGTCGGAGAAAATGGGGGGCCCATCATAGAGACACAGGGTCTTGGCTTTCTGTTGATTCTCATTACACACGCGCAATCACTCACTCCCTCACACACACACTTATTTGATGCCCCTAGCCACCTCTCCTTAGCAAATCAAGGCTTTAACACAAATGTTAATCAAGTATTGGCAAGGGCAGTGGGGCTAATATGCAAAAGCAGAAGACTCTCCAGAGTATGAAAGGAGGCATATGCTGTGGGTATGGCTGTCAGGAGGGTCTGTTATCTACAGCAGAGGAGGTAAGAGGAGAGGGCAGAATCAAGCACTACCTACTTCTTAAACCCTTTTAGATCCAAAATATGGTACATCCTTTGAACAACTTGAAATGTTTACTTCCGTTCCTTCTTAATCTTGATATGTGCAGAAGATATTTCTCTTTTTCTTTACATATTTTCCAGGTATGACATTCTTATTTCAGGGGGAAATATGTGCTATATTGGATTTTAAAGATTCCTGAATGCTAAGTATAGCTCTTGAAAAACAAATGAAAAACTCCCAATTAACACTCATGAAGGAAATGTAACAGAGAAATTTCAAATACAGAACCTTGATGGTTATTTTTTTACATGACACAAGGTAATTCAAGTCCAGTTAAAAATGGCTGTCAAATGATCACTTTTTAAAAATTAGACTAATCCTGAATTTTACAAGGTAAACATAATTGATTTCATTTCTGATTGCATATTTGAATCCCATCATTTTGCATTTGAAGCCTTTATTCACTGTGTAAAGCACCTCATATCAGTGTCTTGATTTTATAATGAAATAAATGCAGCCATTTCCATTCATTCTGTTGTTATCTTCAGTTCAGTTTCATCCACAGGTCTGCGGTGATTCACACACCAAAATGTGATGTGATCAGCTGTTGATATCAGGTTAATTAGCTGCACCTGTGAGCTAAGCCTGTAGGACATGTCTCATAGTTAGAAAACTTAGTCAAATTTTAATTCCATTGAACACAAAGCGCATATTGTGTTAACAGTTTAGTCTTGAGTTAGTTTTTGATTAAATGGACCAATCAGACAGGAAATGGTGTCATTAATTTACTTAATGTTGGAAGCAGGAGGCAGGAAGATGTTGTGTTGGTTTAACAACTGTATGCCAAAGAAACAAAATAGATTGAATCCCAGCCCCCAATTCCCACCTAATTTTTATCTTTATCAAAGTAAAAAGGGTTAAATGTGCAACTCGTAGTGAATCCTTTGCAGTGAAAATCTGTGCTTTCCTGCTTATCACTGCATGTGACACCTACCCTGCAGCACAGTCACTAGAGTACAGAATAAACGTATAGAGACATCAGTGTTAAATTCAGTCAGTTTCATCACCAAACATAAACACTTCACACAAGCTTTAATGTTTTGTTTTAACCTTTATTTATATTTGTTGGTATTTGTTGCAATTTACCCTAAATCAAATTATATATTTATTAAATCAGGTGGCTATTAACACTTGATAATTGTGGGTTGTTGTTTTTTTTCACACACACACACATATATATATATATATATATGTATATATATATATATATATATATATATATATATGTCTATTTATATATATATGTATATATATATATGTCTATTTATATATATATATATATATATATATATATGTATATGTATATATATATATATGTGTATATATATATATATATATATATATATATGTATGTATATATATATATATATATGTATATGTTATGTGTGTGTATATATATATATATATATATATATATATTAGGGGTGGGGGAAAAAATCAATACAGCATAGTATAGCAATATTTTGTCTGGTTATATCTGGTATCCTCTCATTTACCGAGTTTTGATTTTTCAAATTAATTGCTAATATGAAGTCAAATCTATGATAATGAAAAAATAAAATCAACTATTTGTCCAGTAAAGTTGGCAGAGGTGGCATCATAGAGCAAGAGAAAGTTAGTACAACAAATATAGCAGCACCTGAGGAAAGACATTAGGAATGCAAGCAGGGCAGAAATGAGATGGACCTGATGGATCTACCAGCGTAAATAAGACAAACATAAAGGAAAGACAAATGCAGAATTTGCTAAACAGTTTAAAAAAATGTATAAATTGTAATGTATTGTATCGCAATACTCACTGTATTAAAAATTGTTAAAAATCGCAATAATATTATATTGTGGCTCAAGTATCGTGATAATATCGTATCGTGGTATCACTGGTGATTCCCACCCCTAATAAATATATAACACTCTGACTATGTACCGTAATGTTGGGACAATTTAACACCACGTTCAATCTCAAAACTCATTTTTAATTTGGACAACATCAAAACAACATTGAACCATTGCCTCTTGGTAGATTGATGTGCAGGGTCAGAGAATTTCCATCTTTGTAGTGACTTCTGTCCCAGAGATCAGCAGCATGGTTGGTTAAAATTTGAGAATACAATAACACGTTTTAACTAACTTTGGCTTTAAGCTATCTTCTGCGAAATGAATCAAACTACTACATTTATGTTCAATGTTGCATTTGGTAACTTCACAAATAAAAACATTCACTACCATGAACCACAGAGACTTTTGACAGAGAGTAATGTTATCAGAAACCTTCCATATTTTTTTTACAATTATAAAGGTACAAAAATAAGGATGGAAAAAGTGCTTCTCCTGCGAGCTGTCTCCCTTTATTTTTGTCAAAATTGTTGATTTTATCAGTTGTCAGCAAAAAAAGCAGCAGCAAGAAAACAGATGTAGTCAAAACCTTGAACAGACTAATTGAACGTTTTGAAACTGAACGTACTTTTCTTATTAAATCTAAGAAGAGTAAAAAATGTTATTGTGGGAACAGATGGGAGAATCTTGCCTTGTGAGCTGCCTTTTTTTTTTGTTTATTTTGCTTATTCTGTGTGTGCTAAGATGGAACTAAGTCAGGTTAATAAATGAACAAAAGAAATACATTGTTTTGATCATTGTAACTGCAGAACCTTGATTAGTTCAGCTTCTTTTACAATATAACCGTTTTAACCAGTTAAATCAAGCATGTTGCATACATTTTTCTTTGATTTGTTACTGTGCATCACAAGGCTACTGATTTCTCCCATCAAAAGTGCAAACAGAGGTGAAAGAGGAGAGATGAGAGAGTAAGAACAAAAGCGAGAGTGCTGAATTACTAATAGAAAGGTCAGAGCTCTTCATTTATCGGCCTAGCTTCAGTGTTGTCATCGACCTTTGTTCATTGTGCTCTGAATGTGATGTAGATGAAAAAGGCAGTGAGCAGTTGAATTAGATTTAGGCATTGTAACCTGGTAGCCTTGTGTTTGTACGGCACACATTTGCACAACTATTAATGCCTTTATGTGTCTGGAGTGACCCAAGTCTGGATTCACATTGCTCTGTTTTTAATATTATTTTCTTCCTCTGGTTTTGTCATCCTCACGCCGGCTCTGTTGATTAGCTCTGTACCACTGCCTTGCATCTTATACACGCATGTCCTCAGCCGAAAGCTGCTTCGTGACCATTTGAAGTCAGTTCAAGTGCTGTAAGTGTGTGTGTATGGGTGTGTGTGTGAATGTGTGCTCACGTGTATGTGGATGGAGTGTGAGTGGCCATGACCAGACACAAAGGAGTGAATGAGCACACCTGAATGACACTAATCAACATGGAGTGTTGATGGCATGGTTTGACCTCGGGTGCGCACACACACACACACACGCACACAGATGTGCATTTGGGGGGTGTGAGAAGGTAAATTATATGGTACATGAATATCTCGCCTCTTGTCCTGTCGTTCTATTGCATTAGGTGACTGACATTGCTGACGCCATGATCCTCAAGCAGCTGTTTGAGACGCTGTTCAAGACCGGAGTGGTGGTGGTGGCCACCTCCAACAGACCCCCAGATGGTACGAGAAAAGCAATGACTGCACACAAATGAGTCGTATTGATCTGTGTTTTGATCAAGATAATATTAATATGATGTATGGTTGTTGTAAAAGACAAAGTTTAGCAAAAGGTGGAAAGGTTGGTCAACACTATAGAGGCATTCACTCTTTTGTCTAAATTTCCACTGTGCACTAGGGATGGGCAATATGGGCTAAAAAAAATTACCACAATAAGATTTGTCAATCTGACGATAACAGTAAAAGTCTTGAAAAAAATATTATAATTCCAATCTATATTTTTGTCTCATTTAGTCTTGAGAACACCAGTTGGAATAGTCAAATAAGATACTTAACCTTAAGTTTGACTGGTAGGTTATGGAGAAAACTAATGACATCAAACAAGTCTCTAATATGAAAACATTTTCAACATTTGTTGAAAACTCTTATTGCACAGAGTGAACAGAAGCAGATCCACTGTCTGATATCAGACATACCTGGTTTCACTCATCTAAGCCCCATTCTTGATGGAAATCCCTCATGAGGAGCTTCATTCAGTAACGAGCTGCTCAGAAACGTCTTCTTCATCACTTTCGGCCATGTTTGTTTGTTTTTCTGCTCTGTATGGGCGATGGTTATGTGCCCATAGCTTGTGCTTACGTCATTAACTTGCATTTATCTTATTTATCATGAGATGACAAATATTTATCATGGAGGATTTTTCTGACGATATATCATGAATGGTAATGTATCGCCCATCCCTACTGTGCACTTTGTGGATAAACACTGACAAGCCATTTTCTGATCTTTGATCTGTAGTACAGGCTCAGATTTTGCTCAAAACACCAAGTAACTTGATATCATTTTCAGTTATCTGCTGTATCTGCTCTTGTCCTACCCCTTTTGGAAACTCCAGGTACTACACCAAAGTACAAAATTATTGATGAGTTGCACACAATCCCTGTAAATGCAAATCAGATTTAAATAATTGACTTACTTCATCTTAACCTTTCTTTTTTTGAGCCTCCAGCCTCAAAACTACAGACCCACAAATCCCAGCAAGACATTTAAAACAGCAGCTCTGTGAATATTCAGGGAATTCAGCATGGTATGTTGATGATGAGGTTTTTCAAAATGTGTCTACCCCGTGCCCCGTTTTACTTTTTCGGCCGAGCATGAAAGAATGCAAGGAATTCTAGCTTTTATTGAAAACTCAGCTCAGAAGGAATGAGAAGTTAAAAGGCTAACAGGAAAATTTTATCCAGCAAGGTCTTAGCCCTGAAGGTTCATATAACCATTCAGCGAACAGAGCACCGTCAGCCTACAGCTACAATAACAAGTGATATATCCAGAGCTTCAATACTTGCTTCTCCTCCCCTAAAATCACCAGTTTCTCTACATTAATCTGCATTATTCAGTTCTGTATTCAAAAGTGCTCTGCTCCTGCAAGAATCAATGGAGCTTTACAAAATCACACCCTAACAGCAATTAGCACAGCTCTTACTGACACAATTCAACACCTTGTGGCTTTGATGTTGCATTTACTGCCAGCTGAGTATGGTTGGATAAGTAATAGTAAGACACTGATCAGGCTGATGATAAATGCATGATGTGCTGTCTATCATCTTTACTAGACTTGGGGGAGATGCTAATGTCTCAAAGTCTTAAGTGGGTAAAGTGGATGGCAGTAAGGTGGCTTTCAAAGACAAAGGCGCACCCCTCTGATATTTACTAGCTATTAAGAACAAAGCTGGAAAGCATAAAAACTTGAGAGAGCGCCTACTTGGTATTAATTACATGGTTAATGGAACACTGACAGCCATAAGAGACAACTGGACATGAAAGGCATACATTTTCTATCTTTATTGATGTGGAGATGCTGGTATCAAAAAGCCCTAGATGTGTTTTGAAGGGTATTCAGAGGGATTTTTTTCCTCGACTGGCTAAAGTGGCATTTTGTCTGTTTTAAACACTGATGGAGTGTGTTGAGTTTAAAGAGGATAAGGAGGATAAATTATATCATGGAGTGAAAACCTCACAGGTTACATTAGTGAACTCAAGCCCAATTTTCTGTACTGTGGCTTCAGTTATATAACCCTGGGAATAAATAACAGAATATCAAGGGAAATTGTCCATTTTAGCAAATATTTGCTTTCTTGTTTTGAGTTAGATGGGGAAACTTATATTCTTAGAGGGATATTCCAGCGTAAAATTAAGTTGGGGTCAAACACATTGTAACACCAAGTTAGACACCCCCTCCAGAGATGAATGTTGCCGACTGCTTGCTTCTCTAGTTACACCAACTATAGTAACAACTGCACGATAGCAATACACAGCGGTCTACGTCTCCACGCACAAACTTCAACCAAAAAGCCACTCTGTAGTCACAAATAATGCTCAAAACAGCCATAGTATTAGCCACCAAACATCTTTTTAGCTTTGCCTGGTTTCTTAAGCAAAATGACTAAACACAACTCACCCACTCTCCTCCTGTAGTCATTTGTTCTTGTGGGGGAGCCCTGACGAGTCGATCACAGAGTGCAGTGGATCATTTCCTTGAAGTAATAATCATCATAATAATCATTTTGCACTGCAGATGCGGTAGTTTCTTCTGCCTTAGCTTGCATTTCCATGCAGTAATAATCATAAATGTTCCTCCTTGAGCTGCGTAACTCTGCTGCACTTGGTGATCAACTCGTCAGGGCTCCCCCACAAACAAGCGACTACAGGAGGAGAGTAGGTGAGTTGTGTTTGGTCTCTTTGCCAAAGAAATTAGGCAAAGCTAAAAAGATGTATGATGGCTAGTACTATGGCTGGGACCCTATATGTACTGTTGATGAAGTTAGGTGCTGTTTTGAGCATTATTTGTGGCTACAGAGTGGCTTTTTGGTTGAAGTTTGTGCGTGGAGATGTAGACTGCTGTATATTGCTATCGTGCAGTTGTTACTATAGTTGGTGTAACTAGAGAAGCAGACGGTCGGCAACATTCATCTCTCAAGGTGTCTAACTTGGTGTTACGGTGTGTTTGACCCTAACTTAATATTACATCAGAATATCCCTTTAATCTGATTAAGAATAAATGTTAGGCTGCTTAGTTTGACCCACTTCAGAATCAAAAAGAGTTACACCACTACTTTGACTCAAAGGCAAAAATCCTCCCATGAAACACCTTTGAAATTAATTGATTGATAAGAAAATTCAAGTTTGTTTGTCGCTCAAAGTTTTAAGTGTTTAATTAAAAATAACAATTGCTATATATTTTTTAGAAAGCTACGTTAGCAGTTGGTTGATTTAACTCAACACAAACCAAAAAGAGGAGCGCTGCTCACTTCAAAAGCTAAATACTAAACAAGAGACAGCTATTTTGATTGTTTTCTTAAGAAAGACAAGTGGATAAAGAGATGTAATCAATGTCATTTTACAGAAAACTAGCTGGTTAGCCAAGCCCAAACACAAACTGAAAACAGGAAAATTTCTACTTTGGCACAAAGGCAGTAAACCCACCCATGTAACACTTTTAAAAGTAACTGACTGACAAGTAGACTGAAGTTTATGTTGTGTTTTAGAGGTGCTTGTAAACCTTGTGTACCCTGGACTAATCCAGACCAACTCTTTCCATAGTTTGAAGTCTTTGTGCTGAGCTCAGCTAAACTGCCCCTCTTTTGTTTCAGGCTTTGTGTTATCACAGTTTCCTGAAAGAAAATCAAACAAAGTAAAAAAAAAGATTTCTTTGGCCACAGGGATAGTAATATTGCAAACACATCACAGTGCGTCACGGTATAGAAGTTATACAGCAAGTGTTATTTGTCTGTCAGGTGCTACTGTCGTTAGCTTGAGCCCAAACATCAACAACAGCCACTTGTTTGCATTTGCAGCTGGAGAGAGCTTAAGCCTCTGTGTGTGTCTGTGTCTGTCTTTGTCTATGTTTGTGTGTCGTCCCTATCTGTTTTATCTGTCTATCATGGATGCTACTTCAGATGTAATTTGTTCCAGCCGAGCTAATTGAAACCCCTATTCAGCAAGCTGCTGTGGACATTGTCCGTGCTGAAAAGGCGACAGTCCTTTCTCTCGCCACTATTGTTTGGGAATGTAATGAATTTTATGTTGCTGCCGCTGCCGGTAGAGAAATCCATTTTTATCCCTTGGTCCCAGTCCTTTTGTCGTGCCTCCCCACCCATCCTTCAGTTCATCAATAGCCACTTTATCTGCCAATCTGCGGCGGGGGAATGACATTATTAGGAGCTAAACAGCACCTCTAATACAGGCCCTCCCCTCCTCTTTCAGATCTGTACAAAAACGGACTTCAGAGGGACACCTTTCTACCTTTCATCGACATGCTGAAGGTAGAGACAAAGTCATCCCTCTCTCTTGTTTTGTTAATTTATTCATTTGTTTACCACACACATAAACACACCTTCACACATTTGCATGTGCGCCTCTGCGCGTCTCTGTGTGTCTCTTTTGCGAGTTGCTCTTTAGCGGTTTGATGTTCTGTGCTTCCTGGATGCCTCGCGCCGTGTCACAAAGCTGTCTTTGATCATACTAGGGCACGCTGAAAGACTCGCACAGAGAGCGAGAGAAAAGTAGAGGGAAATGGAAGGGAATCAGTGAGCAAAGGTAATGTGAGTGAGAGACGGGCAGACGAGCTGAGGGACTGACCCAGACTGCTTGCATTTCAAAAGTAAACAGGGGGGAGAGGTAAGGTGAAGAGAGGCAATGTGATGGTTAGCATTTCCAACAACAAAAAAATCTCTTTTGCAAATTAATCAGGGAGTACCATTATCCTTCCTGCATCTCAGATGATCACTGATGTGTTTGGAGTGATCATGATCATAAATAATTGCATCATAATTTGTTGTCATGCATTTTACAACAGAGGAGGGCAGCATTCTTGCATCTTTTATTGGCATTTTCTCCTCATAGACAAGATAAGTACGACCAGCTGCAGTGCTTTGGAGCACAAATGAGCTACTTTTTATTATTCACTTGACAGTAAAGGTAAAGACAAACTGAGTTTAATTGCACAGATACTAGCCTGATTCTGTATATATGTCACTGGTATACTACAAGCAGGCAAAATATTCAGATTTGGTATATATAGGCCCGTGAAGTATTGGACTCTTATGCACTGATTGAATTGATATCATTTGTGTGGTCAGGTTGTCCTAAACATCTCTGTTAATTGTTGTTATGGGCTTATGACCAATCAGGATCAAGTATTAAATGCAGCAAAGTAACAAATGGGTGAAATAGCAGTCTGTAAATGTAGACATAGATTGTGATGGTTTGTGACAATAAAAGGAAGGCAACGTTCAAGGATGATATCCAAATGTACCCCAATCAGGTTCTGAAAGAAACTGAATCACCATTATTGTTACAGATTGATCACAAACTTCAACTTTTATTGGTGCGAGAGAAAAAGCAGTGTATCACACAATGTTTATTTCTTATCTTAAAATACTTAAATATTTTATTTTGAGTCAAACAGTAAGAATACCACACATCTTTTGGTCTAGTTCTGTACACGCAGCTGTATTTATGAGGGAAACTGCTGACTTACAGTCCCACTCAAATTTTTTTTTTTTTACTACTTAAAGTGTTCTCAGTTGTCTTTAATTTGTGATTACGATGTTTTTAGCCAAAATCACTTTACCTGTGTCAATTTTAAGAGCTTTTCTTCGGCAGAGCTCCAGTAGCTCATCAGCAATTATTTTTTGAGTCATGGGCAGAGACAGCATTGCTCTGCACACTCCTCTTCATGCTAGCTTGCAGCCTAACATTGTCGTTGTAGTAGAAGTGGCAGGTAACATAGGAGCTATTCAGCTCTCTAACGCTAATGTCTTTAGGGACATGATGAAAGTTAAGATCATAATTAGCTTTCTTACAAGCATTGCAATGTGCTAACACACACGTTTGTCTGCGATCATCCACTCTACTTCTCAGAGTCTGCATAGTGGGACTCGGGGGGCGGAGCTTTGATTAGCTTGGAAGGTGAACTGAGAGGCACTGAAGGTGTTTTGAGTTAAGTATCGAGTTTTTCTGCAGCCTTGGATGATTGAAGCTGCCAAGTCATCTGCTGCTGTGGTCCACTGTGTTTTTATCAAGTCCAAGCCTCTGAGTCCACTTGAGCCCTTCATCTACCAACAAGCTTTATGGAGATGCTGATGTCCTTTTCCTGCAGATCTTAGCACCTGCCCACAGCACCAAAACTACTATTAAATTGCTTACTGACCATGAGATCACAGTGCTTGATTTGATTTGAAGTACATAATGCATGAAATAGAGCAAAGGGACATCCACCAGCATGTGGCATCAGTTTGATTTGTTTTGTAACAGAGACTGTTTTTCACTCTACAGTATAGTTTTAGCTCTTAGACATAATGATGAGTTGTTTGCTATCATTTTTTTTGACTTCATTACGAAAATCTGCGCTTTACTATTGCTTCTTATACAAACTAAGATACACACTTGGAAACACATACAAATGGAAAGGTACCACAACCAGGGAGGCCCTCAGAGTCACCCACTCTTCACGCAGCACCCTTGCCCTCCCTAATCCACCCTCATCAGGGTCCTGAATGCCTGTTGTCCCCCTCTGCTCTGCACTACCTCCTCTCTTTCAGGGTCTCATGTTCCTCTTTGTGAGGCCATCTGGTTTTCGGGGTTGGGGGTTTTTGGGGGTCCACAGCTCTCTCCCAATAGCGGGCTTCCCTGTAAAGTTAAAGTGTGTTTTAGCGGGGTCATGCCACTAACTAGCTGACCCCTAATAGATTGAATTAATGCTGGCAGGGGAGCAGCAGAGCAGAGGGGTCCCCCTCCCTGCTCACTCCTGCATGTGCGTGCCTGAGTGTGTTTCCATAGAGAGTAAGGGTGTGAATAAGGGCGTTAAAAAGTAAGAAATAGCCCCTGACCTCTCCTCCCTATCACCTGAGCTGCAGTGGTAGAGGTTAATCCTTCTCCTCTGTCCGCCTCGGTTGACGTCTTTATTTAACTATTGACTTCTGATTAGTTGGGACCCCCTTTTTCCTCAGCACCCCATCCCCCTTAAATCATCTCGTCTCTTCAGTTAGGGAGGATTTTTTTTTGCATATTTTTGATTTTATCATTTTCTATCAGAGTCACTTTTCAAGGTTAAATGGGCCAACAGTTGTGGCAGACTTTTTCTACCCACCAGTATCATCATTTAATGATACAGATATCTATTATCTTTTCTTCATATAGCTGTGTAGATTATAGTGAAGAAGTAGCATCCCATGATAAAACTGAGCATGTTCTGAACAAGGAACAATTCACACAGTTTTTTTTAAAGAATACGTTTAAAGGTTTGAAACATGGTTGCGCAGATAAGGAGAGAGAGAGAGAGAGAGAGAGCTAACAACACATATTTTTATAACGTTGACGTCTGACTTTCTTGAAATGAGGTGAAATTTCTGTGAATGCCTGTGAATGATTTTCAAAAGCAAACAAGACCATCAGAGACAAAATTACTGATATCAATATTGTAATTTTTAGCACTTGAAATAGAGTTTAGAAGGTGTCAGCCATGTAGCTCAAGATACAGCCTTGTTTTAACATTTATACAGTCAAAAGTCAGCAGTATGAAATAACTTGTGAGAATACAGTACTTATTTTTTCTTGGACAATATAAGCAAATACTGCTTTGACCACAGGGGGCGCCAAAATTGACACACATTAAAGTTTCTCACAGGAGCTTTAAAGTAATTTACACCCAAGTTCAGAAGCACAGGCAATCATATTTGGAGGCAGTTTTTGCAACAACCCAAACCGAGGCTCTGTTAATGCAAGCTCCAGGTAGAGAAAGTGCTGGTACTACCTCTGCCTGCCCTGCCATGGTAATAGAGAAACAGGATCTTACATATGACTGTGACGGTGTTGTGAGGAACATAGTACAGCCCAAAATGGAAAAATAATGTTACACAGTAGTGACATAAAAGTCAAACATTCAAAACATGACATATCTCAAGTTTAATAATGGCAGTAAGATTGATAATATTGGCCGCATTGACCCAAACCCTTGCTGTGTTCCTCTGTGCTCCAAGTAGTAACAAAGCTAATAGCCGGATTGTGCAATAATGTCATGGTGTTATCTTGTTATCTTATAATTTTCATTTATTTTCATATTATTATCATTTGCAATGTGTGTGTGCAATATGCGTGGGTTGCTTGACTGTGTCTTTGTTAGGTCTAGTACTTTGTGTCACCAGTTGGCAGCTTTATCTGTGCAGCTCTTGAAGTCCAAGAAAAATTTCCCTAAGGGGACAACAAAGTATATGGTTTCGTGTTGTATTGTATCATATTTTATCGTATCGTATTGTATCGTATCATATTGTATCGTAAAACTGCCTGCCAGCCCTTCCACTGGTAACAAAGACAAGTTGTATTTTATATGATAGTGCTGTGAAAGGAAACTTGCAGACTTATAATTGATAATTCCCTTTTGATATTGCATGTCAAATTATATGTTTTATTGTAAATATGTATATATATTTAATGCATATATGTGTGTATATCATCATTAATCATGATAGTAAGCATGTTGTAACCTACTTCTGAAGTGATGGCCCATTAATGATCAAACAATATGAGCACTTCTTAGCATCAACACACTGTAATACAACTTTTAACAGCTCTCCACTTGGTGATTGGCCACAGCTCAGGTCATGAAGCCCGCCTCCTCCATGATAACAGACAGAACATGGGTCAAACTAGAATTAAAAAAAAAAAAATTTCAAACATTATATTTGTATTACACTTTGTCCTTGTAATTCAGATATTCGTGAAGTGTTAATTTTTTTGTTTTTTTAGAGACATTTGTTTTTATCATTAATTTGATTGATTGACAGCTCTGTGGGCAAATGTAGGCTTCTGCTGCATCTTTCACCTGATTAGCAGAGTAGAGCGGGAACAGACAGAGAAAACATAACAAACACTGACACAGGAATCACCGAACTTTTCTTTACTGTGAACATCTGCTTTAAACTGATGAGGACTGTACTGTCCAGTACATATGTCAGCACCTTTTGGGGTGGAGTTTTGGCTTCACTTTTGTACAGTATTCAACTCTATTTGCATACAGTTAATTGGGGATGTTGCAGAGTCTGCTCAAGCCAATGCATCCTGGGAATTCTGTTACTTACTATATGTATCAAGACTAGTTGGGCATCTTGTTAAACTTGGTTGAAAATTCTCTTAAATTTCAAGTAGAAATTCTTTGCAGACATGGAAGCATAGAATTTCAAGGGACCTAAAAGTCCCTGACTGCTTTTGAATATTTAGTTTGTTTTCTGTTTTCATTCACTCAGCCATTTGTAATTTCTTGTCCTTTTTAGCGTCTCTGTGGACTCCATCAGGGACTCTGTTCATTTGTTCAGGCTCCTTTTTCTTTGTAGCCATGGCAAAGCTCAGAGTTCTGTAAAATACAGGGTTTAAGGGCTTTTTTTAATGGACACTGCCAGTATTGTAACTAAGATTCTCTTTCTCCCTCACGAACCGTCCTCCCTCTCCACTCCACTTTTCATCACCCATCCTCTCTCTCCCTCTCCATCCACACTCTTTATTCTATTACCATCCTGTTCTGCTCGCTGGCTTTACTCACCCAAGGTCAGGTCTCTGTATTTTGGTAGCAGAATAGTGACTTTATTTTCCCTGCGCTTGTTCGATTGCAGTCGCACACAATGCCGCTGAAGGGGGGAAAACATGACAACAACCCTGAGGCAACTTTGAGTATCTGTGGGTTTCAAGCTGTTAACCCTTCTTTTGATCAGCTCTCCTTCTCCTTTTTTGTGAGCGTCATTGTTAATAATTTGTTGTCCGTTGTGCAGTTGGTGATGAGAGAAAAAGAAATATATAAATAAAGACGCAATGATAGAGGCAGAAAAATTGAGAGTGGAGGCCTTGGTGAGAAGGACAGCCTGCCAGTTCAAATCAAATAGATGTTGATGTTTGATGATTGTCATTGTTCTTCCTGAGCATTTTTAATAACAGGGCTGTTTTTTTTCCTTTCATATCAGTGTCTCACTTTTACAGAACAGAACTATTAATTAAGTACAAATCGATTTTCTCCTTTAGAAATCAGATTTTCCGTTTCATACCTCATTTTTCATTGATCCTCTCACCTTGGCTTGTATTTTCCCTACAGCTTAACTGATGTTTCCTGATGTTTTATTATAAGCATCAGAACTGTTTGATCAACTATGCATGCATGCGCACAGGTGCATATTACTATACTGTATGTATTCACATGAAAAATAGGCCACCTGCAGACTGAAGGCAACATTAAAACCTCCTCCCTGACGTGGACATTTGAATCCCTTTTTAGTGTTTGTTATGTTCTCTGCCTCCCCTCTTGATGTTCTGCCCATTTTCACATTTGTAACACACAAAGCTGAAAAGACAAATGGTTTTTAGATCTTATGAATTACAATAAATTCTCATACTGTCTTCTGAATGAAGATATTAGGGACTTGTCACTTGTCTGAATATTTTTGATGCTACTGTGTTAGGGATGCATGATGATATTACAGGCAAAGTATCTGGACTGACTGTTGAAAGCTTACAGACCCACTTAATTTAAAATCATGTTTTTCTTGTTGTCTACATGTTCATATGGCATTTTTTTTATGCTACAGGACATTGTGAGAGAACTAAGTGAGTAATTGCATTTCTAAGCATTTCTGCATTCAAATCACTGGGAACCTTTCACAGACCCAAACTGCAGGCTCAGACACAGTGAGATTTCCTATGTCACAATTCCAAGGTCCTCCCCCAGAGTCCTGCTATGCAGGCCAAACTTAAGAAATCGAGAGGACAATCACCGAACAAGTATGTGAGTTGGCAGTTTGCAGTGTTCTTAAGAAAGCTAATTATGATATTAACTTTCATCATGTCCCCTAAGACATTAGTGTTAGAGAGCTGAATAGCTCCTATGTTTCCGGTTTCTTATACTACACCTGTGTAGGTACCAGATGTGTTCAGGCTGCCAGACTTGCTCGGGCCCAGCACCTATTGATGACGTCACGCTATATGATTGGCTGGAAATTGGTTGAGATGACGTAGAAGATTGTGATTAGTCTGGACATTGCGGAAGCAGTTTTTCATGGGATTGTAGTTCTTCGCAGAAAACATGGACAGATTTTACAGAGCTATCCAACCCTTCTTATCAAAGGGGACAAACGACAGTCGGACTACCGCCTCTTTTAGGTTGCCAAAGGAAATGTGGAATAAAGGCAAAACTATTAATTAACGGAGATCCTGCGCACATTTTTTTTCTTTTTCCTTTAGAAAAGTTAACATATACAGTTAAAGCCATCTAAAAATACAGGACAGTAAGTTGTAATTTTCTGTATTATATGGAGAGAAAATTTTGAGGTCAATTGAATGAACTAACAGAAATAAAGAAAACTGCGAGGGGCTTTTGACTAAGCACATTAAATGGAGCGCAATGTAGTTTGTCTGAGTGGACTTGCCATAGTGTGACCTCTTCAACAGAAGCTAGGCCCCGAGCCGATCTTGTAGCCCGAAGACATCTGGTTCTTACACCGGCAATGTTGGGCTACAAGCTAGCATGAAGAGGAGTGTGCAGAGCAGCGCTGTCTCCGCCCACGACTTTGAGGCGAACTGCTAATGAGCTACTGGAGCTCTGCAGAAGAAAAGCCCTTGAAAATGACTCAAGTAACGAGATTTTGTCTAAAAACTTCAAAATCACAATTTAACGACAACTGAGAACACTTTCAGTAGTTAAAAAAATGATCGGAGTGGGACTTTAAAGGTTATAAAACAGATCAAAACCAATACTGTTGTCTCTTTTAGAACTATGTAACCAAAAAAGACCCTTAGCACTCCAACTATTTCTATACGGTAAATTTTACTGGTTTGAGTGTTGGAGCTCCTGTAAGGAGTTTTTTGTGTCAGTAAAATAGACTGAAATTCATATTTATACCTTTTATGTGATATTTTTAAACAAACAAAAGGGTTTTTATATTCTAATCTTAAATGTCTGAAACTAGTACGAGGGGGTAGGTGCCAGCTGAGCAGCTGAAGAAACAGCCCTGTGTTTATAATTTCTGCTAAAAATGTACACATTAAATGATACATCTGACTGTCAAAATTCAGCAGGATGAGTTTTTTTATTTTAAAACAATGATGACTCAAGTATGTAGAGGATAAGATAAGCAGAGACTACTCTCTCCACTGGGTATGGGTTCTCTGTTTGAATAGGATATGATCTTTTTTGTTCTGGTGCCCAAGTTACATGAGATAAGAAACAACATGAAAGTGCATACAGTAGGAGCAAGTATGTACATGGCAGTTCAACCACCTCTCTTTTCTGATTATAAGTCCTACTGGATCTGCAGTTTTTTTATTTATATGTTTTAATGAGTCATTTTTATTCATTTTTTCCAATTTCTAATTTGATTAGAGGTGTTCATGTGAACCTAACAACAGTTAGTTCAGTCAGAAGTGTGCATGGACCATAAAATCCAGGTGTTGTGGGGTTAAAAAGGAGTGAGCCTATAAAACCTGTGTTGGTTGCTTCTCCTCTTAGCTTTAGGCTAACTACATCTAATCCAAAGGCTCAAAGCTGATACTAAACTATAAATATGTACAGTACATTTTGTGGGTGATGGAAGCACCAGAATTGAACAGGGAAGAGTAATAATGAATACAAATACATACAGAACACACCTCCTATCATGAAGGTGGACAAGACCCCGTGCCCGGTGCTCTAATTCACATTAGCACCTGCTCGCTATACATAGTAATTGTTAACTGTAGTCTATTTTAGCCCTAACAAACCAATCAGTTAGCATTTAATGGAATACTTCTATGCAACACGCAGAGATCTCAAACAGGACCAGAGTCACAGGTGGACAGCCATCTGCCTGTATGTTATCCAGACAGTAGCAGTACGCTGAAACTGATTTTCCTTCAGTCTCATTGCTGATAGAGAGCTCTGTTCAGTTCTGCATCACTATCAAAACATGGAGCCTCTGTTGGCCAGGTGCAGGTAGCACAGACTCTACTAAGTGCTGAGAGGGTTGAGTTTTTGGTCCTCAACAGAGCTCAAGAAGGGGTTGAGGGTGGTGGGTCCAGTGGGGTCCTGGATCAGCAAAGGTGAGGCCTCTGACTCAAAAGATGTTTCCCCAAGAGGAGCAACCGAGGCAGGGGGAGGTTGTGAGAACGACCTCGTGGAACAAACCACGGCTGGCCCAAGGCGGTCACACTTTAAGGGAATAGATCATTAGGTGTAATTAGGGTGTTCACATTGTCATGTACCCCCCCTGACTGCCCGAGAATGAATAAAATCAGCAGATACAACCCCCCACACATACTCACACACACATAGCAGCTCCCCAGTTAGTGAAAACACTTTGATGTCAGAAGAGTCGTCCAGAACTTGCCAGCATAAAGGCAGTGTTTTAAGCTTTCTCTCTTTTCTCCCCCATCTCTCTCTCTCTCTCGACCCTTCTGTCCCCCCTCCCCTCTTTTCTTCTCTCTCTCCACACAAGGCTGTAAGACACACATGCTTGAATGAACGACAACCTTTCCCTCATCCTCCCCCTCTCTTTCTCTCCCCCCTTCGTCTCTTTTTCAGCCTTCCCACCCTGTGTTTCTTTGAGGCCTGGTCAATTCTCCAGGCCCAGACAAAAAAAAAAAAAGCATCAAATGTTTTCTGCTGCCGGGTAATGAGGGACTGGACCTCATCAGGGCCCAATAGTCAGCTATCCTTGGCTTTTGTTGCAGCTCAATGGCACCGCGCTCTTTGAAAAACTCAAAAGCAACTTTTTGAGGAGTAAAGGATAGAGAGAGATATGGCAGGCTCAGAGGGGAGCAGAGGCAGGCATCGGATAGAAAAAAAAAGCCACTCTGTTTTTATGCTAAACGGCCGTCCAGAGGGAGCAGTGGACAGCTTGGACAATGGCATGATTGGAGCTACATGTGTTTGGATGACTTTCTTCAAAAGAGACTCTGATTCTCATGTCTGTCATTGCTCTCCTCCCTCCACCCCTCTCGAGTCTTTTAGTTCCTAAATGCATCTGGGGAGGTGGTGAAACTCTTAATTTGAAGGGAGCTGTGTCTAAGTTATGTTTTTGAGTGAGCTGCACATAGGACTAGTTCTTACGCAGCAAATGAAACAAATACAGCCCATTGTAATCATGAACCAGAGCTGCTGCAACTTGTGATTATTTTCCTCATCAATCCAATGCATCTGTTGCTGTCTGAAGTTTTTTAGAGAGTTAAGTAAAAATGTCGAGGCAAAATAATGGACGGATGGTCAGTGGAGGCATCACACTGACATATTAAATGTTTTTCAATATGCTGTAGTGCTGTGTTCAAAGTTCATTGGTGACCCCATGCCCTGTTGCTTTTGTACTTCAAGCTGTTTATGAAATATTTCTGAATTTAAAGATTTTAAAGCTCCTGTGAGGAGTTTTTAATGTTTATGAAATAGACTGAGGTTTGTATGAATGCTCATTGACACATGACTTACAAAAGCAAAGAACACTAACAGCAAAAGGACTTATTTTTAACACCCTCATTTTTGATGCTTGAAATGTGTGAGGGTATGTGTTAGCTAAGCAGCTGACGGAAAAAGCCCTGCTTTTACCTTTTCCATATAAAAGAGTCATGGTAAATTGTCAAGTTGATAAGTTATAAGGGGTTTTGTCAAAAGACACTGGCTAAGCATATAAAGGACAAGATAAGCAAGGGCTGCTTTGTCCACAAGGGGCGCCAAATTTGACACAAAGTAAAAGTTCCCAACAGGCGTTTTAGATCCATGAAGCCCAATGCCAAAAGAATATTAAAAAATGTCAACTTTTATTTGATATGTTTGTGGACAATGTGTTTCAGCCTCTATGTCTGTGTTAGCCAAGCTTGCGTATTTTAAGCTACAAGTTAACAGCACAAAGAGTGGGGGATACAAGTTTTAACAGCAAGCAAAGGAGCATGTAGTTTTCAGGCATGTGTGGTGTCGCCATTTAGAAATTGCAAGATTATTTCTTAAATTGAATTTCAATGACAAATGCCCAACATGACTTTTTCATTCTGTTTCACACCCACATAAATTCAGTCTACAGCCTCATTCAAAGCTCCTGGGAGGAGCTTTTGTATGTGTCAAATTTTTGCACACCTGTGGACTTGTTTTCTTTTATACTACACCTACTATAATACTGGATTTTTACTTAACAATTATCATGGCCATAAAATATCATTATAACAATAGTATCACAATATTTTTGGAAAGCTTGAATATAAAACGATCTGTCAAATTAAGGATTACTACTATTAGGGCAGGCAAACACAAAACTTCATAAACTTAACCAGTAAGCTTATATGTTATCTATTCTTTATGATCCTATTCATGATTTATCCACATCACCAGCTCTGTTTTTGAACCATGTTGGGAGAAGACATTACCTTATAACAATTGTTTGTCATACTTTGAATTTAAATTATTTTCTGTCTTTTGGCTGCTTAATTTTTCGCATGGTAAACTGAACTTTTTTTTAATATGAACTACTTCCTGCATATCGGCTCAAATTAAAAGAAGTCAGTTGGCAGACCTTCCTGTGTGCAAAGCAGTCCGTCTTGCCCTGTAGGTGTTCTGATTTGCATAATCACCCACTCACTATACATTATGCCTAATCCTCTCATGTTGCCAACTTTTATGCATGCATGTGGGCAGAATAAGTTGTTTGTCTGTTAAAGCACATATGTATCTCTTGGTTTGTGTCCCATCAGGGTCTCACTCACCTTGTCGGGATCTAATTTGCATAAACCCCTGTGTGTATTATATTGAATAGAAATATGAGAAGATTTATCATGTCAAATCCTGTGATGATGTCTTTGAGTCCTTTTAAGTAATGCTGCAAAACCAAAAGCTTTTAAGGTCTGTCAACCTGTTAAAATTCTTTTACATATTTTAAAGGATATATCAGGAAAACAAACCTAACTTAAAGACGATATATTTTATATTTCCATGTGCTCAGTCGGGTGTATGTAGAAAAAGCTAAAGGCATAGCCAGATGTAAGACTGGAAGTTACAAAGTAGATGGATATTAAAGTCTGTGAGAAGAGTGTGATGAGGGGAGTGAAGGAGGGGTGAGACAAGACCACAATGTGTGGGCGGATAAAATCTTGGAGGAGTGAGAACTTGACGATCCTCTCAAGATAGATAATCAAGTAATGACCCGCGAGGCCTGAGTCTCATCTGATTATAAATAACCAATGGAATCATCATCTCTGATTGTGTTTCTATTCCTCCTTCTCTCTTCTCTCTTATTTGTACCTCACTCCTCCGTCAGGAAATTCAGCAGCCTGTTTCTTTTTTAACGCAGGTAGAGATGGTGCATAAAGAGAGGGAGAAGAAGAAAGACAAACCGAGATACTAATGATGTGGCCGCCACAGTGACAAGTGTTTTTTTTTCCCGTTTTGGAGGGACTATTTACCCGTTGGAGGGGTCATAGTAGGTTGATGAAATGACACCTCCCTTTTGTGCGTGGGGGAGGGCGAGTTTGTCAGGTTGTTATTAAGCCTGATTCAGCCAATTGGCTCAGAGTGGGAACCCCGTTTGTGTGAGCGGACATGGAGATAAAAAGTTGACAGCGGGAAAGAATAGAGTATTTCCGTCCCCTTGCTTTGTGATGATTACTAATTATCCTGCAGCTTAAGAGGGCCAGTGGCAGAAATTCACTGATTTCATAATTTTCCCCAGAGCTGTCGTCGAATACTCAGTCAGCCAGGCGATGGCTCCGATGGGATGATATGCAATTCCTTTCTTTTCTTTGATAGAATGGTGGAGATGATGATTATAGTTTGCGCTGCACTCCCTGACATGAATCCTGTTGACGTTTTACACCATGAGGAAAAGTTTGAACTCTGCGTCGCAAGTTCACCCCTGCTGTAACACACTTGAATAACTGCAGGAACAATAGACCGGCTCTATAAAGCAGGAAGAAGTGACACGAAATCACAGCGCTGTCAGGAGAGAGAAAGACCTGTCTGCTCTTCTGTTCTGCCTTGTTGAATTTATTCACCTGTTAGTCATTTTCTCATTTCATCATTTCAACTCTAACAGAAGAAATGAGCCTTATTGTCTTTTTCTACAATATAGATGTAAAACAGTTTTAAATAGCCAGAATCTAACAGTTACACAATTTCAAGAGGAAATGCAGCTTAAAGGATCCTATAAAGATATTTCCCAAAGTGTCAGCTCTAAAACTAACAACAAATCAATCAATCCACCTATATCCTTTGTTGAACCAAGTAAAAAACTCATTGAGAGTGACTCGGCCAAGACAGCAGCACAAAAAAAAAACAGAATGGTTACAGCAAACACACAAAACACAAATAAAACACGGTCACACAGTACAGAAGAAACAAGAGTGGGATTACATGATTTTACAGTGCAATCACAAGAGGATCCAATTGAACTTATTTCGATGTCTTTTATAATTGTCGTTAATTTCCCTAGAGTTGTCAAATTCAAGAACTTCTGCAGATCATTCCAAGTAGACGAAGCAAGAAACTCCTTTTACCAGGTTCGGTTCTGACTTTCAGGACCTGCATCTGCATGTTCTGAGAGTACAGGCCATATTGGCTGAGGTTTCTACACGTGTAAACACAAATATATAGGCAGGAGTCCAAGAATAGATTTATAAATGATAGTCAGCGGGTGAGAAAGTCTACAATATAAACATACAAAGATGGACAATGTGCAACAACATGTACGGAACAGTGATGAACATGATAACTGCAACCTGTAATAAAACATAAGCATAGGAGTATTAACTCTCCAATTTCTTTAAAAAACTGATCAGGAGCGTTCATAATAAGTAGGTCTCAATAGTCCAACAAAGGTAAAATATTTGTGGTGATCAAATGTTTTCTGACTTGCTATGAAAAACATGATTTATTTCTAAAAAGAGACCCAATTTCAGTTTCAGCTTAGAAAAAAGTTTGTCAATGTGCAATTTTAAAGTCATATTCTCATCAATCAAGTATTTATAAGATGTGACCATTTTAATTTCAACCTTATGAACAGTCCACAACCTTGGAAGGTGAGATGGAAGCTGCTTGCCATTTAAAAATAGCATGGTCTTTGATTTATCTGTATTCAGCACTAACTTAAGCTGAGTCACACGGGACTGAACAGTGTCAAAGGCTAAATGCAAGAACTCAAGGGATTTGAAAGCTGACGAGATGAACAATCAATTACTGGATCATCAGCTGAAAAATGAGACACAGCACCAGACTAATTCACATCGAGTATTCACATAAATTGTGGACAACAGTGGCCTTAGTATAGATCCTTGAGGCACGCCCAACAGGGAGGAAATTGGCCTGGACCCACTGTGTTCTAACTGATAAATAATTAGAGAACCAGTTTACAGAATGGCATGGTCAACTGTGTCAAATGCCCTTGACAAATCTTTAAAAAAAGAGCTGCACAATATTTTTGCCTCTATGATGTCATTTACCACTTTAACAGCAGCAGTTACTCTGAAACTGTGCCGTTTCAGAAAAACTTTGTTGTTGTTCACAGACCAACTTTTCTAAAACTTTGGAGCAAACACAATTTAGAGATGGGCCTATAGTTGTTAACTACGGAGGGATAACCATCTTTCAGCAGAGGAAGAACATAAGCAGACATCTCTGAATCACATTTTCAGAAAGAGTAAGATTAAAAATATGATAAAGAGGTTCTGCTGTACAGTCTGCAGCTGACCTCAAAAAGAAAAGCTTGAGATTGTCAGGTCAGGTAGGTTTACTTAGATCCAAATGCTGTTAAGCTCTATGGACCTCGGCTACATGGAAGGAGTCAGATCAAATCCTGGAGCCATAGCATTAATAGGTGATGATTAAGGGCAAACCCTCTTCACACTAGATTGCATGGGGTTTAATACCAAACACATCATTTGGGGGCAAAGTTTTGGAAATTTGATTCCAAATTCCACATTTCTCTTGAAATACTATCAACTGCATCTATTTCTAAAACTGCTCCAATAAACAAAATTTTATAAACAAGTTTTATCTCTGTAATAAAGTGATGGTACATTAAAGCTCCTGTGAGGAACTTTTGATATTTGTTAACTTTGGTGCCCCCTGTGGACAAAACAGTCATGAAATTTGAGATAGTTTTATAGAAGAAGTCCCTTCTCCTGGCAATGGTTGTGTTTGTTTCTATAGGTTATGAGGGGGCATCAGTGATGGTGCCAGTCTGTTATATTACCAGCTAAAAACTCTTCTTACAAGCTTTATTTACACATTTATTCTGTAATAAGCTTTGTCAATAATAGTAACATGAATACTATTGCTTATCCACATCAATTCCATGTTCAACAAATTGTTGCTGTAAACATGTACCAGAGAAAAAATAACAACTTGAAATAAAGTTCCCAAAAATGCTAAATTTAGTCTTATTTTAAAGCTCCTGCGAGGAGTATTTCTCTGGGTCTCCATCATTTACAGAAACAAACAAGTCTACCCGCTAAAAGAATCACAATTTCTTTGGTGTCATTTCGAATGCCCAGGAGCGGTTAAATGCCAAACAAGACATTTACGTCGCAGGGAAGGACACCCACCTTTCTTTTGTCCTTTACATGAGAAGTAGGATGGGCTTTTTTTATAAATTGAACGTACACTCGTAGGTCAAAGATCAGCAAAAAAGTATTACTTGGTCCACAAAAGGTAGAAAAGTTTATGCAAACAGAAAGTTACTAATAGGAACCTTAGGTTCAGCAAAAATTGTGGTCTGCTATTTTAAGAAATAAGATTACAGTTTGGGGATTATTTGACTGTTGTTGTTAAACGAGAAATCTTTCAGTTGGAATGAACAAGTGTAGGGCCTGTACTTTTGGAGAGAGTTTGGAGGGTATTGAGTATCAAATTATCAAGATGCTACTAATGCATTGTAAGTGTTTGTCTCTCAAAAAAAGGGCATGAGTGGTTAAAAGTTGATTTTGTTTGGCATTGGTTCAGTTCAGCAGTTTGGGTGAATCAGATATACAGAGGCTGTAGTCCTCATGCAACAGCTGGGCGTTCAATTCCAACCTTGTCCTTTTCTGCGCTCTCCTATCAATCTTGCTCTAACTTCAGCTGTCCTAGCTAATGATTAATTTAGCACAGTTCTAACAAACATTTTGAGTTTCAGCAGATTTAAGAGGAAACATACATCATTTCCATCACTCCGTTCTAATACCTTTAATTGTCTGATATTTGATCATATGTCATCGTTTTCTTACATGAATAACATGTTTGTATTTGTGAAGAATTTGCAAGGTTAGCATATATAATTGCATAGTGAAAGCAAGGCTAATAAAGGACCTAAACACGGGTTATATCAATAATAATACTTATTAAAATACTTTTTTTTTCTATAATGCTTTTCAAAAAAAAAAAAAAACAGTAACAAAGTGTTTTACACTTAAAACTGTTAATGAAGATCAGTTAGAATAAGAAATAAAGCAATTAAAATTGGAGTTTTAAGAAAACAATATACCAACTAAAAAGCGAAACAAAAATACAGACACAGATAAGATCCAATACTTAATTTTTTGAGGCAACAAACATTTAACAAAGCCAATGATTCAGAGAAACCCAAATGATAGAAATGAGTTTTAAGAAACGAAAAGAAAAGAGAACACTGAGTCTGAACTTTTAATGGCAGTGGAGAATTTAGGTACCATGAGTAAGGCCTGTTTGGAGACCCCAGACTGCTATCAGGCTCATTGGGAGTTGGCAGCTCACGGATATGGTCTGGAGCCAATTTTAAAAAGAAGCAGTAAAACCTTATAATGTATCGTAAAAATTACAGGGAGCCAGTGAATTGCAGTAAGGACAATAATGTCGTAGTCATGTAATCTTTAGATTGAACAGAACTTATTTAAAATAATAACATCACCAAAATCTTTCATGTTTTCCCTTTTTTCCCCTTTTTTATTTTCTCTTTTGCTTCAATGTCCTTCCTCGCAGACAGATCTGTGTTTCAGCTCTCTCTCCCAGACAGATTTTTTATTATCACCTCTGTTTTTGTGTGCTTGTGTTTGTTTGTGTGCAGGAGTACTGTTACACCGTCTGCCTGGACTCTGGGATTGACTACCGCAGGCTGGACAAGGCCGAGGCAGGAAAACTCTGCTACCTGTGAGACACAAAGACACACACACATACACTAACACAAACACATAGGCCAACTTGTCTTCAAGACTTTGCGGCGCTCTGATAGGGAGCTGTAACCAACCTGTACGTACACACAGGCAGAAAATGTTTGTGCACATCATGAAGGACAAACAGAAAAGGCAACAGATTGATAAATGGGAAGAGGCAGACAAGACCTACATTACCTTGAGAGATCCATGAAAGCCTGATAGCAGAATCAATAGAATATGAGAAAATGGCAGAGCTTGAAAAGCTAGTTTCCTATTTTGCTCATTACTTATACGCCGTTATGAACACACACATGCAGACAAACAAGGTATGAATGACACTGCTGTTGCTCATCGCTAGATTGGAGCTTTCAAGTGCTTTCGTCTTTTCACTGTATGTAAATAGACACACTGCACCCTTTTACCCGGAGTTAAAACATGAGCACACACACAGACACAGACACACACACTTCACAATGTCATTTTGCGTGTATTCACGGACTAATGCTCATGTTTAGAGCCCAGCATCCTGTTTTTTACTGATGAAGTGAAAAGCTAAGTACCCCCCCTCCTGAGCACTCCTCACTGCCACCGTTTGATGTGGCCACTTCAACATTATTAATTTCATATCCTATTTTGTCTTTTCTGTGTCTTTGCCCGTGTGTGTGTGTGTGTGTGTGTGTGTGTGTGTGTGTGTGTGTGTGTGTGTGTGTGTGTGTGTGTGTGTGTGTCTAATTCAGAACCGGGGAACCTGGAGCTGAGGCCTTCCTGGATGCTCTGTTTGAGGAGCTAGCCTCAACACAAAAGAGCGGTAGGAAATGTTTAAGATAATGTGTATCCAAGTGACAAAAGTTAGCTTCCTTTAATAAATGAGTCATTTTAGCTTGTCCATCAAGTTGAAAAGATATATTATTCAGGCAGCATAGGTGATGGTCAAATCTGTGTTAAATAATATACTGCTGGATGTTTGTTTCCATAGTGACAGGCCCTCGGGTGCTCACAGTGCTGGGCAGAGATGTGACTCTGGAGAAGACATGTGGCTCTATCGCTGACTGTACTTTTGAAGAGCTGTGTGGTCGAGTAAGTTGTTGTTTTATTTTTTACTTTAATTAAATGTGCGTTTACATCTTTCCAAACCCTCAAAATCAAAGTTTGTTGTTTTTATTTCAAAGAAAATCTGAATTAATTTTAAGTCAGAAATTATTTGACAGATTTTCATTTTAAAAGAAAGCAAATACAGACTCGAACCACAGATATCCCACTCACACAGAATCTTTTTTAGTCTGCGTGAACACGTGAACGCCTCCAGTCTGTCTCTGACTCACAGGTACACACACATCCAGAAACTCATACAGTACACTCTTACCCACAAAATCCACTCACTGCTAATCAAAACTGCTCAAATTCAAAGCACTCCTCCTGCCTCTTTATTGCCTCTGTGTTCTGTCTCTGCCCTCCTCTGTGTACTTATTGTCCTGGCCTTTGCTCTCAAACTGAATCACCTTCCCTCCGTCTCGCTCCTATTTTCCGCTCAATGTCAAAAAGCAAGTCTATTGAGGATTTTGTGAATAGTTGAGCCTGTTGTGCCTCAAATAAAGCAGTGTGGTATAGTATTCTGCGGCGGGCTGCAAACTCTGAAGCCTGATGGACAGCGGTGAGCTTTTGCAGGCATCCCAGCTTCAAGGCTTTCCCTCCCATCTGACATATGTTGGCACGTTCACTTCAATTTTGAGAGCAATCATCCTGAATGGCAAAGAACCAAGGACAGGTTCTGAAATGACAGTCTGAGACAAACATACAGACTTCAGCATCCATAGTGTGTGTGTGTGTGTGTGTGTGTGTGTGTAAATGTGTATGTGTGTGTGTTTCTGTGTTCAAAGCTGTAGATTTAGATTTGGAAGCTGAAGTTTACTCTTAGCTTGTTTTCCAGGCTCTGGGTGCGAGTGACTATCTGGAAATGGCTCGGCTCTTTGACACTGTGTTCATCCGTCATGTTCCTCTGCTGACACTGACGCTGAAGGACCAGGCCAGGCGCTTCACCACTCTCATAGACAACTTCTTCGACAACAAGGTACACTGTCTTTTTGCTGAAACAGAGAAAGGGGTTTGTAAATTGTCAATTCAGTCAATTCTTAATACTGTCAAAAACACAACTGATTAATGTTTGTAATAATGTCTTTGTTTCAGACATGCACATTCAAAACAGGAGTTAATACAATATAGATAACAATAAGAAGAGAAACTGAAACATCTTAATTTATTTGAGCAAAATAAAGTAGGAAGAAGTATAAACCTATTTAATCCTAACCCTGTAATCATCCTGAGACTGTTTTATACTTTTACTTTATATTGTCATCATTATATTTATATTTAATAACTTTGCCCTCTGTGAATATTACTAATATAGATGCACTGCAAACTATCCATATACACAACTATAAACATGCTTTCATATTCATATGCATTCTTAAAGAATAAATCTCCATGTATACACGTAGCTAAACCACCTGTGTATGAATATGTGTTAACCCCCGGTGACTGTCTGAGCCTTCCTTCCATCTTCTCCTTTTCTCTTTTTAACTATTATGTATTTTTTGATTATGTATTGACATTGTTTTAGCTCCATATTCAGTCAAAAACTTTTCTTTGTTTCAAAAATGCGGAAAATCAGTTTATGCTTAGAATACAAAGAAATGTACCTCAATGTTTCAGGTGAGGGTGGTGCTGCTGGCGGCAGCTCCGGTAGAGCAGCTGTTTGTCCACAGTGGAGGGGAGGACGAGAGGGATCGACAGCTTCTGGATGACCTTGGCCTCAGTGGGGTAAAAAATCACATCCAATGCATCAGAATACAAAAACTTCAAAACAGCCATAATTTCTTATTAATGATGGAAGAATACAGATTTAATACAAACAGATCAATAAGCTGACACTACAGTTCTTCTCAGAGTAAGCTGATCTTCTCTTTAGATGAGAACCAAAGAGTTTTCGGTTACACTTGACGCATATCTCTATATCACATTATAAAAATGCTTTATAATGTGTTATAATCATGTTATAGCACTGTATAAGTATAGTTATAAACACTCAGAAATGATTATAATGCTTTTTAGCAATAATCATGACACATTATAAAGCATTTTATCATGACTTACAAGGTCAGGTATAATAAAGCCTTATGATAATCAATGAGTGTTTATAATGATAGTTGTTCAAGTTTATAAGCAAATTATAACACATCTTAAATATACGTATAATGTATTATCTATGTTGGCATTGTCAGTGAGTTGTTAGCAGTTATAACACATTATAATACCTGACCTTGCAAGTCATGATAAAATGCTTTATAATGTGTTATGATTATTGCAATAAAGCATTATGATCATTTATGAGTGTTTTTAACTATAGGTATACAGTGCTATAATGTAATTATAATGCGTTATGAATGTATTTATAATGTGTTACAGAGACAGGCGTCCAGTTAAGTGTTACCGAGTTTTCTATTGGTTTGCAGATCATAATACTGATGAAGTAGCAACACTAAACCTGAAGTACACCATAGTTATAGAGCAAAAAAAGTTATGGAAGATTCACATTATTGGCTTCTTGGCCTTTAATTTTGGTTTTACAAGCTTTAACACAGATTTCAGGCCCCAGATTAAATTTCTTGTGTCACACTGTATGTTAATTATATATACATGTGTCATATTGTGGCTTGACAAAATTCAGATAAATGTTGGGAGATAGTTTTACTGTTCCCACCACAGCTGCTTTTGCTGATAAACATCATCATCAATTCATAAATTTGTGAAACTTATTTGCACATATTTCAATTTAATCCTTACAGGGCAGTTTGTTGAAGACAATTTTTTTCTGAAGACAGTTTTACTTCCATTTGTCTTGTTATTTATTTCATATTACATAACCTGATTTTCAGCATCTGACTATTTTTTACACTGGGAAGTGTATACTAAAAGGTCCTTCGAGACATTCATGTATGTCAATTTTGCCCTACTGTATTTCTTTTTTCTTTGCTGATTTTGTGCTGTACGTGACTGTGAAGAGTTTTCTGACAAAAAATCATCCTACTTTCTTTTAACAGTCAAATATACCACTCATTGTGGAAAAATGTGCTGCCAAAAAGAAAGTTAAAAAAAAATTTACTGCCTGACAGCAGTTACACACATCAAAAGTTAGTGTAGAAATTCACAGAAACATTACTATGAATTTCACAACCAGTTCAAAACTCTTCATAGGAGCTTTAAATAAAAGTAGAACTAAATCCCAGCGTGCAGATAGAAATAGAAGAGTGAAGTTCAGATCAGACCTGCAAGTTTGGGTATCAGCAGGCATCTTTATCCTGTGCTCTAATATTTACCCTCTAAAACAAGTGCACCTCACTTTGTCATCTCCTAATCTTATATTGTTGGCCTCCTCCCTCAGGATGCAGCAGAGCGTCTGACTTTGTTCACAGCTGAGGAGGAGATCTTTGCCTTCCAGAGGACAGTCTCCAGACTGACTGAAATGCAAACAGAGGCATACTGGATGGAGGGAGACCGCAGACACAGCAAGAAACACATGAAGACTTAACATTTACTTCAGAGCGATTCATAAACATATACCTCTACACAATGAAATACCTCATTGACTCCTGACACTGCTTAAGAAACACTCCTTTTGAACAGAACTAGAGAAGATCAGGTGGACCATCTGATATCTACAAGACTGTAAGTATACTGAACAAGATACCTCTTTGACCTCTCTGCGTCTGATGCATGTCAGAGTTTTCTTGTTGGATCCTGCTTTAGGAGGTGCGCTCTCTCCCCCTTGTGGACCATTTAGTTTAAAGAGCATGGAAACCTCTTCAGCTTGAGTGAAACACAGGTGTGTACTTCAGGGAAAGATGGAGGGCCAAGTGTCTGTTAGAATAGTCGAATACTACCCTCTAGTGGGCGAATGTGGAAAAGTTTTCTCAAGCGCTTCCTGTCTTTATGAAACATCATCTCAATGGGAAAAAAAGAGTAAATAACACTCATACAGTATAGAACCTGGTTCATATGTAGAACTGGATGGGTCATTTTAATATACGGGTTAACCTAATGCATGAAGTGAGAAATAAAGAGGTATCTTTACGTTTCAAACTGTGAAATTTGTCTTTTTGTTTTTCAGGCCTGTCAGCTGTTATTCTAGTTCTGTTCTTATTAAGATTGTACATATGTTTCAATCAGAGAATGAATATTTCCTTATACTCTGAGTTTTATTTTAATGAATTAATAAAGATGAACTTTAATTTATGGGGATACAAACCCTTCAATACTTGACGAATATGTTTTTATGACAATTTTTTTATTCAACAATTTGAATATTACATTATGAACACAATGTCATTGCCCTGTCATTAAAGGTTTTAGTAAGAAAGAAAGGAAAAAAAAATAAAAACAAAAATAATGTAGACAATAGAAATACTTGATGACTTCTGAAAAAGTTGTCATGTTTTAGGGTAGGTAAGATATCATGGTTGATGAGGTGTTTTTAAAATCTATTACAGAATGCTTTGCTGATACTCGATGAGGTCCTTCAGGCACAAAAGGTTAATTCCGGAAAGATAAACAGTTGTACTATTGCTTTTTTTTTTTTTTTACATTTTTAAGGAAAGCCTACTTCTTTTTTGTAGGAGGTTTTTGAAAGAGACTCTTCCTTTTTCCATTTTGAAACATTTGATTTCATAACACTGCAAGAACATGTTTAATCAAAGGACACGTGTAATGGCAATAGTGCGTTTATATATAACCCTAGTTCATAAAAAAGCTGTGAACATTTCTATGAAAACCAACTTAGTTTAAGATTCATTTTAATATCATTTTTAATTAGAAATTGTCATTGTTTTAGAGCAAAGATAAGAATCAATAGAAATAGATGGGCTTATTTTAAATTTGATGCCAGTAACATTTTATTGGGACCAGGCCAACATAACACTGAAAGTTATTTCATATTTTTGGGCCTTTAGACAGCACCGCCCTAAAAACAAACATGACTCTACAGCGGTAACATCAAAACCACTGTCAGTGGATGCAGATTTTTTCCCTGAACCCACAAATGCAGATTGAAACTGTACATGCAAAGAGGAAACCAAAGATAAACAGAAATCCAGAAGCAACAGTAACTTCTCTGGGCTGATTTGATTTCAGATGGGCTGAAGTGGAAAAATGTCCGTGTTGTTTGATAAAGTTTGATCAGTCTTTTTTGGAAAATCTTGGATGCCTATCCTCCGCCCATAAGAGGGAAGGGACCACCCGGCTTATTATCTGCACATGATTCCAAAGCAAACATCCATAATGGAAATGTATAAGAGCACATAGCTTACACGTCTAGGAAGGCATCATTATAAATATATAGTTTATTGTTAATGTAAAACAATGTACACAGGTTTTGGGGCAACATTTGCTGCCATGTAGCCAACACACCAAGAAGACACCGGGAACTGGTCTTCAGCATTCGCAAACATTTGTTTTTAAAATAAAAGGTGGCGTAACAAAGTAGTAAACATACCCCTTAAGTCAATTTTAACTGTTAACTTTATGCTGTCTAAACACTGTTTTCAGTTTAGTAAAGGCTTTAAATGATTTGCAAATCATCAAATGTTGGGCTTACTAGCATTTTACATGCAGTAACCCAATTTTTCTGGCATTGCAGTTGCATTTGTAGTTCCCAAAAGAAAAAAACAACAACATTTGCACCTCAAAATTAAAAATGTGATGTACATTTAAAGGAATTTTTTTTTTTGACAGACAGACAGACAGACTGCAAACCTGTTTTCCATTATTTGTCTACTTCTGTCTCCATTAGGGAGGCAGCTGGAGATATTCACTTTTATTCTTTGGAACTTCCTCTTGTGTGCCTCTAGGTGGCAGTAGAGGCCAACAATCAAATCAAAGCTTGTTATTGCGTTCATACAAGGATGAGGTCATCCTAGTGCACCACTCCAGCCTGGACCATCCCGTACTGACACTTGCAGAGAGCAACACCTTCAGTATCAAACCTAAAGCCTCTTGTTGGCGATTGTGATAGTTAACGTGTCCAGACAGAATCATGGCACTAACATAAACACCAGATAAGATGCATAATTCCATTACATTCAAGCCTGAAGATATGGCTGTCTGTGTGTGCGCAGGTTGTTTAGTGTTCAATGGATGTGCACAACCTGTGTCATTAAAAGACACTTCACTTCTTCTGCGGTCTATCCCAGTATAACTCTCAATTAAAGAAAAATCAATCATACTCTTTGTGGAGGGTCTGAGGCCCCTAATCCAATCAGAGCATTATGCTGTTTGGGGGGAAACAACAGACACAAACAGAGATGGTTGCCATGCTTTGTTACTGTCTTAATTGGATGATTCATGCTGGCTTAGAGGGGTGGTCCTTGTCTCCGTCCTTTCTGGACCACAGTCATGTCACCCCCTGCTGACAGAGAGAAAGTGGGAAACACAACATACTCAATCATATGCAATTAAAAAACAAAATAAGTTGATTTTAAAAACAGAGCAGGTTTTTATTGAGGAATATTTGTAAAATTTCAAAATATTCCAAATCAGTGTTTGAATTTAGATTTTGAATGTTATCAGCTTTTTTGTGGTGGCTCCAGTAAACATGCATGGATTCAAGTGTTAAGAGTGTTAAAGGGTTAAATAAAGCCCCTAGACTTATAATAGGCTTCCAATCATTAATAAGTGGGTATAAAGATGGATAATGTGTACCTAACTACACCTCTTAAAGTCAAAATAACCATTGCAAGACCTAAGTATGTTGACAGAAACCCTTTTTTTTTTTTTCTTAAAAAAAAAAATGCTGTATTTTAACTGTCTATTTTGACTCATGTCCCACATGTTACCATGGAGGGTTTCAGCTTTTGGGAGCTCCCTGTGTCTTGGTTTAACTTTTGGGGAGCTGTTGTGTTGTACACCTTTTTATACTGCCAATGTTTGAGTTTGTCTCAAGCAAAATCTAAGAAGAACAAATATACTTATTCTGAAACATCATGTGTGTGTTTTTCCTGTCATGCATATGAACACTGAGGAGGCACAGACAGGGGCAACTCAGGTCAGGCTGGCTTATCTTAGTGCAAAATAGATCAGCCAAATGCTCGAGATACTGCAGCAGGGGAACTGAAGGGGCATGTGCGACACTTTTTTGTTACCTATCATTAAGATAGAAAAGGTGCCAAAAAAAAAACCTGTTGGAACACTGTGTGCAACAACAATTAGATAATCTGTCTGTAAAATGAGTATGCGCACGTCTGTACCTAGATAAAGTGACTCATTGTGTCAAAAAAAAAAAAGACTCAGACACCCTGACCTCCCTCTGAACATCCAGCCTGCAGTTAACTCCATGGTTCTCTGCAGGAGCTGAACTGCTGTATCAGGTATTCTCTTTGATGTGAGGGAACAAAAAGCATCACACAATGTGTGTGCGTGTGGACCAACTAACTGCTGTAATCCTGGACGGCACACACTCCAGACCACTGCTGGAAATTGGTGTGTGTGTGTGTGTGTTCACGCTGCATCATTAGGTCTGGTGAAATGAGTGTCAATGAGCTCAAATAAACAATTGTGTCTATCCTTTTTGTAGAGCATGTTTGCCTGGCTGCTGCTGGTGAATCCATGGATCCCCTATAAAAAGCATCAAACTGAAAGCTCTACTGTGAACTTAAATTTGTATTATTATTTTATTATTTTTAATCACATATTTCATTGCTTTATAGCTGAAGTAAAATCTTGTTTTGGTCAGCCATGAACGCGCATTCCTGCACAGAATGCGCGGGCACCTGGAACTGACGCGCACCTTGCTCTCCAGCAGCTCTCTGTGGAACAAAGAAGATGTGAAGGAGGCTGTTTTGATGTAGCAGAGGAGGAGGAAGGAGGAGGAGGAGGAGGAGAAGGAGAAGGAGGAGGAAGGTCCAGAGCATCACTTACAGGAGAGAGGACCATCTAGGATTTCTCCCCCCTCATCACCCTGGCAATAATAAACGGGATGACGTCATCCTGAACGAGGTAAAATGGGCTCCCGAGGATAAGGGGGCGCGGCCTGAGCACCGTCTCAGAGGTGATTGACAACCTGGTTTTCTGATTAAAGGAACAAATACACATCAACAGACAGCAACAGGATGGTGATAAGAATAAGATATAACAGATTTCAAAAAACTATAGTAACCTTATGTATTTCACAGACTACTATTCACAGACAAACATAAAGGTGACAGTGTATCATTTCTATATGTATATGTAATAATTCATGCTGCCAAGGCTACATACACTAATTTGTTTAAAATGTCATTAAAAAAAATTGGGTTATATATAAGTAAAAGATTGGCCTTAGGCTTCTTCATATTTAGTTCTTGTGGAAATTTTGATTAAATTCTCATTTTGCATATAAAATTCTGTTCATTGAATTACAAATATGGAGCATTATTCTCTCCAAAGTTTTGAAAGGGCTCATTTCAATGGGTTCCCTTGAGGGACATTATATTCATTATTGCCCTAGGGATCTAAAATCTATGATTGCTCTATTTTTCCATGATAATCGGTCAATTTTATTTGTTCTACCAATATTGTAACTTCTCTAACATAGCTCGTTCCCTCATCATGGATCACCAAATAAAAGTAACAGAGTTTGTGACAGGCCAGTCACTGTAATAGGGCAAATATGCTGCCATTGCCCACCAGTGAGATTAGTTAAACCTTTTCCTGTTTGTTTTGTGCTTTCTCAACTGTTTTGATATGAGCTTTTAGTGGGTGTTGATTTTGGCACCACCTGTGGACAAAAGCAGTCTCTGCTGATTTTGTTAATATTCTCCTCTGCATGCCCAGGAAGTATCTTCTAACAAATAAAAAAATCTCATCTTGCTGACTTTTGATTGTCAAATGAATCATATTTGTGACTACTTCAAGTGGAAAGTTGAAAACAGTTATTTTTCTTAGCAGGTGCACCTTGAGCATAAAAAATTACAGAGAACAAAACTTGATTTAAAGCTCGAGTGGATGCATTGTAATTGTATCAGTGTGCCTGTCACTAACATGTCAGGACGTGTCCCAGCCTCCACCTGCGCGCGGAGACAGCTCGGTCCCTGCTTAGCTGCTGTGTCTCTTTAAAAGGCGATCCCATGCGCAGGATCCAGGGGGCTGGCCCTCCATCGACTTGCATGCGCGTGTCTGCGTGTGTGTGGATACGTCAGTGTGTGTATGTGTGTGGAGAGCAAATCGAGATACAGTAGTAACCCAGAGTGAGGTGGCAGTCTTATTCCACATCGACACTGACTTGCCCCGCATACATCCTATCTGTCTCTATATCGCGAACGCACTTCCAGGAGTGAAAGGAGGAGAGAGTAAAGATGGCATCTGGACGTGAACGATCCGGGATCTAGTCTTGTATTTTTTCTATTAGATTCCACGCAGCGCAATTGACTGGCCGTGCAAGGTATTTTATTTAAAGTGTTAAGAGCGGATTTATTTCCCACAGAGATCAGGTCTGAGCACTTTCTCCTTGCCATTGATCTTTACTGGCTGGCTTGAGACTCTTGCAGCAGGATGGGATTTGGTCAAGCGGCTATTCATGAAGGAGTAGTATGTTAGAATGAAGAGCAGCAAACATCTGAGTTTAAATGGCTCTGTAATCTTAACGAGGAGCGTCATTGACAGGAATAAGCTTAACCTCCACACTTATCCGCTGTGCTGTAGGTTGTAATTAAACTTATGTAAACTCTAACTGAACGTGTTGGTTCATTTTCCTCTCTTTTTGTCCTCAACAGGCGTTAATAACTAAGTTGCTCCTTGTTGGAATAGCAACAAAGGACGGGAGCGCGCATTCATGGGACGCGACTTTGACAGCTCTTGATTTCTTCTCGTGTAACTTTATTGCCTGGCTGCAAGGGGTGAGATTGTGACCGGAGTAGGTAGATCATGGCTGAGGCTCAGCTCCCCGACCCACTCCCGGACTTGGACGTGGCCATCGACCCGGACTTCGAGCCCCAGAAGCGGCCAAGGTCTTGCACCTGGCCGCTTCCTCGGCCGGACTCGAACGCAGGGAAACCTGGGAGTCATGACACAGATATCATCCCCGAGGAAGAGGACGATGAGGAGGACAGCGCAACCCCGACAGCCGCTATCAGTATCAACGGCTCCGGAGTGGCGACGGAGGACCAGAGTAACAGCAGTAGCCCCGTGCCCGACGGAGCGCTCTCCTCCCCGGGGCAGGAGAGCGGAGGCTCCCCGCTCTCCTCTCACTCCCCGTCAGCCACCTCTGGAGCACTGACCCCCAGCGGTTTGACTGCCCAGCAGACCCCGAGGAAAGCTTCATCGCGGCGTAACGCCTGGGGGAATCTCTCTTACGCTGACCTGATAACCAAAGCCATTGAGAGCTCCCCGGACAAGAGACTGACACTGTCCCAAATTTACGACTGGATGGTCAGATCCATCCCCTACTTCAAAGACAAAGGAGACAGCAACAGCTCTGCGGGATGGAAGGTAGGAGTCCCACTCACCCACTCACCCAGCCCCCCTCCTTCCTCCATCAAAACAAAAACAAAAAAGCATGTGGCTTGTAAACCCACTGACGTGCACACTGACAGTCACGCGCACACTATTAAACCAGGCTGTTTTTACGAGAAAGCCTGGCTTCCATTATTCCTCTCATTATCATTCTAATAGAAATTACAGAAAATGTCGTGCAAATTGGGAAGAATCACATCAGGGAGGCATTATGATCATTAATCTTTGAAAGTAGCGTGAGGTCATGTGACCTGCACATCATTATCTCTAATGAACCAAAACACGAGATCGTGCACTTATTCCCAGACACTCAAAGTGCTTCAGACGCCCTTTGTCTTTTTTATGTGACGTTTCTGGTGTGCATGTTATTCCTCTGAGGCCGCAGCCGCTGTCACATGGCTGGAATTAGAGCAAGCAGAGACCTTGTAACCGGTTTGTCTGGAAACACAGTAGCCTATTTTGAGTGACGCAACCCAGGCTTTAACACTGAGGGAACGATACAATTACATAAGAGTTGACTGAACAGCAGCTAATCCATTCATAGGAGCAGGAGTTGGATGTAAACAAAACGATTCAACATTAATGCTTCTCGGAAGTGTGAATCCTGAGAAGACCCCTGCACTGTAAAAAATCTGTGTTACACTTACTCATCTGAGTGCTGCTGTGGTTGTGATTGTGAATGTTGTTTTTGTGGCGATGCTCTGGTTTTATAACTTTGTGTTTTTATATTTAGAGGCTAAATTTCTGTCGTACTGTAACCCTGTTTGCAGTTTGTTATGTAAACCTTGGCGGGGATCTGTCAGTCTCTTGGGTCAGGTAGACAACTGCCAAGGTTGCTGGTCTGGCCATGGGGGAATTACATAACGGCTGGGTTGCTGTGAGTTTGGGTGAGCTGTTAGATGATACCGGGTACCCTCCCCAAAAAAAGACATATGGGAACAGAGGAAAAGAGGAGCAGGGAAGGAAGGAGGGGGGCGCAGAAGGCCAGGGAGCAGAGATTAACACCCATCAGCGGCTGGAGGAGTTGTCCCACAGGGCAGGGGGCCTATATAGACCAATTTTTTGCAGAGGCTTCTCAAGCTTTTGGTATGTGATATGCTTCAGTGAAGAGCAAAAGTGTGTGTGTGTGTGTGTGTGTGTGTGTGTGTGTGTGTGTGTGTGTGTGTGTGTGTGTGTGTGTGTGGAGCTCCACTAAGTCAAGGCCGGGTTCATCATCACCATGCAGGGCTGTTACCCGAGGAATTTTGGGCATGAGGGCCAACCTGTCAGTGGTTTAGAGTTACTCGTGGTCTGTCAATAAATCTCAGCTCGCAGCTTTTGCCTTTTTTAGTTTTCTGATGAAAGACTGTTTTCATCACAGACTTTAGTTGCAAATGAGATGCCAACATTTCTCTTTGAGATTCTATTGCCTAGACTTGTGTAACATAAGTGAATGAACTCTGATGTTTTGCACTTAGCTAGCTTGGACCAAGCACCACACTATCACTATCAAACTATCACAATGGTTTACATAAAGGTGATATTTGGGGGGCTAACAGATGATGGTATTTAATTGGTGAATTCACAAGCATATTTGCTGATACCCAATACTGTAATTAAGGAAATATCATCAGCCAGCTCTTAATTGTGCTTCTCAAAACTCTAGTTTGCTGCTGAGAACAATCCAACAACATCCTTAGTGTTGAAGCCAGAGCATCCTACAAGCTACACTAAGCTTTAGTAAGAATCCCATGAAACCCAAGGAGGTCTAGAGAGCCAGGTGTTCAAAAAGGACTACCTCTGTACAGGGACCTTTTTTTTTTTTTCCTGGGCCCCTTCAGTCTTCAGTTCTCTCTCAAAGGCTCTTAGATTTCACCTCCACACAGCTCTGGGCTTGAACACCTACAGTCTCATGCAGCCAGGGCACCTTTGTCAAAGAGATTTGCTGAGCAAATCCTAGTAATCCCCCTGGGTTTTTCTCCCAAGTTCCCAATTACGTCATGCGGTTTCATATCTTTGTTGGTTAGCTATTAGCTCTAGTAAATGCAGGCTAGTACAGCCAGGAGGTGCAAGGGTGAATTTTCACATGTCAATACTGCCAATTTGCTTTAAATGTTTGTGACAGTGACTTAATATTTGATGAGACATTGCAGATTTGTATGTTTCTGGTGCTAAACATGATACCAACATGGGCCTCTTTAAGGGTTTTTCCATCAGGACTCTCTATCCTAGACATTTAGGTTTGAAGCTGCTAAAATGTGTGTTAAGAGAGGCTTTGGCGTGGCGGGGGAGTGACGCTCTCCTTCTCAAAATAGTGCCTGTAAACATGTCTGTAACACCCTGACTGTGAGTGTGTGTTTGTGTCTGTGTGTGTGTCTTTCACCTGAGTGTCTTTGCATAATCAAGAGATTAGATGTACCTTTTGTGTATTTGTGTGCACGTCCACAGGCAAGCACGTATATCGGTGCGTGCATGTGTGTGCAAGTATTTCTGGCTGCTGTGAACTTTGCGCTCCAGTGTTACTTAACCCTGCAGTAACAGGCTCCCTATTCCCAGCAGCTGCCCATCACAGGCCAAGACCCAGTTATGTCACAGTGACACTCAACACAAACACACACGCAGACACGCACACACACACATCTGATATTCTCATTTAAGGTTATGGGGGTTTTACAGCCACACGCACGCACATTCACAGTACATACAGTTCTCTCTAACTCAGATATGGTTGACAGCTCAAGTTCTCATGTGTGTTTTTAAACCGGCTATACATTCTCACACTAAGAGACATGTCCAGACACACACGCAGCAGTTCTCTGGTCATGTTTGGGCTTATCACCAGGGTTCATTACTGTGAACGGCTGGTGAGGGTTTCAATTTATACACTAGTCTGAAATTAGCCTGACTCATTATAATTCATTCGCCAGATAACTTTTAATCTGAAAGACCTGGAGGGCTGTAGGAGTAGCAATCATTGTCAACACAGGTCTCTTTTTTAACATATGTATTAGTTCTCAAGTCGGTGTTTAATTGTACATCACGTTCAGCTCAAACCACTAACCAGTGAGTCATAACCACAAGTGTTGAACACAGCTTTTTTTTCATTCAAGCTGTCACTTTACAAAGAGTCCAGAACAGCAGACAGTTCCTATGCAGGGTTCTTACCACTATTTGCACATTGCCCCGTCTGACTTTGTCCTTTGGCGTATGGAAAACAGGCCCTCATAAGCCCACCAGGCGTGTTGATTATCATTTTAATGGCCTAGCGCGCTGAAAGTGTTGATTCTTTGGGGCTGAAATTATTTATTGTTCCTATCAGAGCAGGGTGGGCTTGAAAAGAAAAAGAAAAGGGGGCTGAAGAGAAAAAAAGAAAACAACATTAGTCCCTTTCATTGGCTGTCCATCAATGCAGAGAGGGGTGATCTTTGTTTTGGCGATAAGATCCTAAAGTCAGCCATGAATATCCTTCAAAACATGGTGACTGAATTCAGTCTACACATTTTTTAGGTCTTTATGGCTTGTAAGGAAGTTCTCATGATACTGTCAAAACTATACTGAAGATAAGCTGTTAAATAGAGGCAATCTGTGGGAATATGTGTGCACTCAGGTAGAAATCAAATCTGGAGGCCTCTCATGGAGCTGGCACCGTGCCAAGCTGACTGAACCAAAGCAAAGAATAAAAAAGGGGAGTGGAAAAGGTTGGGAGAGGGGGAGTTAAGACAGTAGAAGGTGGAGAGAGGAGGGGGCACTGAGGGAGGGAGGGAATTAACTAGCTTTGCTCTAAATTGGCGTATTACAAGTGCCCTCTGGCTGTGACTCCCAATGGAGGAGTTAGTGGGTGTGTGAGGCTGAAGGGGGCAATGGGTTATGGGAACCCACCAGCACCAGACACCCCTCCAGGTCTGAATAGTGTCACTCTGAGCAGGCGAGCTCCGCATGGAGGAGAACCCCCGGGCTCTGTTCTAGTTCCATTTCCAATTAATGGACACATTTTTTTCTCTTCATGCCAGAGGAATTTCACTTTATCAAGATTTTACATTTGGAAATTCGCCTATCTGGACAAAAAATTGCAGACTTCTGAGCCTAGTGCCCATCTGTAGATGCTGAACATGTAATTCCAAAACCGTTTACACTACTCTGCGTGATAGCCCCAAGTCTTAGTTGATGGTTTCTTTGAAATTTTGATGACAGCTGCAGGGGTTTTCAATTCATGCGACAAGAGCAGTACTATAACCAGACACAGGTGTAAGGTGATACCTTGCTTGCATTTGATCTTAAAGGTGTTTGACAGGATTCAGGTGAAGTCAGGACTCTGTGCAGGTCAGTTAAGTTCCCCTTCGCCAAATATAGAAACAAACTGCTTGAACCTGCCTTTGTGGACCCTGCTGTTGTCATAGATATGGATGTATATATGGACCTCAAAGGATCAGGGAAATCCAGTTACCGTAACTCTTGGCATTAGCTTAACCTCTTCATCTTTCACCTGAAACAGTTTCTGGGTTTGACATTAAAAAGATCAGAGATGTATATGTTTAGATGTGCACACACCTTATGTTGAATTCATAAATGTAGAAGCTCGTGTTCTTGTATCTTGTATATCTGTTTTGTTTTTTAAGGAGGGGTCTTATTGGTTTTCTCATTATTTTTTATGTATTCACCGACCCAATCATGTCACACTCAACAGGATCTGCTCTCCTCAAAGACACTTCTCAATAATTCAGTGCACTCGGGATGAATTCAGATGAGTGTATTAATTTTTAGGAGCCTGTTCCTGGCTAAAGGTTTGTCCTCTTGCATAGTTTCTCTCTCTCTTTCAAAGCGGTAACTCCTCTTATTCACTCCACATTTTCTCTCTCTCACACACAAACACACTATCCTTCATTATTTTCCTGCCAGCTCCCTTGTTTGTCTGGATGTAAAACACCATGGTGGGCAAAAAGAAGCAGTCCCTGTGTAGCTTCGGCGAGCTGAACTCTTGAAATCTGTTGTGTGCTCTAATGAATGGAGATAAATCTTGGGCCTCACGCTCTTCACTCCCTTGACTCCTTCTTGTCTTTTTGTGGCCATCATGATAACACTGCAGCATTTCTTGAGCCCCTTGAGACTTAACGGCCATGCTGTTGTTGTTGCTGTGAAAATATGCACATTGTCAAAGAAATGAACAGTGTTAAAAACCTCAATGTGAGCCAGCTGGGCTGAGGTGTTAGAAGAAAACCCGAGAATATGAAGCAGATTTTCGCATGACTTTGCGTTGCTCTACCTAACGGAGAAGTCATGGGATTTAGATGTTGTATGTGTTGTATGTGTCTGGATGTAATGATTGGACTAAGACATTTACAACACTGAGCCTGATTGGTTTAATCACTATTGTAGTTTTAAGTATCGTGGTAAAATCGATGAGAATTTCTCAGAAGATTAACCCAAACTTCTTAATTACTCTGAAAAACTACAGCTGTAAGATTCTAAAAAAGCCTCAGTTTCTTTCCCAGGCCTTTTTAATCGCCAACATTTCTGATCCTACTATCAAAGCACCCTCACACTGCAAACAAATTGCTCAGCAGTTTGCACCAAATCAGATTACACTGATCTTTTCCAACTGTTGGTGCATGAAAACTCGTGTTTCAGCCAGATAACCCCTTCAAAGCTAAGGCCGCTGATGTTGCAAGAATTTGTCTAAAGCTGGGGAATGGAAGGACTGGTAGTAAAGCCTTGTAATCACGGAAATTCCTTAGAAATACAAAACCAAAAGGACCAGGGATATTTCATTCTTGGATAAAAACACAACATGGCATTTGTTAGTGGTTTGAGACCAGTCTTTAAGCGAGAGACCTCTTAAAAACCTCTTAAAAACTGAGCTGTCCTAGTTTGAAAGTTGCTGTTCTGTAGTTTACCCTGACCCTCGACCTCTTGAGAGAGGAGCTAAGCAAAGAAGAGTTTTCTCCAGTATAAATTATAAGGTACAGGAAAGTTGAAGTTATGTCAGAGCCAATAGAGAAACACCAGTCTGACAGGAAAATCATGCTAAGAACATGTTGGTTTTAGCTACACTGTCTGTCTGCCGCTGGAAAAATAAACAAAAGCCATAGTAAACTGGCCATTACACGTTCCTCCCAGTTCTGTTTGTTCTATCTAAATACGATATCTCTGAAAGTACATGTATGCAAAACTAAAGTGCTGACGGGTAAAAATACACAACTCTGTTCCACTTCTGCACTCAGCGTTTGCAGAAGTGTATTTTTGTCTGAGGTTTGTATCAGTCGTGCCAAGGTACTAATATTTACTGAGCAAATATCTGTTGACACTTTTCTCATGATTGAATAGATATTAGAGTGATTTTGCTGAGCTTTAAGATGAGATGAAATAAGAAGAGTATTATTTATCCCCAAAGGGAAGTTTACTGCTATGAGTCAGTGGAGTGTAGCTTTGACACTCATAGGTGGCTAACATTACATCAGTGATGAACAACAATACAGTGATGATGTCAAAGGGAAAGAGATTGTTTTATAAGAGATGACAAAAAATGGATATGGCTTTGACATACGATTAGATAAGACTAGATTAGATTAAAATAGATACAATTTAATTTATCCTCTTGAGAAAGGTTCCTGCAAGGAAATTAAAACATTCACTATTATTATAATGCATGAGGCATAAGATAATTAGCTTGTCTTAAAACAGAGACAGACTCAAAAGGGCATAATAAATATAACACTTAACAGTTCTTTGTAGGAGATTTGGATCCAAAATATGACAATTTATAATAAGTAGAAAATCTATTTAGAGAAATACTGGCCAACTAAATGATGGCACCCATGTAGCATTGTAACAGTGAAGGAGGCTCCAGAGTGGTTTAAGTGCCTGAAAGAGATAGAAGCTGGAATGAAGTGATCCAGACAGAGGCTGAAACTGATGGAGAAACTGAAAGAAGATAAACATTAGCTATTGAGCTCTAGATAGCATAAAGCTACCAGCCAACAGAAAGCCGGTATAGTAGGGTGACCATACTTCCTCTTTTACCCGGACATGTCCTCTTTTCAGGGGACTGTCTGGCCTTGTCCGGGGGAGTTTATACAATCCTTCAAATATCCAGGGTCTTGTATGGAAGTTTTGAGGTTGTAACTCGATCCGACCCGAAAAACTCTCAAAATTAACTACGCATGACTCTGTGACCCACGTAGTTGGGGATAAAGGATATGGTCACCCTACAGTATAGAGGCCTGGTCCTTCTACAAATGTCAGTCAAAGATTGAAAAGGGTTTTGAAACTCTGAATCAACTTTTTTTAAAAAGATACTGGTGAAGTTTTGTGACATTCACATGAGCAAGTTTTGGTGCAGCTTTGAGGTTGTTGGGTGACAGGGGCAATTTCTGGTAACAGGCATTTAAAGGTACAAACAGGTAATCCTCCATAGACCACACTTCTCATTTCAGCCCAAGCTCTGTCTAGACACAGCATGGTCTTGTCTCTGCTGGAGATGCGCTTCAGTGCATAAAACCATTAAAATGGTGAGAAGGCTAGCTGCTAAAAGTTGTAGGTGTAAAACATTTAAGACTTCCCCTCTCTGTAGAGATAGAAATGATTAAATCTTACCCCTATTCTGACCCACCATCTGATGTGCTGATGTTTTTTGTGCAGCCCAATAGCTGTTTTCAAAGCTAACCGGCTGCTGCCTCGAGCTAAATATGTCCCATACAGACTTGCGACTGGTGTCAATCATTTTGTGTAAATTTTTACTTGTCAATTGCTCAACTGCCACTAAAGTTTCCTCTTTAAACTCCCTCCTCTGCCATCGGTTTCAGGAAACACAAAACTTGGCTTGAAACCAGAACAGTAAATATTCTGATTGTTTCATACAGGAAATAGAAGCTGAAAACAACAAGTCTCACTGGGCAAGAAGAATACAAGATTCACAATGTCTTTCAATGACCGCAGCCCTTTGACCTGTTTTATGTGTGTGTCTGTGTGTGAAGTTGTTTGTCTATGCTGTATGTGTGTATGCATAGAAGCATACATACTTATGTTGGTAGGGCAAAGGAAGGGGGGGTGGTTGTTACTTGTTTGTCTCCATAGCAACTGATAACTTGTCAAGCAGGTGGGGGGCGGCTGGCAGTTTGGGTGACAGCTGATAACAGAGTGACCCACTGAATGCATTTCCCCTCCCCCCCTGCACTTCGACTAACGCACACATTTTTAAACCCACACACACACACACACACACACACACACACACACACACACACAGGCTGCACATACCTCCCATTCTGGCCTTGCTTCTCAGTTTCTCCGATAACCACATTGCTGAAGTGGGCCCCTTGCCTCTCTGCTGCCTCCACTGCTGTAATCGACCCCTTCCACCACACACACCCACTCACTCACCATGCACACACTCACTCATACCATACACACACCCATCTATGAGTGTTTCTCAAGCAAAAACCCAACGGTATCTTCAAGGCACCCTCTAAAAATAAGACTTCAATTTTTATTTTTTTACATTTATTTCTGTTGTAGTTTTGAGGATGTAGGAGCAGGTGAATGTCTGAGCATCTCTGCTACCTTGTCATCATCTGCACTCTGTCAACAGTCATCTGTGCGTGGCTGATTTGAAGTAATCATCTTTGAATTTGGCTTGCCAAGTCGGCTCGTAGCTTTTAAACTTTAATTTGTTTTCTTCTGAGCCTGTCTCTTTCGATCACACCGCTCCACCTATCCTGCAGCATCGAGTCTGCAAAGGCCAGGCTGAGCTACTGTTACTGATTAACATTTAATTGACTACGATGAAGCTTTCTGTGTCAGAGGAGGGGGACAGGAGAGAAAGAAGAGGCAGAAAAAGAGGAGGGGAGTAGGGATGAAAGAGATACTGATTTTTTTTTTTTCTCATGTAGCTTTGTTCAAACAAATAAAGACTAGACACAAACACACATGGCCCTGTAGTTAATACAGATGTACCCACATAAAGGCGAGTCTTTCCCAAAAGTAATATAGTCAAAAAGCCAGTCATCTTATTTCAGTGTGATTCTTCACTCAGGATCTCTTAAAAGGTGAATTTTAAAGGAGAAGCTGAATCACTGACAGGTCATCTTAGAGAAATTCAGTTTCAAATAATGCTGGCTCCTATCCAACTGTTCAACCCAGACCAAATGAAACAGCTTCCCAAGGTGAAGTAATCAATGTGGGTCTTGTTTTGCTGATCAACGGTCTCATTATTGGTGTATTATAACAGGGATAAGTAAAAAAGCAGCATATCCTCAACATGAGAAATTCACAACAAACAAATTAACGTATTGACTAACATAACCAGGTTTTTGAACGAGAACTGTCCAGAAGCATGTTAAAATCTTTGGACCGTATATTCGCTTTTCCTTTTGAATGTCTGTGAACTTTGGGGTTTGTCTATCACATAATCTCGTGCCAGCCAATTGTTCCTTGAAAAATTACCCAAATCAATAGCTGATTATCAGAGTTTTGGCGGGAGTTAACTTTCTCAGAGATCAACAAGTGCCCACAGACTTTGATCCTGATTCCCACACTGTAGTCTGTTGTGGAGTTTTATGTTCTCTGTTCTCCGAGTTACAGCTGGAAGCTCTCCAACCACAGAGACGGCACTCCCAGATTTGATAAGCAAAGATTGAGAGTGCCATCAAGCAGCCAGCCTGCTGGCCACCTGTTCAACCCACAGGCTTCCTATGTGGACACACAGGATTCTCTTGTCTCTGTGAAATCCTATAGGTCAGAGTCACACATGCAGTGGGTGTCAGTTTCTGGTATGAATTACACAGTTAAAGATGTGTTTCTGTACACACGCTGAGCTCCAATGTTCCACATCCTCCATGCACCATTAAAGCAAGGGAATGATGTTTTCAGCTCTTTCCAATAATAGTTCCCATAATGACTGTGTGGATTTCTATGCTTGTGTGTGCATGTGTGTGTGTTTGTATTTCAAACATCCTTGTGTTTTGCATGTGGTTCGCAATCCATTGTGTTTGTAGGCCTCAAGGTCCCTCACACCACCAGCCTCTTAGCACTAATCCCACTCTTCATGAAGTCATCACCATGGCTCTGAACTTCAGAGATTATGTGTGTGTGTGTGTGTGTGTGTGTGTGTGTGTGTGTGTGTGTGTGTGTGTGTGTGTGTGTGTGTGTGTGTGTGTGTGTGTGTGTGTGTAGAGGTGCTCTTGTATTAAAGCGAGCTATTGTTGGGCCTGCTTTAGCTGCTGAGGTTTGACAAAGAACCAAGAGGCTGATGGCGGCTGCTGAGGTTACATCGACAACCTTTATCTGCTCATGTGTGCACTTGAACACATTAAAAGGTTTCTCATAAACAGAAGAGTAAAACTGCATCTGTTTGTCTTGTGTATCCAATGTTTTCCATATGTAACAAATGCAAACATGTCAGAATTTGTCATGCTGTCTTTGTGTGCTTTGCAAGACACGAATGAAAGAGTGCAAAGCAAACATGAGAGGTGTAAAATTTCCATCTGCTCAGGATCTGATAAGTGTCACACTTGTCATCTATTATTTTTTTGGTGTTACCATGCTATCCTCTTTTCAAACCCAATGTTTATCCTGTTAAACATCTTTAACATTCATGGACCCCAGAGATAAACCCCTTTATATTTTCCTATAGTTATGACATGAGGTCCACATTATAGTTTCAAATGAGATGTGTCAAGAACTGTTGTATGCATTGCCATGGGTGTGGCACACACAATCATGATCCCAGTGGGAGAAACAACAATGGCTCCACAGCTCCATTATCACTGGTTTAATTGCACATGGTCTCTATGTGGACCTCAGTAGACCACAAAGTTTTTGTCACCAGTTTCTTATTAATTTTCAGTGTTTTGGCTTTATGATTAGTTAAAGGTACTGTGAGGAACTTTCTGTTTGTGTTAACTTTGGTGCCCCCTGTGGACAAAGTAGATGATGCCCCTGAAGTAGTGCTAAATAACTTTTTTTGACCATTAGCAGAGTTATCACTGTCTGCTGCGTCAATGTGAAAACACCATTCCTGCATGCACTGTGGCTGCAGACACTTTTTAGATCAGTGTGCCAATAAGTTCACCAAAAGAGGCAGGAGTATAAGGTGTATAAAGAACCCTGAGATGTGAAAAATGACAACTGCACTGGTTGGAAATGTGATGTTTAGAGCAAGTAAGTGCTGAGTCCTTGGGTTTTCAGTGTGGCTCATCAACAGTGTTGCAACTTGTGACTTTCTGATAACACTGTTGACGTCAGATGGTTGTCACCTCTTTTAACCCATAAGCCTCTGGTAGCCGTAGCCATGTGTTTGAGTTCCAGTTATAGAGGATGAGGTAATAAATGACAACTTCTAGATTCTTAGCCTTTTGGAAAAAACTGGGTCAAGTCATAACCCTCATGAGGAGGTCAGTGTGGATCTGAAGAGTTGGCTTCCTTCCTTTTTATTTCTGTCCTTTTTCTTGTCTTATCTCATATCATTTATGAGGCCCCGGTAAACCTTAGTGTTTGCACACCTGGGTTTTATAAAAGAGAGTGGGGGTTGATAAGGGTTTACAGAGACACCTGCAGAGAACAACAGAAGCAGATACAGATACAGGTCAATCTAACCAGCAGGCCCCTGCATGTTTGCTGACGGTGCACAAACCGACTTGACCTTTAGCCAAATTATCTGCGTGCACCTTTGGCCTGCTGGGAAAAGACGTTAGCTATAGAGTCATGCAAATATATGCAGCTTTTTTAAAGGCTGAGGTTGAAACTGTGGAGTGAGTGAAACCTGACTAGGAGGTCGTGAGCAGGAGCATATCTACCTCAAGCTGGCCAAAGTGAAAGGTCAGAACTTGACGACTGGCCGAGTAACCCAGAGAAAGCACGTTTCTGTGAGAGAACTCTCACCCACAAACCCACAGACCCAGTTTGACTGCTGGCTGCTGATGAGCTGGTTGCAATGATCCACACATTCTGCTCCTTGGCAATTCAACATGTCAGTGTGAGTTTTGATGCCCAAGTCTAAAACATAGATGGTGCACTTGGGATATGTGACCGAGGTTGCAGGGTCACACGTTTGAACCATCTGGGCACAAATGAGAAAAACAAAAATGTAAAGATTATGGGGAAACGTTCATTAGAAGACATGAAAGTGTCTATACTTTGTCAATCTTTTGAGAGCTAGGTTGAGCTAAAAACTATTCAGTCAGTATTCAGTCAGTATATTTACATGCCATGGTGTACAAAAAAAATGACTGATCCGGGGATGGTACCAGAATCTGGCTGGCCTTCAAAATGCTGTTTTCAGTGTCAACCAGTCAGAAAAAAATGCACTGATCTGATATCCTTGCAGCCAATTTAGACAACCAATTTAGTGACAATAATACAACATTAGGGTGCTGCTGGGAGAGATAGTCAAAATTAGCAAAATGCTAAAATGTATTCTGTGCATGGTTTGTTTCCATCAGTATTGTAGTACTCTGTGGTAGTCAGTACTATAGTATAGGCATCATAACTATGGGGCATCTGTGCCTCTGAAAGTTCAACAAGTACACCAAAATAGAAATGTTGTCTTTGTAAATGGTGAACATGTTTTTAACTTGTGCGTGCTTTTCTTGTGTTAAATTTAAAATACTATCTCAAAAATATTTATTGAGGACTTTGCCAGCTGACCCAGAAAAGCTGAGTAAGCACTCTTTAGATAATAACATTAAAGGGAAAAAAACTGTAGTTAGAGCACTCCGCTGTTGCCATTAGTGAGCACATGTTGTTGCTCTTTTCTCTCTTTGCTTATCTCTTTTCTTCTGTCCCTCTCCATCTCTCACCACGTGCCATGCTCTTTCTCATCTGATGCGGGTAGCTGGGCAGAGAGAAAGCCCAACACTGAGTGTGTGTGTGTGTATGTCTGGGTCTGTGCATTTCATTGCTTATGGGGGCATGAAATCGCTCCAAAGCCCCAAGGCACATTGGGCACCGCTCTACCCAGACCTTTGCAGAGCCTTCCTCTTCTCGTCAACACACTCCCTCTTATCAGCTCTCCGCCCTTCGTCTTTGCCCAGCGTAGAGCCATGTTTTTAGGCATTATCGGTGCGTACATGTGTGATTCCTCTCAACTTGTAGCTCGCCCCTTTGTTCCCACTGTGACCCTCATCCCAATCAGCGAGCCATCTGTCCATCAATCACTTCTTTCCTGCTGAGGAGAGTAACTGATACCAAGAGATGCTGACCTCAAGACCTGCAGGGGCTCAAAATGGCTTCAAGGACAGAATTCAGAATACACACATAAACACACATGCACATTTTGGAGGGAAAAAGATACCTGTCGTTACACACTTGTTTCATATGCACTAGTAGAGGTTTTTTTTTTTAAGTCAGTTACTGAAAATCCGCTGGACAGAAATGGACCAATCAGAACGGAGTACAACAAAGCCGTGCAATAAAATTGGAGTAACACACTCAGTCAGAGAGACCATTTCTTACTCCTCTGCCCTGTTCCAGCTATTTGAATATGAGGGGCCCTGATATAGAGAGAGCTTTGTGTTCACTGTGAGTATGTAGGCACGTGTGTGTAGTACTATACGCAGAGGGGGGAGGGCTAATGTAAGGGAAAAGCCCTGGCCTCAGCTGTTGTTCTACATTTTTCCCCGAAGAGAGAGCCTTACTTTCCCTGCACCACCAACTTTCTCCCCTGCTGTCCTTTCTAGAGGAAACCTTCAGGTTTCCTGTGACAAGTCACGACTCAAGCAACACAGTGAATATAAAGAAAGTGGGGCCTCTCATCCTGTCAGTCCTCCTCCTCTTCCCCGAAATCCCTCCATTTCTTCTGTCATTCCCTCAGAAGAGTCGTAGTGGGGGAGGGGAACATACAGTGTAGGAGCTCATGTGATCTGGCCGAAGAGAGCAGACAATATGTGCAGTCCCACCCTGTTATACAGTTTCCCTGTATGTAAAAGACTGCACACACTAGGCAGTGATTGAGGAGAATTAAAGGGGAGAAAGAAATTGTGCTTCAGTGCAGCTTTTAAAACAAAAATTGCTAATGTCTTATGCAAAAGTTAGCTTTTTGTAGTTGGCTTTTTAGGAAACCAACTTTTTGCTGGACCCTCAAAAATCAAAAACCATACCAGTTCTTGTTAACCCAGAGAGATAGGAAGAGATGTATTGAAATCAAAGATACAGGCTCTTCCAACAAGCTCCTTACGTTCAAAGGTCAGCCCCTCTTCACTCATTTTGCCTTTTATCTCGTTCAGGCACTGTTTTATGATTGTCAAAATGCATTAAGGGAAATGTTGGAAGCAATTCAGTTAGACTGCCAATTGTGGACCTCTTGAAACACATATAACCTTCTTGCTAGCAACATGCGAGATGAAAAAATTAGGGAAGACTTGGTTCATGCAAAAGCATTGTGTTGTCCACCCTTGGACTTTTTATGAATTTGCCGCCTCCTTAATGGTGAATTTCCCATCAAAACAAGATTCCTCCAAGCACTCTTTTGCACCAGATCCTATTAAATCCCGGAAGTCCCACAAAGTAATGACTTTATCTTGTGTACATAAGTAATTGCATGGTGTGCAATAGCTATTATTTTGTGCATGCAAGTTATCATCCTATGCACAATCTGTGTATTGTTTGTACAAACTATGAAATTTGTATGAAATCTTGTTCACTCAAGTTATTAACCAACAAATTATACTTTACAAGATAGTAACTTGTGCAGACAAGACAAAAAGTAACTCCTTCAGGGAACTTTGGGGCACCGCAGCATCATGACCCCAAGACATTTCATGCCCTTATTCAGTGCAGTGTGTTCAAGTATCTCGAAAATCTTGCATTTTTTTATTTTATTTATTTATTTTATTTATTTTTTTTATTTTTTTTTTGGGGGGGGGGGTCTGATACCATACATATTCTTATTAAGTGTACATTTACAAAAGTAGGACTCTCTGGCAGTAAGCTTATACTTGTTAGAAAATTAGCAGTGCTTATTTATAGGTTTGGCTATAGGGTGCATATTCAGCTGCTGTCATCATGGTATGCACGTTGCATTTTTTTTTCCTGAGCATCATTTAAGATCACAGTTGAAATAAACCACTTTGCATGCATTGCTTATAGTCATCTACAAAAACCTCACCCGATATGAAAGGTCTGCTATAAGAGAGGAAGCAGCAATCTCTACACCAACACTGTAATGTGTTTCAGTATCGTCCCACCCACTTGTTTCACTCTTAGAACATTCTGTTACCCTGCAGTATCAAGCCTAAAACATACAGAATCCGTGTTGAGCACGTTCGATCAGCGCTGCGTGTCATGCAGCAAATAGGTTCTCATTCTAATCAATGCAGCATCACACACAGAACACGTCACAGCAGAAGGTAACAGCACAGCATAAAGGAACATACTTCAATTTATTAAATACTAGTAAACTTGCGAAAACGGAAAATCATGTTGCTTTTTTACATACAGTAGAAGTTCAACGGTCACTGAATTATCTTTAAGTTATCAGGAAATAGACCACAGAAAGGCAAAACAACCTGTTGTGAAGCATGTTGTTTCCGCTATACTGAGCCCAGCTGACTGGGGCTGCACTACGCTGCTGCTACGCTCCAAACACGCATCCTGTGGGCGATTGACAGCGCTGCTGGACCGGGCAGAGATGCGACCCTGACGTATTGCGCTAAACAGGGATCCTGTGTGTTTTTGGCTTCAGACTGGAGGGTCACGTCAGACCACAGCACACAGTAATTATCCAGGACACCTTAGTCTGGAGAGACCTCAGCGTGGTTGAGTGCTGCAATTTTTTTTTCTTTTAAGTAGACGGTCAATATTGGTCAGGAATCCATTTTCATATGAGCACTTGAGTCAATGTGTGCATTATTCATGAACACCCATCACCCCTGATTGGCTTAGCTGTCCAGTGAGACGGGGGAAACGCCATGTTCAGAGCAGCAGTGTTAGACGGACCTGTGCTGACCGCTGGATCCTGAGGGATGGATTATTGCTGTGCAGTGACATCACCCTGTGGTTGAAAAGCTTTTAGTCTGATTAATGTACAGTGTGTGTCTACGTGTCAGCTCACCAGGACATGTGAACTAGATATAGATACGTTGTGGAGGACTGTTTCTTCGCATGTGACCATATGTAATCACATTTATGTGGTTAAAAGTCCTGCATTCATGAGTGTGCATTTTAGATGCCTCTGCACTCACAATAAATCAAATCCTATCTTGTCTCAGAGCAACATATTACAGGCCTTTGTCTTCACTCTTTTACCAATAATCCATCACTTCCGCAGCGATGTTGTAGCTCTATAAGCCTCCATTTCTATAAATATGGGTTAGTGTGCCTCATATTGCCACCCTCTCCTCCCTCCTGTTTGCCTTTCTTGGCTTTGTATTGTCTTGCTATTCAGCCTCTTTTTCCTTCCTTCTTGTTTATTTTTGCAACCACAGCAAAAAACAAACCATAGAATAAAATAGAAACGCAATATCTTTGTTGGACATCAATAAAAATGCTTATGTAAGGCTTTCTCTTGCAGCCCGCAGTGAGTTGGCTGCTGGTTGAACTTTCCGTATTTCAGTGCCAGGGATGCCCTCATCCTCTCTGTGGTAGCATCATGCTGTCAAAGGTGTGTGTGTATAGAAGAGCTTGTTGTGTGCATGTTGGTGTGAGCAAGTGATTTCTTAGTGTCTCTGTCTTCAGGCTTTGTTTATGTGGGCTTAGTGTCTCTCCTTACAAACACACACAACCACCACAAATCTTTGATTGGTTTTATTGAGTGTTTTGATTTCCACAGTTTTTACTTCCAAATTGACCAAAATACAAAACAACAAAAATTAATTGGACGATTATTTTTTAGAGCACAAAAGATTTATTGTAAATAATTAAAAAAGACATGTTTAATTAAAATAAGTTTCAAGAGCATCAGCAGGTCAAGGTGTTTTCATTATTTTGTGTACATCCTGTTAGCCTTTAGCTAATATGTTTTGCCAACTGTTCTGAAACTTAATGTGCTAACCACAGTAACAAGCTGAAAGAGGACGTGTTGCCCCCTACCCTAGCAGAGTTGGACACACTTTAGTCATTAATTTGATTTTTGCCCAGTACATGTTACCTAGTACAAGGACAAGAACAGCCCAATTTAAACTACGTATATAAATTTACTGAATAAATCTGAGTGTTGTGACACTTATCCTGTCACTGTCATGAGATTGCAAGGTTGGGCAGATACTGTATGAGCAGTAAAAAAAGCCTAAAAATTGACAACACAACTCATTTACTGGCGTTGAGTAAACACCACAAAGCCCCAGAGGGTTAGCCGCCAGTGTTTTAAAAGTTTATTCACCAGCTTAAGGTTACTCATATACACTCACCGGCCACTTTATTAGGTACACCTGTCCAACTGCTCGTTAACACTTAATTTCTAATCAGCCAATCACATGGCGGCAACTTAGTGCATTTAGGCATGTAGACATGGTCAAGACAATCTCCTGCAGTTCAAACCGAGCATCAGTATGGGGAAGAAAGGTGATTTGAGCGACTTTGAACGTGGCATGGTTGTTGGTGCCAGAAGGGCTGGTCTGAGTATTTCAGAAACTGCTGATCTACTGGGATTTTCACGCACAACCATCTCTAGGGTTTACAGAGAATGGTCCGAAAAAGAAAAAATATCCAGTGAGCGGCAGTTCTGTGGGCGGAAATGCCTTGTTGATGCCAGAGGTCAGAGGAGAATGGCCAGACTGGTTCGAGCTGATAGAAAGGCAACAGTGACTCAAATAACCACCCGTTACAACCAAGGTAGGCAGAAGAGCATCTCTGAACGCACAGTACGTCGAACTTTGAGGCAGATGGGCTACAGCAGCAGAAGACCACGCCGGGTGCCACTCCTTTCAGCTAAGAACAGGAAACTGAGGCTACAATTTGCACAAGCTCATCGAAATTGGACAATAGAAGATTGGAAAAACGTTGCCTGGTCTGATGAGTCTCGATTTCTGCTGCGACATTCGGATGGTAGGGTCAGAATTTGGCGTCAACAACATGAAAGCATGGATCCATCCTGCCTTGTATCAACGGTTCAGGCTGGTGGTGGTGGTGTCATGGTGTGGGGAATATTTTCTTGGCACTCTTTGGGCCCCTTGGTACCAATTGAGCATCGTTGCAACGACAGCCTACCTGAGTATTGTTGCTGACCATGTCCATCCCTTTATGACCACAATGTACCCAACTTCTGATGGCTACTTTCAGCAGGATAATGCGCCATGTCATAAAGCTGGAATCATCTCAGACTGGTTTCTTGAACATGACAATGAGTTCACTGTACTCAAATGGCCTCCACAGTCACCAGATCTCAATCCAATAGAGCATCTTTGGGATGTGGTGGAACGGGAGATTCGCATCATGGATGTGCAGCCGACAAATCTGCGGCAACTGTGTGATGCCATCATGTCAATATGGACCAAGCTCTCTGAGGAATGCTTCCAGCACCTTGTTGAATCTATGCCATGAACAATTGAGGCAGTTCTGAAGGCAAAAGGGGGTCCAACCCGTTACTAGCATGGTGTACCTAATAAAGTGGCCGGTGAGTGTACAAGCTATTGAGTCATAAATTTTCAGTAAATGTATCAAATAATCACCCTTATTTTTATGCTTGAAACAAAAGAGAACAGCGGCTTACGCGCTATTTTTGAGTGGGTCTTTATTTTTGAGGAGACTATGTTTTTAAAGCAGTTGATAGGCAGACGTGTCAGACACAGAAAAGGCTAGCTGAAGCCTGTAGCTGGAAAATGAGCAAGGACAAATATGGGCCACTAATCCACTCTTTAACATTAGCCAGTATTAGCCTTCATCTGTCTGCAGTCATAGCGCCAGAAGACACTGAGGCCCGGGAGCTAAGGAGAGAGGAACAGCCATTTATTTTGGTCTGTCAGAGCCACATTTTGCCTCAGTGCTTTGGATTCCTATTTTCTTTCTCTCTTTTTTCTCCCTTTCCTTCTCTCTCTTTATTTCTCTCATTTCCTTTTGACTCTCATTCGTCAAGCTTTCTCTCTCTGTGTGTGCCTCTCCCGGTTCACTCTGGCTGGCCCTGTATGATTACTGAAAACTGTATGGAGACAGCGCAAGAGCTCTGTGGCGAGGGGACTATGCCATTGGCTGGTTTGCACTCCACCCCCATTTGTGATTGGCCGCAGGCTTCAACGTAACATTCAATCAGCTGGGTAGAAGTGTATGTAGGTCAGTGTGTAGATGTGAGCCTACTCTCTCTCTCTCTCTCTGTCTGTCTCTGTCTCTCTCGCTTGCTCGCTCACTCTCTGTTCCCCTCCTCCACCGTGGTCGGTTTTTTGGTGAACCGGCTGTTGTGTTAATTGGCTGTGTTCCAACTTTCAATCCCCAGAGAGACTCGAGGCAAAGTGAGGAAAGGGGGGAAGAAAGCAGGGAGGTGAAAAGAGGAAGGGAAGTTGAAAAGGAGGCGAGAGGGGGAGGAGGAAAAGGAAGAGGGAAGAGGGTGGGGGAAGGGTGGTTTAAAATGGGGTGCCCTGTTGCACTCCGAAGTGCAATAGTACAGTGTGTTAGTGAGTCAAACACACACTATACAAATAGACAACTCCTGGCAAATATAGCAGCTCAGGGTGTTTATTTTCTTTCTGTTTGAATGTGGGAGGGGATGGAGGAGGGAGTATATAATACAGGGGGGCATAAAAGAAGAAAAACAGACAAGGATGTTAGTCGAATTCCCGACTATCTCAATCCTTTCATTCTCTGAGCTTCCCAGCTGCTGGTCACAGGGTTGTAGACCTCAAATGACTTGCACAGTGGATCATTTGGTTATCTAATCTGCAGGGTCATAACTCTGTGGACACAGTAAACCCATTGATACACACAGAAATCCTGCAGCACCTCTTATTCCCATTTTCAATGTGAGTCTGCTGCCCTGAGAGGAGTCTGTATGTGGCTACGGCGGTGAATAATTCAAGCTAACCCAAATTCTTTTACAGTGCTTACTCTACCCCCTAAGTGCTCCCGCATACACACACACACACACACTCACACATTCGCCAGCACCCCATCCCGTAAGTGGTGGTCCCTAGGCATTGCCCATAGTAGTCTAACCCAGACAAGCAGACTGTGAAAAGCAGACAAAATAAAGTCTTGTACACTTCACTTTACTACTCCCTCTGCAGCCATGTCTGTCTGCATCCTTCACATTAAAAGCACCCCGCAGCAGTTTATGTTCTCTGCAGCCCTCTCTTTCCATGTCTGTCTGTCGCCCTGCGCACATCTCGCCCGGCTACACCCGCCTGCATTCCCTTTTTATCAGGAACTGTCATTTCATACTCATTTCATCTTCCAAACACCCCAGCCCAGATGCAGTGAGGTACATTCCTACCTGTCTGGTTTGAAAAAAAAGAATCTCATCTCAGCCTCCTTTCACCCTGCCCTGGCTTTAAACTTATTACTGGATAAAGACACCCTCTTCCCACCCTTCCATAATCATGCACACACACTAAAACACACACAGACACATGGGCTCATGCACTGGTTGACTTTACCCTGACTTTACCCTCTTATTCAGCCAGCCACTGACCCACTTAGTGTGGAATAAGAGCACCAGACGGACAGCAGGCTTTTTACTCCGGGGCACTACGGGAAGACTAAGCTAAAAACAACAAGAGATGCACATGCGTAGACACTCACATGCACTCACCCAGACACATGCCCACAGTGGACAGGCTTACTCAGAGTCTGATTTTACAGACGACAGAATGCACTGTCTGCTTTGGTGCCATCAGTGACGCCATCGCTTGACACAGCAGCACACCTAGAAATGTAAACAAGAAGCATTTAAGGCACATTTGACCAAAAGTATCTGAAGAAAGATGTCAAACGTCATCTATCATAATGTAGTTAAGTTGTATTAATAATTCAAAAACATCAGAACAGGGGGAATAAGGTATTTGCTCTTGTGTGATCTCCATTTCGAGCCTCTTTCTGTCTGCCACTCTCTCCACTTAGCTGGTGTCTGTGTGTAGATTGAGCACCTGTTTTAGCATAAACAAGATCACCTCCAGGAAAGACCAACACCCAAAACTCTAATGAAGTCATGATTCATGTATATATACATACTGATCAAACAACATCAGCTTACACAGGGCATATTCCAGTAAGATCTTGCCTCCTCCCTCTTCTCCGTGTGTATTCTGAATGCCAGTAAATTACATGTTAATTATAGACATGCTTTTCATAGTAAAAAGGGTCATCTTTAGGTTGTCTTCAAAGAAAGAACCGTTCCCAAGCAGGGACTTTTAAAATGGTAGATCAGTGACCCCAGAACTACATTTAGACCTTGGTTCCATCTATCCAGACACACAAGGTGCTATAAAATGGTAAAGTCCAATTAAAAATGACCTTTATTTTATTGCATTTGTTTGGACTTAACTTAGAAGTACTCCTCACCTTTATAGAGTAATTTAACAGTTCTGTAAACACATTTTCTTACAGAGAGTAAGTCTAGAGGACATTCTCAAGCGTCCTTGTCTATATATAATGTTAGCTTAGTTCGTAATGTTTGGCTCAGCTGGTGTGTCAGGGAGTTTGCGTATTGTAAGCTCAGCTTGGAACACAATGTCTTAGAGATATGAAAACTGATGTACAAAGACAACATGGTGTGCTTTGCTGGGTGATGACAGACTTGGCCCGTTAAAGGCTCAGTACCTCACAAGGTGTGGACTCTACTAGAGTAAAAGGAATTCCTCCTTCTTTAACATCTGTGCCGACACAAACTGCATATTAAGAGACTCAACATGGTTAAAAATTTACAGAACTTCAAAAAAACATCAGAACTGGTGAAAATTTTGATACTTGAAATCATCAAACACTGGTCCCTATTATGTTACTTTCACTTGCATGCAGTAATTAATTTAAGCACAATTTTTTAATAAATAAAGTGAGGAGAAGTAGAGATTTTTTGGCTCTACCCAGGTATCACATTTTCAGGGCTGACCTTATTCATGTAGAAAAATTTGGTTGTCCCCAAACTCTTTGCATGAAAGCAAATCAGACATTCAGGTCAACTACCTCTTAAATTTCTGGCCATTTTTCTGGTCTTGCAGAGCGTAGAGTAGTCTGGTTTGCATAGTTACAAACACATACACACAGAACTATAGATATATGCACGCTGTAACCACACCTAGAAACGTAAACACACCCGTCATTATGCAACACACTGAGAATGAGGCCACACAGATGGCATAAAAGAAATCACAGATATTGGCCTATTACTTGAAATATATATAAATATATATTTTGCAATGCGTGCAGTACTTTAGCCACTTCAGCTGTTTCCTCCACATCAGTCTCGTGACCAGACGAGCTAGTGTCAGACCAACCGAGTAATGAAACACCACCACTTCCCTTTTCCTCAGGTTATTTCAGTCGGTTTGAGGCCAGCGGCTGCTGACTGCTCTTGGCACACTTCACTGACTGTAGCCAGGTCAGCATGTGAGTTCAGAGTGGTACAAAAATCACAAGCTAGAGCCACTGTGTTGCTTCATTTCTTGGTTTAGTTTAGGCCTTTCTCTGGCTGTTTCCTTATTTTAACTTCCTTGCAGACGTGCAAGAAATGTAAATTTGTTGCGTGACTTTCACAGTTGCGTGTGTTTGGGTCAGGGTTGTGTCAGTCAGCTTTAAGGTAAATGTTTTTTGAAGACGCCTATTAAACATTATTTAAGGTCACTGTGGTGTGTTGGCATATGTTAGAGCCTCACCGTTCATCTCATATTGACACGGTGATGCTGGGGTGTCGGGAGCTTGCTGTCAAGAGAGAGGCCTCCTTACTTTATGTCTTCCTTCTGCCTTCTTCACTTTTTTCATTACCTCTCTGGTTTACAGGGCCTTTGCAGACAAGCTCTTAAGGATTACCAGACACACCCCTTTGAGAAGCACTGAGCCCTACAGCTCCCACTCACCTCACAGCGTTCAAGTGTGTGTGCGTGAAAGTGAACGTTTGAGCAACAACATTCGAGATCTCACACTTTCTGCCCACTCTGCCTCCTTGGAGACAAAAAAGTGGAGGAGGAGAAACAAAAAAGAGAGGTGGAAAGAGGAGAGTCTGGGTGGAGGAGGAGGAGGAGGAGGAGAGGCAGATTGAGTGATCATCGCTCACCAATACAGAGAGGCAGAAAGAGCCAGAGAGCAGAGCTTTGGCTAGCGGCCAGCTAGTGCCACCATACAGCTTTTGTGCTGAGAGTTGACTTGGAAAAGACCTTTCAGAGAGGGAGAGAAAAGAATTGGAGATGACAGAAAAATACAGAAACGAGGCAATGAGAGAACGTCAGAGCCAGAAGAGAAGGGGCAGACTGGGGGAAGAATGATCACAAAAGAGAACTGTAAGGGAGAGGACAAATGGATAAAAAGAAAGAAGAAAAATGAGGACTGGGGGGGCTGTGGTTAAACCAGATGATAGAGACCTATTCATGAGCCCATACAGTATATTACAGAGATTATACCAAAGCTACACTATTTTCCCCTTCTTTCTCTCACTTACTAACCCTAACCCTTGTAACCCGCCACCAACTTGTTTTTACAACTGGAAAGTCACAGCAGTCCTGTGCCTGGGGGTATTATAATGTATGTGTGTTAATATATAATAATAATGTGCGTTAATGTGCTTTTATTGCTCTATTTTTTATGTTGTGAGAGGAAAAAGTGGAGCGTTTCCATGTGTTTTATTCAAACACATGAATTAAATTGGTTTCCTTTCCTGTAGTCTGAGCCCGCCTGTAAACACACTAGGTACTTTTCCCAGGTGAGGTCAAGAGAAGTGCACTGATGTCACCGTGTCACAGTTGGTAATTATGGCTAACGCTGTTAGCCGCAGCTTAGATGAGGTGATTACCTGCTTCTGTAAGCAGTTGTTTCCTGTCATGCCATCTCATACTCTTGCATTATAAAAACAAAACCACGAAAAAAGGACACAAAAATACAGCTCAGGCTTAAAAAAGAAACTGCAACTTTTTGTGGCCACACATGAAAAAACAAACAAACTGCACACAGGACACAGAGGGAGTAGCTGTGTGGTTGCCAGTAGTCTATTAATAGTGAGGTAATATAAATACAAAGTGAGGCAGGTGGGGAGCAGAGCCTGACTGAAGTGAGGGAGGAGGCTGACAGTCTGGGAAGGGGAAACGATTCAATGGAGGCCACTGTTCACCTGCCTGTGTGTGTAATCAAACTTACCTACCTGTCTAACTGGGGACTTTGTATTTGAAACAAATCCACCTAGAGGGGACCACCAAACAGAGAGGGCTCATTTTCAAGTTTTTCATGCTAAGATCATCTTCAAATCCATGAAGTGAATCTGTGTGTGTGTGTGTGTGTGTGTGTGTGTGTGTGTGTGTAACAACATGCTAGCAAGCGTAATGAAATATCAGCCCTCAGCAGGAAGCACATGTATGCAAGTGTGTGTTTGTGCGTGTGTTTTGTCATGTATGAGAACTTAGCTGTGAGCGCCTCAGAGAGCGGGGACAAAGAGAAGGATGAAGGAAGACATAGGAGGGCCTCTCGTGTCCCCACTGAACCCTCCAAGCAATGGGTAAACTGGGGCCCTGATGCCCATCTCCGTACCCCCAAATAACCCCCTGCAGCACGGGGGCATTTAAGTTCACACCACTGTGGGGCCCAAAATAAACACAGAGACTTGATAACAATATACAGTGTGCCTGGCTAATGAAATTCCTCCACAGTCACCGTGGTGTTCGAGTTTACTTCAAACTGCTAGGACAGACAGGACGTGTGAGGAGTGAAATTCTGTTATTCATCATTAATTATGGAGTTTAATTGGCTGTATTTCTTCTTTAATGGAAAAAATTGGCAGTACATTCTGTTAAGTACAAAAAAGCAAGTGAAGGAGTGGGCGGATGAGAAATTGAGAAAGGAGTGGTGGGTCCCCTTGGACAAAGATGCATATCTAAAATTCATCACAATCTGGCTCATAACCTCTCCAACATCTCATCTCTCTCTCTCTCTCTCTCTCTCTTTTAGACTTCCCGCCTCTCTTCTTTGTGTGCTTTTCATAACAAACAAAATGCCATTAAAGGGAAACACTTCTGAAAAGTAAGAAGTAACTTGGCAACACTGTTGGCACAAGAGCAAGCACCACCTTCATGCTTTGTTTCTTTTTGCAGTAAACATCTCAATAGGAAACAACTGATACAAAGAAACTCTTAATGGCAGATGGTTCGGCGAGATAACAAAAAAAAACAACAATGAGAGCAGCAGGCAGTGTCATTGGGAGTGCTTCATTTTTGCAGTAAACAACCCTAAAACTGGACTTTCTCTTTTTTTTCCCACTGGGGAATATTCAAGTAGAAAAACAGCTGAGAAGGAGCTCAAAAGAGAGTTGGCCTCAGCTGCTGCGAGTGCAGCTTCCTACTGCTGTGGTTTAAAGGGCCTTTTTGGACCTCGTGTCCTGTGTCAACAGCCGCTGAGCACAGACAATATCAGTGTCTAGTTTTAAATCACTTATTTTTTGAGCCAATGCGGACCTTACAGGTTTATTGGCATTTGTGTTTTAAAGCATCTTTTTTTTTTTTTAAGAAAAGATCTTGTTAAAAATGGATCTAGACAAACAAGAGTGGCTGACTGAATGAGGTGAGGTTTAAAAACAACACACGACATGCTCACTAGCTCACAAACAAGCTCCAATGATGCACACGTGTAATCAGGCTTAATCTTATGCGACACACATGAGCAGATAGAGAAAGGTGAATTAGGTTATGCGGTCATGAAACAATAGTGTTGATCTAGAAACTGGGATTTCAAAGGAGCCTCTGGGGTCAGTAACACAGGAAATGATGCCATCATAGAAGAAGTGTGAGGAGGATAGCTAAGGTAGATTTAGGTTTCTTTGTATGTCATAAACTGTGTCACATTTGCTGGAACAATAGCTTCAGGTGTCGCTGCTTTTACTATGAAGTCACACCTGTTCTGAAAGAAACTCCAAAATGCACGAGACAAAATCGTGAAATGGGGAAAACATCAGAGAGCTGCCTGCCTTCCTTTATGTCTCAAAGCAGGAAGTCATGTGAGTCTTAAAAGGGGCAGAGCCAAGGAGGGTCTCAGGAAGACCCGCGCTGTTGCTGGGAGAAAGCGTTACCAAGGTTTTTGTCTGTGTTTTTACAGACAGTGCGTGTGTGTGTATGTGGGTGTGTGTGGGTGTTTGCCCTGCAAAGGTTAGGCTCTCGCCCAAGGCTTAAACACACTCGTAAAACACACAGTGACGACTCAGACACACAGTGTGAGTGTATGCGTGTCAGACTCCTCCAACAACACCTCCTTCCTTTCTCCTGCTGCTCAGATGGGATGGAGGAGGAGGACAAGGAGGAGGTCTGACAGGACTGGAAGTGCTGACATCAGCAGAGAATGAGGCACACACACACACACACACACACACACACACACACACACACACAGACAGACACACAAAAGACAAGTACACATAAGGTCAAACAGAAATGCTCTCTGGTGCGGGGGGGTGTTTAGGTTTAGAAGAGCTAAACTGGTCTGCAGTTTCAGAGCCTGAAAGAAACAGATTGAGGGAAGAAACTGTCTTATTTCAGACTCACATCTGAAGTTTACTAGTGTAAATTTGAAAAGTGAAACACAAAATCAACTTCACTTTAATCTTTAACACCCAATTATTATTTAAAAACATATGAATTACTAATTTTTAACTCTGGATTTATTTTAAAGTGACTAATTTAAGTTTAAATTCGTCTGAACAGACAAGTCAAGGAAACACTCAACTGGAAAGTTTTCACTTCTTTTAAAGCTCCTGTGAGGGATTTTAGCAGTGCGTCAATTTTGGTCCCCCTCCCGTGAACAAAGACTTATTTTGTCATCTACATGCTTAAGTAGTGTCTTCTGACATTAATACCATCTTGCTAGCTTTTAAAATTTAATTGCATTATTTGTTGTAAAAAATAAACTGTTTAAGCTAACTCCCCCAACATCTGTCTCAGGCATTAAAAATCACACTGTGGAAATCGTAAGTCTTACTGCTAATGGTCTTGTCGGCTTTTGTAGCTCAGAGGTATCAACATCAATTCCAGTCTATTTCAGAGCCAGAAAATTATCCTCACAGGAGCTTTAAACATTTCTTGGAAATATTGAACTTTTTCACAGAGTTCTGGTTTTATTAGAGCACTTATCAAAGTGAACACTGTGAACTAGAAACACGGTAACTTTGCAGCCATATGAGCCATTACTAATAAAGGTGGCGTAAGCCAGAAACTTATGTAAGTGACCTCCCTCTAAACTCTGTGTATGAAAAACTAAAGAGAACAAATGAAATCAACATTACTAATGGAAACCACATGATTCAGCCAAACAATACCACATGATGTTTCTAAACTGTGATTACTTGTACCCAAAATACCCCAAAAATGCTTTAACCATGGCAGCAGTTTAAAGTTGAACGTGGTAGTCCGTCTCTGACCTTCAGTGGATGTTACTGGTGGTCAGTTTAAGTAAACATTTTAAAATTTTCCTCACTTTCTTGAGCACAATAAGTTTGGTTTTAAAACTGTCTTGGAGTTTGAGAACTCATGTTTTTTGCAATGTCTGACATGTTTTGAGAAATTTTGGACCAGAAAACTGATCCTGTGACTACACTGCAGCTATTACAGCTATGAGCAACAGCCAAAACTAAGAAAATGAAACCCAGCTAGTAATAAACAGGAATTATCCTTTAAGTGTGGTACAACATACGGTAAAAATCAGTGGTCTGTGGTTTGGTGTGTGTGTGTATAAGTGTGTGTGCGTGTGTGTACTGTATCTGTTTTTAGCACCATAAGAGCGAAGAGCCCCATGAACACCAGCGAGGCCCTGACACTAATCCAGACCAGATGTGTGCTCCACTGCTTCACAAAAACTTATGAAACACACACACACACACACACACACACACATATACACATACACGCGCGATCACACAAACACGCTCACACACGCATCAAACTAGAAGCAGCACTTCGTCAGTGGTCCCAAAACAATGGAACTCGATTTGTAGCCTAATGTTTACTTAGCCAACATGATTATGTGTAATGCTATTGTCGCCATAATCTGTCTCAATGAGATCATAGCTCACCTTCAGGAGAGTTAATTGGAGGTTTGAGAGGTCATGAAATGCCTCGTGTCAACAGATAGAAAACAAGTCGACCCCTTTTCTGATCCAAACTAAGTCCTGTGGGTGTGACCTGGATAGATCAGGCAGGGTTTAAGCGGGCTGTGTTGTGGAAACGGCAGGGCAAAGACACGGCACACCTCTGTGTTGCACACATACACCAGAGCAGAGGTGGATGTAGGGAAGGAGTAGCAAACAGGAATGTAAACTCTCCACAGATTAATGTAAATGCTACTCTAAAGGACAGTTTTTGACCAACAAGAGTTGAGGTTTGTTTTGCACATCAAAGTCTTGCACCTATAGACAAAGAAAATCAGTAATGCAGACAGTTTTTAACCAAGGAGATAACAGTCAGGAAGACCAAGATTTGTCATTTCCTGTGTGTGCATAAGATTAACAGTCACTGACTTGATACCAGAAATTCATGCAAGTAACTGAGGAAAAAAAAACAGCCTAAGTTATAGCAAGATGACAGAATGGCTGTTGCATGATTTTCTGTAAAAAGTAAGAAATCAGTGGTCTGACATAAATCTTTTATGCGTAAACATCCTTTACATAATCTATAACTTTGTCCTCAGATCACTTAAAGAGAACCCATTCTGCTCTGTGCAGATCTCAAGTCAGTCCTCAGTGGAGGTACAAGTATGCACTCAGGGCAGAGGGGTGTTAAGGGAGGTAATAAACCTCAGTCAACCCTTCACCCTTGCTACGCACATAAAAACAGCAGGTCGTCCTCCCCTCCCTTACTTCCTCTCTCTGTCCACACACATCTCCTTCCTTTGGCCCTCGCTGAAAAATCACCCCTGCCGGAAATAGCTGCAGACAGCGTGTTCTTTATATGTCACCTTGGTTTACTTTTGGTCACCATATTGTGGTTACATTAGTTAGACCACTGCAGTGAGTACCAGGCTTTTTCCACAGAGTTGCCATCTTGCACCCTTATGTTTCTACAGTAGCACAGAACAGACGAAGTAGTGAGTGGCTGTGCTAAATGCATCAATTACAAAATGAAGAAGAGGAAAGGGGTTATTGATTGATAGATATTTTTGATGGCCAAAACTTGACAAATGGAGGATCATACCTAACATGCATCACAGCAGCTCCTTACCCTTGACACCACTGTTTCTTGTGGGGCTTCACCAATGGGAGGGGTGAGCAAGTGGGCATTGTAGTCTAGGACCAGACCACTAGAAATTGCCAAACATTTCCATTTCTACAGACTGTACCTTTAATCCTAAGTGGCAAACTCTTTTTAAATTTCAGTCAGTATGTTTACGTGACACTCGAGAAAACCGAACTATTGACTTACTCTGATTAAGACCGGACAACTGAGATGTAAACACCTTAGTCTGACTATAATCAGAGTTTGAGAACTCTGATTGGAGTTTGAGAACTCTGATTGAGACACCCAGATAATGGAATGCAATTTTCTCTACCATGTAACCAGCGTAGTCGGAGTATGATTGGACGGTGCATGTGTGCCACACCCCCGCAACCCTGGAACAAAAACACCAGACAAGAAGTGGCACGAGGAGTAGCATGCACCTCATCTGCAGAAAAAGTAGTGCGTACATCAGGTACGACAAAAACAATGCCGTACGATGCTCCATCTTCTTGCTCAAAAAATGCCCAGCAGCAGTTGTAGCCACTTCTGACATCTGGCATGGACCTACTGTTTTTGTTGACAGTTGTATGGGGTTGGAAACAGCGCCGCTGAAAAGACGCTTATCGCCCCCTAGTATTAGGGAGGAGGACACATTCATGTCAATAATTCAATTTTCCCAGCTGCATGAATACGGGGACAAGGAGAGACGCACTGAGTGATTTTCAGTTTCTACTCTTTGACTTGGTTTATTGTAATGGCAATCACTGCAAATACACACCAGGAGGTTTTTAATGTATTCCAGTCTTTTAAAAGTACTCAAAATCAAAGTTTCATCTGAAAGATAAAACAGAACTTTCACTTAAAAACTGTGAACACCAAAAACCAACCCACTTTTCTTTGATATTGTCCTTGAAACAACTCTGTGGGAGGGAGTGTAGGCGGTCTCATTTCCCAAACGTATTCCTCATCACCCGTTCCATATTTCCCTCAGGAACAACAACATTCCCCTTCCTGATAATTATGAATGATTCTGTCCTTCCCCCTCTCCTCCCTCTATCCCTCCTCTCACCAGCGCTGCTAGAGTCTCATAGAGATGTGATTAATCATGTAGACACCCTGCTAGTCTTAATACCGAGGGTGCCCTCTTTTTCTCCCTCCCTCTCTTCTTCTACACTCTTTATCTGTCACTCTGAATTCCTATCAATCTGTCTCACACACACAGTCTGAAAGTCTCATTCATCACCTGTTCACACAGGAAACCCTATAATGCACACCAGTGAGATCATTAAATGGTTGGCATCTCCTGTTTTTTTTACCGTCTCTCTATAAACTTAATGCTCTCTCTGCAATCGCTCTTCATATGTGTGTGTGTGTGTTAATGTGTGCACATCTGTCATCAGTGCGCTCATTCAGCAGGATAAAATACGATAATCATGGCTAGCAGACCGGCCTCTGTTCCACGGCTATTTTTAGATGTCAGATGTTGAAATAGTTCACAATCTTAAAAAGGGCAGGCCGCGAGTCACCCTAGCATGGCACAGGATTTGTAAACCAGACTGAAGGGAAAAACACTTACAACTTTCATTTCATGGCGCAAATAAATTTCATAACCGCAGTAAGTTTATCACACTGTAAAATAAAGCCCGAGTTTCTTCAATGGTGGATGCTTTAATTGTGCGCCGTCAAAACCAACCAATAAAAGTGACTTTTTTTTTTTTTTTTAAGGAACTTATGTAAATGTTTATATACAATGCACTGTAATGTCTGGGCATTGAAATGGTATATAAAATACCCCGAAGCACTGAAGATCTGTCTTGAAGCAGAAAATGTCTTTTGACATCCATACCAAGGAAACTACACCTTTAAGTTCTGAGGTTGTGTTACCCAGACAAAAATTGAAAGCGTGGGAGAAAGCTCCTTTACCAAAGTGTGAGTCATACTTATAGGATTTTATAGGATCAGTGTTACAAAGCTGCTTATTTTGCCAGAATGCTTAAAAAGAAAACCCAATCCTATTTGGTTAATAGTTACTCAACTGACAGAAGAGTTTAACTCTTAAAAGCCCATTCTCATGTGTATATATATTGATGCCATTTTTGAGTCTGGTGTTGCTAGAAATTTGAAAATATCAGAAACAGTTGTTTGCACAGAGAAGGACTGCTGCTCTGCTCTCTTGCCTGCCTCTTTCTCCCTCTGTCTGAATAAGTCGTCTTTGTCTTTGCTGGGATGTTTCTGTTGTCAGTGTTCCTGCCTCTGTGTGTGTGTGTGTGTGTGTGTGTGTGTGTGTGTGTGTGTGTGTGTGTGTGTGTGTGTGTGTGTGTGTGTGTGTGTGTGTGTGTGTGTGTGTGTGTGTTCTTGGCAGGTCCAGTTGCTGCTTAGCTTAAGGACGGCGTGTCCTAGAACTGAGGTTGATAAAGCCCGGCAGGGATGTCCTGAGTTTTCCCAAACCAATGCGTACACATGTCAGGATGAACAGCATGTTTGGGGACCCACCCTGGCTGCACACACTACGTTGGTTTGGGACACTGGATTAAAAGTGTGGGTGGAAATACCTGCTTGATAGATTTTCCTCCTTTCCGCTTTTCTGTTTGCATGTGTGTTTGTACATGTGTGTGCTTAACCTCGCACTGTGACCATGAGCTAATGCCCAATAAGAAACTGAGTTGACCAGCTCTGATCAAAACAAACAGACATAACGAAACTCTCATTGGAGTAATGTGACTGGCCGTGCCTCTGAAACAGGCTGCTCTGATTGGCTGCCTGGGGTGGGCTGGGTCCACAAACTCTCCCACCTCAGGCTGACTGATTGGATCCAATCGGAGAGTAAACAAGTAGTTCTTTGAGCATGTGGCCTCACATAATTCAGAACACACGGCGTGCAGGCCAAGAAAACTAGAGAAGAGAGGAGAGGAGGGGAGACAGATGGAGAGATAGAGAAGAAAGAGAAGGAAAAGGAAAAAGAGGTTGACTTTGCAGGAGTAAAGAGCAAGCTTTCGTGTAAATGTGTTCGTTTTCAATACAAATTCATTGTCGGAGGAACTTGGTATTGGAATTACTCAATAGTAATGGATTTCTCTGCATTGTAAATGGTTTGGGCCATTTTCATCAACAAAACTCTAAATCTACTTACTGAATTTATCCGATAAAATTGTGTTTGTGTTTGCAACTGTTACTGGGAAAACCTCAAGTCAAATTTATTCACCAAAAAAAAGAGGAGACGAGGGGGAATAAGAGGAGGAATAAAATCAGAATGGATGTGTAACAGGATTCCTTCTGCCAACCTCCAGATCCCCATCCAGTGTACACACATATAACACACACACACACACAAGCAAGAAGACAGAGACACCCAGCTGGCCGAGAAACTCGCATATGATTGAAGAGAATGGAATGTTCTGTCTGCCGTCCAGAGCTGGAACCTGGACTCAAAAAATGAGCGTGTGCGTCTGTGTGTGTGTGTGTGGGTGGGGGGGAGGGGGTCACGGTATAAATAACCGCCCTCTCTCTGCAGTGTAACACAGACCAGCCAGGCTGTTTATTTATAAAGGGCCTCATACGTGTCAAAACCTGCATGTTGTCTGCCCCTCGCTACCTTTCTACACTTTGACTGCTGCCCTGATGTATGCACTTCTTCAGTTCTCATATCAAGCACTTCACTTCATGAGTCATGACTGTAAAAATAATCTTGTGTTCGTACTAGATCTGGGCAATTAATCAGATTTTAATTTTGGCTCCCCATGATCATTAAAATATGTTACACAAGACTGAACAGTTCTTATCCCACCTGTCGCGTTGCCCGCCTTCGTATCACCCAGACAAACATGCTGTCATGTGAGATGCTCCAGAGTAGTTTCCCCAGCAAATCCATTGACTGTAAATAAAGATAGCTGACACACTGTCATTTCTTCCCAATGTAAAAGTGAAGCCAAAATGGTGTTTTGACAAGTGCAGACAAATTGCATTATTTACATATTTTTGGAGCCAGAGTCTTTACTGAAGCAACCTGGCTAGTTCAGCCCCAGAGTTGCATCACATCTCTTCTGTAAAAGACCCACTCTGAAGAAAATCTTGTTTTTCTTGTTTTTTACATGTTCATGTGGTATTTTTCTGATGCTATAGGACATATCACGAGAAAACTATGAGTATTTCTGCATTCAAATTGCGGTGAATCTCTGGCAGACCCAAACTGCAGGCTCTGAAACAGTGCGATTTCCTATGTAGCAAATCCAAGCTACCCCTCAGAGCCCTGTAATGCAGGCCAGGCTCAGAGAAATAGAGAGAACAATCATGGAACAGGCGTGTGCGTTAGCGGATTGCAGTGCTCGTAAGAAAGCTAATTAACTTTCATCATGTCCCCAAAGACACAAGTGTCCGGAAGCCGAATAGCTCCTATGTTACCTGCAACTTCTACTACAACGGCAACGTTAGCCTGCAAGCTTACGCAAAGAGAAGTGTGTAAAGCAGTGCCGTCTCTGCCCACGACTCAGAGGCGAATTGCTAATGAGGCACTGGAGCTCTGCAGAACGAAAGCCTTTGAAAATGACACAGGTAACATGATTTTGGCTAAAAAAAACTTCATAATCACAATTTACAGACCACTGAGAACACTTTAAGAAGTTAAAAAATGATTGGAGTAGGACTTAAAACAAAACACATATTTAGTATACAGCTAAAATGGAAAGTAGAACAGTCAATGGCTGATCTAAGGAAGACCCTCAGAGAAATTAAAAGTAGATTGGCTTTTGTGTCATTTTTTTTTCTCTACTAATCTGGTAATGAATGCTGCACGGGCTGGGGTCACATCCACCCTTTTGGCGTCATATATCTGATTGAAACCAATCTTAGAGAAATGAGCAACATACAAATGTATGTTTTTATCCTACAGTTTGACTCACGTTCCATCTGTTGAGATCGAGGAGATGGACTTCATGGCTGATACTGAAGCCAATCGCCAAGAGGGGCTCCAAATGTTTAAGGCTTTACTTTTGCAGAGTTTCCATCCATCTGTTCAGTCTATAAGCAAAATCTATGTAGCTTACCCGAATCTGCTCTCAAGTGTATTTTATTTTAAAAACAAACGTGTGAGGTTTTTCCAAATACAGAGAATGTACTCAGTGAAAGCTATTATTCAAACATAATGGCCTCCTGATTCTTTCATGTATGTTATTGGGAGATTTTCACATGATTGATTTTAAGGTTGAACTCTTTAATCACCATCTCCTTTGTTTCTTTTGCTTTTGTAACATCTTATCGCCATCATCCTTCTGTCAGTCATTTGCTTGGGTGCTACTTGTCACCTGTTTGCACAAAGTTAATCTTATTTGCATTTTCTCAAGAATGAGCACTTTAGGGCGAGACAAGCATTTTTTCAACCGCAGCCTTTAGTCAATCCTTCGTCTTAAATGTTCTCTAGCGTTGCGCAAGCCGTCCGCTTGACCCAGCAGCGGTTACTGTTGACATTAGATGCAGATTAGTGTCGGTTTACATAATGGCTGATAAAGTGCGGTTATGTTTGGCTTGGACCCACACATACATACACACTGTGTCAGTGGGTGGTGAAGTACAGCAGAGGTGTAAGGCTCAGGTCACAGAGTGTGTCCAATCAGGGAAGTGGTAGCAGGGTCGTTGGGGGTGTGGTTTGTGAGCAAGAGGCGAGAGCTTCGTCCTCAGAGCACTTTGACCTCTGACACTGTGCTGTCTCCAGGCTCCAGGACGCTGTGACCCTGTGACCCAACACTTTCCTGCAGCACAGTACAAGAAAAGCTGTGAGTGTGTGTGTTTAGTTTTTTTTTTCTCTGTGTGTGTTTTTCTCTGCGTCTAAAGGCAGGAAAGGTCAAGTCTAGGTTAGACTGACCATTAAAATGTTTCACTTAGGCACAGACAGACTACAAAAAATTGAAAATGACCCAGTTCATACATTTGAGTTAGAAATTTTCTGTAGCTGGGTGATGAAACACGCTTGCAACACCATGCAGACCCTCCCTTTTCTGTACTGCCTGGCTACGCGAACCAATTTCCCCTCAACCAATCACTGCTGGAGCAGGAACAGCGAGAACCAATCAGGAAGCACTCCTGGAGTCCTTTGAACCAACCAGAGGATGCTGCCTCGGGAGTAACATCACAAGTCTGAGTTTTTAATTTCCACGCCTATACAATGTGCATCTGTATGAATGAAACTGACACCAAATCTCCTTGAAATGCCTTTTTGAAATGTCTCATGTGCTCACGCCTTCAGATTTACATTAATGTGGAGACGCGGGGAACCCACCTACGCACCTTCACAAATCAGAATAATCAGAGAAAGGAGAGTGAGATTCCTGGCGGTGTTGCTGACAGTGATTAATTGTTCCCACATGTTACTGACGGACAAAAAGGCCTCTGTATTCTTGAACTCTGGCTGCAGCTGGTTGACACACACACACACACACACACACACACAGCTGGGGCCTGTCCATGAAAAGAGTTCAGCTTTGTCGAGCTATCTTGGTGTTAGTTTGCTTCAAAAATGCCACAGTGTTGAACCTGGATAACCGGTCTCATGAACAGTCGCCTCTGTTGACCCAGCATTATGTGCACCAAGTTTTTCAGACCAGCTGAGGTAAAGTCTTTATCAAATACAGAGAGCAGCAACATAAAGAGCACTCAGTTTGATAAGTCGGGTAGCATTGGTATTTCAGTTCTACAATAAGGGTTCTTGGTAAGGTAGAGCACTCAAGGCCCTTTATTCAACAGTGTGTGTCAACTGAGGACAAGTCCCAACATGTTTCCTTTTGTTCGCGTGCACCAGTCACTCTTGAATACTTTTATGAAAAATATATATTTGGAGAAAATTGTAAAAATTCAGATTGTTCATATAATGTCAGTGAGATACAAAACAGATTTTTTTGTGATTAAAGCTGATCTCTAAATTTAACAAATTAATTAGTTAATTAAGGGGATATAAAAAAAGGATATAAAGCTAAAAAATAGTACTCAAACAGAGATCATAAGGCATCAAAAGCATTCCCAAAATTAGCAAGGCAGTGTCAGCAGCATCATTATCTCTTTAAAGGTCGTTGCTGTGAGCTGTGTTGATGTTGGTGTGTTATTTAGCTCCTGCTGCAGCATAGTAGGAGTTATGAATCAGAGCTGCTGTCTCAGTGAGCTGTTTTTATTAATGGACTTTGGGAATACCCCGGAGGAGGTACAGTAGTAAACATAAAGCATCCCACCCACACAGTGATGCACCATGCAGACACACATGCTGAAACCCATGGAGCGTATACGTTGTGCGAATAAAAGCATAGAATCGTCATGTCGGTTTTATTACTCCTAAAGCGCTGCCTGACAGGGTTTAACAGCAGGTATATATTAGAAAAAAACAGTGGTAATGAAACAACAAAAGAGTCAAGAAAGAGACATAATGCTTATTGATTTCTGCTATTAAATCTGTTAAATTATGAATAAGAGTTACAGATTAGAAAGAATAAGACAGGTGAGTTTGATTCATTTTGTGATCTACTGCTTTCACAACATATATTATATATTGAGTAGATACACTTTTTCTGCTCATTCCAACCCTTTCAATACGGTCCATGCTTTGGCTGCAGATGTCCTGCTCCCTTTTATTGCTGCTCCATCAGGCCGGGTTAAATATATTTCACTTGACATTTCAAGGATCAGGCAGCGGCACTGGAAAAAGAGTAACATTAAAGAAGTGGGAGGGAGCAGAGAGGTTGGGGCTGAAAGAAGTGTAGGATGGAGGAAGCAAGGGATGAGGATTGATGAAGTGTCAGGTGCTGGCAGGTAAATGTTTACAGCAGGAGCAGGAGAAGGAAACTCACATTTCATTCATTCTGCGTTAATTCATGGCTCTAAAAGTGCTTCTTTTCCATGACAAAGCCAATCTTCTGCCATTATTTACATCTTCCTTGCAGCTGGAAACATTTAGCCAATGTGTTTTTTAGTGTGTGCGGGGAGTGTGTACGTGTTTGCGAGTATATGTGTAAAATGTTCTGTAATGAAGAAGTGTTACGTCATTCCCCCAGAGATGCTTGCAGAGGATAAACACTGGTCTCCCTGGTATCTCTTCTCCTATTACCTCATTGAACAAAGCACACAAACTCACTTGGGATGCATACATTCTTTTTTGTACTTCATTCATGATCAATTGCAGTTTTTTATGTGTTCACTAACGCACAGCAGTGGTTAAAAAACGTTTGCACATATAATTGCTGCAAATGCAAAACTAGGCATTCCCGTAAAACTACACTTTAAAGGGTCATAGGTTCAGTTTGGCCCCGGAGATCTCTCTCTCTCTGCCAACGTAGCATTGGGAACAGTAACTTAAGCCTGCTTTTTCTCCTCTCTGATTGAACTGCCTTTGACCAGAAAAACAATCCAGACCAAATTGTCTGTAAACTGTTGCCCAGGCAAGACAGGCCTGCTTCATGGAAAACAATATTGTGATTCCCACAAAAACTCACAAAATTTTGGCCCTCGCAGTTAGGAGCGCAGAAATCTGCTCTGTTTTAGAGAGTAAAAATATACAGAGGAGAAAAACAAGGAGTGAAAACTGCATGCATGTCGTGGATGGCGGTTGGGTTGTTTATATGGGAGGATATAGCATGGCCCCAGAATCCCTCAGGGCCCATCAGAGCTATGTGTTTGTGAAACAACAGAAACTGCGGAAGAGGAAGGGGGTATGGAGAAAGAAGGAGACTGAGGCAAAGTAAGGAATTCAGCAAGGACAGGATTTGTGGGGCACAAAAAAGCAAAATGAAGGATAAAAAAAAACTGTAGTAAAAGAGAAGTCACGTTAAAAAGTCACACATTAGTTATCTGGAATAGGACTTTACCTTTAATCTTTATTGTACCATGTTTCATAGAGCTAATTTCATCTCAGTGAGCTGATATTTGAGTGTGACTGTTCAGTGGAGACTGAAGGCGGGTTAAAGCTCTTGTGAGGATTTTTTTACTTTTAGGAAGAGGATTGAAATTAATATTCATGCGTTTTTTATGATATCCAAAAATCAACAACACTATCAGGGACAAGGTTGGCTATTTGTAAATCATCATTTTTAATGCCTAAAACTGGTGCGAGTGGGTATGCGGGAGCCGAGCAGCTCAAGAAAAAGCTCTGTAGTAACTGATTCCAGATAAAGAATTCATGATCAATGATAAATATGACTGTCAAAAGTCATCAGGATGAGATTTTTTTTTCATTATTTGAGGATGTAGAGGACAAGATGAGCGAAGACTGCTCTATCCAAAAGGGGATAAAGTTGATACAAACCCCAAGTTCCTCATGGGAGCTTTAATAGCAAAAGTAGCATTTCACAATTACACAGGACTGTATACATGGAAGTATCTGTTAACTACCAAAGATTGTCCGTCTGAAGTCTTAACAAAGACTCTTAACAAAGTCTTAAGTGTAGCCACAAGTCATTCAACAGGGAACTGATATCATAGTTGGTTGTGAGTAAGTTACTTGAACCATGTGTTGAAAATAAAACTCTCCCCTTAGGAAGTGCTCAGACAAAGCAGTGCTTTGAGCTAAATGCTAGCCTGCTCACATGCTAACATGCTTATGCTCAGCAGTTATTCCATTACTCAATACCATCAGTTAGAGTGGGAGCCTAATAAAATTTGCTTGTTAGCACACATAGTTTAAGTACGTGTACACCAACACTGATGTAAAATAAAGAATGTCTGTTTGGTATGTAAACAAGGCTATTAGTGCAGCAACAAGTGACTCAACAGGGGTGTTATATCACAGTTGGAGCATTAAATGTGTACTTACATCACTGGGTTGTGAATAGAACTCTTGATCATTAACAGAGGCTGTCATGTGCAACGGTTCCCCCACAATAACCTCTGAGGCTTGCACAAGGAAGGATCTCAGAGTTGATCAATAAACACCAACCAGCGCTTACACACAAGAACGCACAAACACACATGATCTGACATTGAATGCTTTCCTCAAGCAACACAGGGGCTCTTTGTGTGTGTCGTTCATAATCGAAGAGATGCTTGATTATAGACCGCTGTCTCTCTTTTCTCTTTTATACCCACAACACAAAAGCTACAGTGGCAACAATGCAGGCATCAGCACTAAGTGCTGCAGCAATAATGTGTTCTTGTCTATATTCAGTGAATGAACAATTAAACAAGAGGATTTTGGTTGTCTGTGTGTGGAGTCACTAAGAGCTGTTTACATTGCTTCAGAATCAGTAGAAGTAAGTGGTTTATGGATCTGTGTTGTTGGACTTACTGAGAGGTATTCATTGAATGCTGTATAGATGAAAAGGAAAGGAAGAATACAACAAATCAATTCTGATGGCAGCCATTGTTCAAGTAATTGTTTCAAAAGGAATTTATGCAAATCTCTCAACAAAGTGTCTTCTCTCTCTTCTTTGTGTTACAGAACTCCATCCGGCACAACCTTTCCCTACACAGTCGATTTATCCGAGTCCAGAATGAGGGAACAGGGAAGAGTTCTTGGTGGATGATCAACCCAGAGGGAGGGAAGGGTGGAAAGGCTCCCCGACGTCGTGCAGTCTCCATGGACAACAGCAATAAGTATACAAAGTCGGCTCGTGGTCGTGCTGCCAAGAAGAAGGCTGCCCTGCAGGCTGCAGCTGCTGCAGCTGGCGAAGGTGGCGGGGACAGTCCCTCAGGTCTCTCCAAGTGGCCTGGAAGCCCAACATCGCGCAGCAGTGAGGAGCTTGATGCCTGGACAGACTTCCGCTCCAGAACTAATTCCAATGCCAGCACACTCAGTGGTCGCCTCTCACCCATTTTGGCAAACCCAGAGCTTGACGAGGTGCCGGATGATGAGCCTCCACTTTCGCCAATGCTCTATTCCAGCCCTGGCAGAGCTCTTTCTCCCAGCAATGGCTCAACCAATGGAAAGTCTAATCCAACTGAGCTGCCTCGTCTGGCAGACCTTGCAGGTACAATGAACCTGAATGATGGACTCACAGATGACCTGATGGATGAACTTCTGGATAACATCAACCTGGTGCCAACCGTTCCGGGACAGACTGCCCCTAATGGTTCCTCAGGGTTCAATTTTGGGTCCAAACCTAACGGGCTCAGCTCACCTTCTTCCACCACCTCCCCTTCCCCTAACTCTTCTTCTAACGGTGGAGTCAATGGTTACAGTAACTCCATCTTCAGCCCCCATACGACTGGCTCCACTCTGCGTCCGTCCCCTATGCAGACCATCCAGGAGAACAAGCAGACCTCCTTCTCCAGCATCAGCCTGTCTCGCTTTGGCAGCCAGACACTACAAGACCTGCTCAACTCTGACAGCCATAGCCACAGTGATGTCATGATGACGCAGTCGGACCCACTGATGTCACAGGCCAGTGCTGCTGCTGTCATTTCCCAGAACTCCCGCCGTGGCCTCATGCTCAGAAATGATCCTGTAATGACCTTTGGGACCACTGGAGGACTTCATGGTAGCCAAGGGGAGATGATTCAAAGTAACAACCACAATCAGAGCTCTCTGAGAGTCTTAAACGGAGGCCTGAACCTTGCCAATGAGGCTAACCTGGCAAATGCCAAGCAGCAGCTCTTGCTCTCTCCCTTAGGAAACGGTTCCTCATCCATGCAGATTGACACTTCGATCTTCCTAAACGGAACAGTCAGCAGCAATGGGGGGATCTGCCAGGACCGTTTTCCCACAGATCTGGATCTGGACATGTTCAACAGCAGCTTGGAGTGTGACATGGACTCCATAATCAGGAATGAGCTGATGGACGCAGATGGCCTGGATTTTAACTTTGACTCTTTGGCCAATCTGAATGGAGTTGGCAACTTCGTAAATGCCAAGCAGACCTCCCAGAGCTGGGTACCTGGCTGAGAGGGTCAGGCAGGAGGAGCAGAGCAGGTTTGTATTTGTGAAATGTATTCATTGGTTGTAGCAGGTGAGAAAAGGACAGCATACTCAGATGTAGGTGTAAGTGATAAAGATTTGTCTGTATGCAGATGATACAAACTTTTCTCCCACAGTATCTAATATCAGCATCCAGTGGTGTTTTCATGATTAGATCTGATGTCAGCTGGGCTAAATTTGTCAAATGTTTTTAATTCAGTGAAATTTGTTGCACTCTGTTTTAAATCATTATGTTATCCACTTTACATAGAAGTTTTATATGCTATAGAACTACTGGTGGTCTTTGGTGGTGGAAATAAGGTCTTTGGCTGATTCCTGCCTCTACTGACTACAATGAATTTAATCTGTACTGCTTCAAAAAATTTCCCCAAACCACAACTAATTACACAGTTTTTCTTGAGTGTTTCTATGACTCCACTTGCAAAAAAAGACAATTTTTGGTAATGTTATTCCCCATTCCTATAACTAAGACAAATTTTTAGGGTCACATTTAACTTTTGGAAATGCTTTTGCTAATTTTTTTTAGAATTATTTATTACAAGACTGAAGTCTTAGTAAAATTACTTTCTCACAACAATAAAGGCATAAGAAAATCAATTTGCGTCATTATGATATCTTCATCATGATGTTACGAAAATAACATTATCAAGTCACAATATTACTAGACAATAAGTCTTTACATTTTAAGAATTAAGTCATGACAAAGTTGTAGTTTTGGTTTATGATGAGCAACCAGCTGTGTCGAAATGAGGGGGGTGGAGGGTCTTGTTAAATTGTACTTTATGTTTTGGCCTGATCCTTTTTCCTCCATTCATGAAAATAAGGGCCTCAGAAAGGCTCTTGAAACTGTAAAGAGAAACAATGCCTCATTCGTTATTGTCAGTACTTAATGTTTAGCAATAAAACACTGCAACCTGCTACATGTTATGATGCTTTTATTTTCAAACAAAAACAGGAAGCACCGCTTGGGTAGCTTTATACACCCTTGCCCTCAAAGTAAAAAAGCATCTTAGAAGTGTTGTGTTTGGTGTTTTATTGTCTTGAAATTATTTTTCAAACTCTGATTAATGATGTCATGTCATTTATCTCCTCAGGTCTGAACTGTGTTGAAGAGAAGATTAGACACACAATATCCTTTTTGCCAAACCTGCCATCAGCACAACTAAAAAAAAAACAAACCCTGTGTTTACAGAAGAAGACTTCCTCTTGAGAGCTTTACCTTCGCTCCCACACCGGTGCACCATGAACAATCTGTCAGACTCTAGAGATGCTGCACATTAGCCCTCAAAGCCTCCTGTGAAAAAACAACAACAGAAAGAAAGCTATGTCAAACTCACAAATCTTAGAATTATGCAATTTTCCTTACACACCTTGTCTGTTGACATAAAGAGATACTGCTTACCAGAAGGGGTTTCAGTCGGACTAAATACAAGGATGAGAGATCAAGCGGAGATTGAAGGAGTACACGGTGCAGTTGTTCCCATTCAAGACAAAAAACAAAAAGAAAGTGTAAAGTGAAACGATCTTGAAGTGATGACGGTGTAAATCTGATCCATGTGTTTCCTGGGATATGTTATGTTAAAAAAAAAATTTCCTCTATTTTAACTTAGTGATTTTAAATGTTCAGTGTTGTTTTTGGATATTTTGTTTAATCATAAATGTTCCTGCATCATACATGTTTGTACAAAGAGAACTTGTATATTGATGAAATGATCTTATGGAAACAGAACACTGAGTGGTCACGTCGACAGTTCATGCAAACATACCAACAGACAAATTAACATTTTGCATCACAACCAGAGAACCTTTCAAGGTTAAAAACTTCTGATTGAATGCCATGCACTTCCAGTTATGATTTAAGAATTGCTTGAGTTGAATTAAATGCATCCAAATGAGACAAATTAGAAATCACCTCTTATCTTTCATGTATACTTTACTCAAAATGGCAAAAGAGAAGAGGAAGAACTCTGTGTCATGGATATTTGTACAGAGCAGGGCAGTGTTTCAGTCTTAAAAGGAGGGAGGAAAGACTTTGTATGTCTAGACTTTTACTCCAAGTTCTGATCGAGGTTGTTATCACTGCATTTGATGTAGCCAAAATAAATACCTGTGTCCTAGAGTTGTGAACATTTCCACACCATAACAGGTGCTATGTAAACAGTGTTGAATCCTGCCCCGAGAGCTAGCCGTGCGTTTTGTGTGTTTGTTATATTTTCTGTTGTTACTTATGACTCGCAGAAGCACTTGTAGCACGGCGAGGTTGAACCTGGAAACGGAGGGTGGAGGTCAGGGCAGGGCAGGGTTTTTTTTTTTTTAGGCTCATTCCTCTAGAAGCTATTTGTTTCTTGAGTAACACAATAAGCTATCTCTGTATATTGCCAAATTACTTGAAACAGACAGTAGGATATGCTGGCAGCCAAATCACAGCACACACACACGCACACGCACACTCTCTCTTACACACACACACATATAAATATATATATAAAGAGAAAAATTAATAACAGGGATCTGTGTTAAGCTCTGCTTTTTTCCTGTCTCGAGCTTGTGGGGCTTGTTATGCATATTTAGAATCACTCAGGGGGGAAAGGGAGGCTTTCTGTTAACATAACATCAAGTCACATTCTAATGGTGTTTTAACATTACTTGATAAAAACAATGATGCTTTGTGTTTGTGAACTTGTAACCTGTGAACCTGTTTTGGGCCGTCAATATGAAGAGGTGGAAGGAGGACAAACGTCAGAATGAAGACTTCACTTGGTCTTTGAGTTCTGGTTTTGCTGTCATTGTTTTTTTCTCTCTCTCTCTTTGTCAGACTTGTGACACACACACACACACATATCCCCTCATGGACACGCCTGGTGCTCCTACAGGTGACTCCCTGTATTTCCTGAATACACATTAATATGTGTGTGTGTGTGCGTGTGTGTGTGCGTGTGTGTGATTTTATCGGTAAAGTTTATTTCTTTTGGATTAATCTCACGAGGATGCATAATCCCTTCACTTATCCCTCATGGTGCATACAGCATAGCTGACTGTATGCATGTATGTATTTATGCATTATGAATTGTGTGAAATGCATATATACTCGCAGTGTATGTCCTTATATACTCATGTAGTACTTGACCCTTGGATTTTGTGATACCTCTGAAGGTAAAGGTGAAGAAATAATGAACAAGGTTACACGCTGAATAGAGGGAACACTGTTACCAGCAATTTCATTGTTGTTGAACCAGATTTTGAAAAATGGTGGAGAACACTATTGTTGTAGCATCTGGTGACCCTGGTATCCCTTCTTTTTTTGGGGGGTAGTGTATGGAAATACACACCCCGCTGTGTATAATAGTGTACAGATGTGTGTATATCACTTTGAGGCCAAGGCAGAGGAGCGCGTGTGCATGGTTGGCTAGGATAAACCTCTGTGATATCTGAGGTTTAGTGCATGATCTAGCTGCCCCCCCCCCCCTCCCCCCCAATACTTTAAACTGTGCCGTCCTGCAAGAAAAATTGTAATACTGAGGAGGAATCCTGTGTCTCTAGCATGAATAGATACACTTTTTTTTTTCTTTTTCAAAATCAGGGCCTACTTTTGCACCATCCTCCTATTAAAGGGTTAAATGTTCTTATTACTTGTGTGTGTATATGGACACAGACGCAGGGAAAAGCCTCTTTAATGGACGTTCCTCAACTTCACACTTGATGTATTCCATGTGGAGGACAGTAGATATACGTCCAGGTGCTCTATGTAAACATTAATAACTTCTTTTTGGGATTCTCCCAACTGGTCACTTCTAGGGTTTTCACCGTTTTAGTCATAGGGAATCCTGACCCCCTTTTGAGTCCATCTACACTGATAATAATAAAGAAAGAAGGTCTGACAAGGTGAATCCAGGAATTACTGATCCTTGATAAACTGCTCATTTCAGTTGCAGGAATTTGTTTAATCCAATCAGTGAAAAATCTGTTCAGGGAGATAGTTTACACCCAAAGTGGAGCAGGCTTTCCACAAAACCACTCAGAGTCGGTCAGTTAGGCAGCAATGATTTCCTCTTGTGCCCATCACACGCACATGCAGCACCACTTGTGCAAATTTAGAGCTAAGAAAAGCAAAAAAAGTAGAAGTGACATACCACTAGACACCTTCATCACCTCTTCTTGGACATTTTCTTTTCACTCTCCACTCTCATATTGTTTCCATCTTTGTTAAGACACCCTAGCCGGCTCTTCTCCATACGTCCTCTGAACTTAGTCCTCTGACCTTTGCCCTTTATTAATCTTGCTTCTTCTTGATCTTGATGTTAGTGGGTATTTTTCCTGTGTATTCCATTTTGAATTGTAATCTAGTTTGTATAAGAAATGGTGCGCATGTAAATAAAGCTCGGTGAGGCTCCACACTTTTTCTGTCTGCTTGTCTTGATTCAATTTATTGTAGCAAAAATAAGAAACGTTGACAGTGCGGCGAAGGCAAAAGGCCGTTGTTAACAGATCATGTTGCCATGGGAGGATATTTCAGCCCAGCGAGGAAAATATTACAGCCCTCGCCTGCCTTACATGTGATGTTAATTCACAAGTTCACTTGCCAACTGTTTTCCACAACACTGTGTGTGCGTGCATGTGTGCGTGTGTGTGTGTGAGTGTGTGTGTAATGTAGTGTGTGTGAGAGCAAATTTAACCTCACACTCCCTCCAGAAAATAAATCTCTTTCTCATGTCAGTCTGGAGGGAACAGCAAAACAACTACATGCTCTTCTCAAGTTCCTGGAAGTTCTCTTGCACAATATTTGTTCGCTGAATGGCTGTTTTAGATGAGGGCAGGCGTACAAGACTCTGACACCTCTGGGCTAGGCGCCTTTGCTCAGCTGTTGCGAAACATGAAGGGAACAGGGAGAGAGGAGAAGTTAGAAAGGAGGGACACTGAAGATTTCTCCAGGGTTGACTGGGCTCAAAGAAATGGTGCGTTTGTAAATAAAGCTTTGAAAGGCTCCACACTCAGTCCGTCTCCTTGTCTTGATGTTATTTATTATGGCAAAAATAAGAAACTTTGACAGTGCAGCAAAGGCAAAAGGCTGCTTTTAGGATTTTTTTAGTCCGTCCTGGAAAACTTTGCAGCTCTTTACCTGCTGAAACTACTTATTCTCCTTCTTTTTATGCAGACTGATAGACTACTTTTTACACTGTTAGAGGTGAAGTCTGTCAACTAAGATAATCCAGAAAATTGAAGGGTGTGTATGTGTGTTTGTCATGCAGCCATTTTAAATTAACCTTAAAGACAGAGATTTAAAGAATTTTCAGATTACAGAATTTATTGGAATTTTGATATCGGTCTTTACGCCCTTAGAGAAATTGATCAGCATCCACAGTAATAATTAATAACTCTAATTTATAACTCAGGTAATGATCAGTAATTAAATGAAAACTGAGTTGAACAGGGCTCTCAAAATTCACAGAATTCACCTTACTAACTTCAGAAGTTGCTTTTCAGTGAGGGTCCTCTTTTGAAACAGCTGTAATCCTGACATGAAGGTCAGACCATAAACCGCTGTGGAAAGAGTTGGATGCAAAATGTGTTTTAGCCACATGTACAAAAAATAAACCAGCAAAAAACTTCATTCCAATTACAGTGTGTGCTTCATTTGTAAGGACCACACCACTGAAGGGATGCAATTGACATTTACTGATTGTATTGGAATGGGGGATCCTATGTTGGTCTCTAGTATGGACAACCGCCTTTAGGACCCTACAAATAGGAGAAAAGAAGGAAATACAAGACAAATGGGTGGGATGAAGAGGTGCAGAGCATAAAAACCAAAGGAGAGGAGAGGGACAGATTTAGAAGTGCCTGAAGAGGTGCAGTTGACATGTGGTGCAACTCCAGAAACTTAACTATGTAGCACCATTGATGTTATTATTGATTTTGCTTATCAATCCATTTCTTTTTAATTTCCTGGGAATTTTCTATGTGAAACCTGCACATGTTTTTTTTTTTTTGTTTTTTTTTTTTCGTGTTAACAACATCTTTTAAAGATCAGCTGTAGATACGATCTCTAATTGGTCAGCAGACCATAACAAAGATGGCAGCCTTTCATTGGCACAGTCAGCTAACAACAGAAATCACACTATATTGCTAAAATGATTGCATACATCATCACAGATTACCTTTGTTTTTAAATGGATTGGAACTGGACTCTCTGAAAAGGTGCTGATCTACTATGTCGGATAGAAAAATCCCTGCAAGTTACAAACATACTGAGTTTGTCACCAGGAAGCGGACGGCTTTACAAAGCAAGTAGACTTTACAGTAAGTTCTTAGAGCCAGTATTATAATCATCTCAGTTAAATGTTGTAAACGTGAGTAGTCTGGATTCTCGTCTTCTGTTCACCATGATCACTTACTTGGTTGGCGTTGGCATTGGTTAATGATGTCAGTGGTCTGGTTGGAAGCAGTTCTGATCTGGAAACAGTTTTTGATACCCACTCCTCTGTTGCACTACTTTTTTTTTTCAAACATTTTCAGCTTACTAAAAAATAATTTTGGCTATCATATCTGACGACCATAAACAGAAGTAAGGGTGACCATTCATCCTCTTTTACCCGGACATGTCCCCTTTTTTGGGGACCTGTCTGGCCTTGTCAGGGGGGAGTTCATAAAATCATTCAAATGTCCGGGGTTTTGTATGGAAGATTTACGTTTGTGTAGCATGGACTAACTGAGTTAGAAGTGTGTAAAAAACACTCTATCCAACCCGAAAAACCCTCAAAATTAACTTGCGCAACTCCACCCCGCGTAGTAGTGTCCTCTTTTTGGGGATTCAGAATATGGCCACCCAAACATAATAAGTATGTGGATTTTACCATAAAGTGCAGCTACCTTTTTTTTAAAGGTGTTTAAACAGTGTGACTGCCACTGATTGACTTCAGATCTCAGCTTAATAAACAACTGCATGATGTCACTAATGCCATGTTTTTTATATACTTTCAAGGGTTTTCGCCTTCAACATGAAGAGCTGCAGAGAGAAATGAACTTCCAGATAAATTGCAGCAGAGTAGTAACTTATAATTATCATGAAAGCAAAGTCATTAATATTCTGTATATTCACAACAGCCCCGAGTCAAACCCAGACCTTTCACCATGTTGCTCTCCATCTTTGTCAGAATGAAAAAACAGTCTGAATGGTTCGTGAAACCAAAGCAGGGCATTCATATACAGTCTGGTGTAACCATAACCACACTGTTTATCACTGCTGCCAAACTCAGGACATGCTTCAGGAACTTCAGGTTTACCAGTGTGGCCCTCTTTCTTTGTACTCAAACATACAAAGGAACCTCAAACAAACAAAGTCTTTTCTGTTTGTTTGGGGACTCCAAACCAATTGTTCATGAAAAAGAGACATTTTAAAGGAGATAAAAGAATTGGAGAGGGAAAAAAACCCACTCATGTTCATCCAAACAGCCACTGCAAAGCCCAGGGTTGACTGCAAACTCCTAAATACTCAAACATGCTTTTATGAAAGTGAGGGCAGGCTCACCACCACTACAAATATACAAACCACATTTCAATAGCAGTCCCCAGTCAGCCGGTCACATGACCCATTGGATGTCTGGCCTGGTTGTAGACACACCAGTCTGCACAGGGTCACAGAGGTTGTTGGGTGGCTGGAATTTTTCTGTCATCTTTTTTTGTGCTTTTACATTTGTTATTTTATAGCAACCACATTCACGTTCAAGATACTGAGATCAAAGCAAAATACAGTCAAGAGTTGTAATTATTAAGCCTTAAACTAACATAAAACCTAATGTGGCTTTTTTAAAATTCATATAAAGTTAGAGCATTCCTAAGCCATGTGTTTTAGTCATTTGACGCACAGAAAAATAAAAATCTAGTGTTTGTTTCCTGCTTAAAAGTTTGGTAAAATGTCATAATTAAACAATTTTGTGTATTTTCTTTGGCCACTGTCATCTCCTCCATCCTCATTTTGGCTTCAGTTTTATTCACCTCTGCTTTGTTTCATGCCAGTGGGCTCTTATTTTGTGGTCTACATTATGTATCACATATGTCCTCAAATTTCCACACTTAAGCCTTCAGGAGCTGACACTAACCTTCCACTTGACAGCAACAACCTGTTTGTCGACATCAGGTTACAGGTGTTCATGTGGGCTTGTATTTACCTGTTCGTGTGCAGATCAGGACAGTGATAGTCTCAGACACGGGTGGTGCTCAAAAAAAGTGTTGTTTGATCATTCCCAGCACCAGATTGTGATGTAATTCTATCTGAGAGGGAGTGGTGTGTGCTGTGTGGGCTTTCCATTCAAACTTGTGTCTTTATTTATTGTTCACTGAGTGCAGTTTGTGGTGTCATGACTCATCTGCCCATGCAGGAAAGTTTTTGTTGTAAATGCCTTGAAACAACAAAATAAAGACACAAGTTGACTTAGCTTTTGTGGGCGTTATATAATGGAATTGCTGTATTTGCCAAAGTTGTTTAAATTAAAAAAGGATAAAACAACATAAAGATGCAATGTTAGTGCATAAAAGGTAGAAAATGTAATGAATTTAAATGTAGTATGTATTAACCTAATTTAAGCCCCTACGATGATGATTAGGCTGACTTGTTTGATATTTACTTCTACGAGGGGGGTGATGTTGTTTAATTCAGCGCCAACCATCAACATGACTTATCCATTCTGCAAACATAATTTTCAGTTGGCACAGATAAGGCTGAGTAAGTCTTGCCAAGAGCACTTAATTTGACGTTTGTCTATTTATCTGTCTATATGTTGATTTAAGACTTGACATTTCTGTAAGACAATTTACAGCTCCTTCAGCAGCTGTGTCAGTCTTATCCATAATGATGCCAAAGAGCTGTCACTGTTTTAATAAGTCTAGCTCTTTAAGATGATGGTGTCTCCATGGTTAAGCTCTGAAGCACAGAGCTCATTGGTCAGTTGTGAATCAAAACACAGAAGACAGCCATCAATTTGGAAAACACCCTGCCTTTATTATGCCTCTAAAATACTGGCAGTGATTCAGAGGTGTGGTTTCAGGTAAACACTGTCCTGAGTTATGAGTCTGAAGGTTCCATATTATACAGTGCACAAGCGATGACTGTGAGTCATAGTTTCATCCATCACGACAGCTACATGAGTCAACAGAGGCTGTGCTATCACCTGACGAGAGGTGAAGTTTCATCACACGACAGGAAGAAGAACAGAGCTGTGCCGTTTTCAATAAAAGTGCTGCTTTCTTCCCAGTGAACCAGTGAGTCAGTTTATACAGAATTTAATGCAGTAGTTTATATCTCTACACAAGACACTAAATGTTGCATGGCAGAGTTAAAGAGCTGGGCACACATCAATTTTTGGGGTCTTTGAAATAAACAGATTCATAATAGTGCCTTTTTG